ATACTCTACTCTACTACCAAAACTATGCTTGCTCTCCAATAATTACCTACCCTCTTCTCCTCCTCCTCAACTTCCCCTCCTCTTCCTCCTCCTCCTCCTCCTCTTCTTCTGGCCATACTTATTATCTAGGCCATCGCCAGCCTCCCACGTTGAAATATTTTATTCCTCATCTGATTCTTTCATCTGACTTCTCTTGTCATTCAGTGTTCCAGAAAAAGAGGTCAAGCGAGGTTATTCACGAGTAGACGTCATCGCCGCTGAGACACTATCGCCTCCAATCAATTCCCACCAACGCTTCTATTAAGAGTCTTCCCCACGCTCTCTGGAGGGCCAGGCAAGACAATAAAACTGGTCCTATAAAAGTTCATTTGAAACCTTTCCCCAGGTTGTGTCTTTGCCCGCGTCAACACCGAGTCTCTGGAACACCCACGACTCTCCGGCATCGCCGCCCCTCGCTCTTTCCTCGCCGGAAGTTTGCACGTAGCTGGAATACGCCGTGTTTAAAACTTCTCCGGTCGAACCTTCCTTCTCTCTCTCTTACGCAGCAAACAACTCGCCGTCGAGCGATAAATTTGGGACTCGTCGTAAGTATCCTCGCCACATACCTCTCACCTCGCGCGCATAACACATTTATCATCCTTTCATTTCCTCGCCTTGTTCCCCCGTTGCCCCTCAAATATATTCTTCCCTATAATGGCACTTCTTGGCTGACGCGAAGTGCTTCTTTTCTCTAGGTTCAACGACTCGAGGTCCTATATATATTCGAACATAAACCCCCCATGCTTGTTACGAATTAGACAATCTTCTCGACAAACCTCGTCGATTAGAATCAACATCTTCCTATAACCCCCCCTTCGCCCTTTTGATATTGCCCATATCAGCCGTACGAATGCCTTACACACCCCCCAGCCAGCGTTCCCCCGCGTCCTCTGGCCCGTCTTCTCCCGCAACCAGCCGGAGAGGTTCATGTTTACCGGGCCAGCCGGTTCCTTCATCACCAGTCTCCCAAAGACCGGAATTACCGCGATCGGCATCATACCTGACCCGTCACCGCAGGACACCCTCAGTCAAGTCAGCTTCATTCGTAACCAACGACGGCGCCGACACTGCACTTCCTATGACTGACCGAGAGAGGAACAGCTTGCAACATAACCTCAACCTCCGCAAGTCTCCGCCTCCAGTGACTGACGAGTCTAAGTTGCCATCTGGGGTTATACTGTCCCCGCCCGAGTCTGCACAGAACTCGAGTGATGATGAGGAGTCGGAAAAGCCGAGAGGAAGGCAGATCGAGAAGCTTTCCGAACTCCAGGCTGCGATCAGGAACCTTGCGCAACACCGAGCCAGCTCACCAAGTGATGACGATACAGAGGCCAAGCATGCAGGGAAATCTTTGAGTCTCATCGTGCGGCCACAGCCAGACAACTTGGAAGTTACAAATGGGAATCCTGGGCAGAAGCTCTCACAATCGGCTATCAAGATCTCCCACTCCCGCTCTAACACAGACACCTCTCTATACCTCAACGAGATGAGGCACCAGCAGCAGGCCGAGACACCCATCACCGAGACTGACGATGATGACACCGACGATAGCGAAGGCAGCCTGTCTCTGAAACCTCCAATGGTTCGCAAGAAGTCTGGTGAGCTCGTTCGCCCCGCACTTCGACCATCATCAAGACGGAGGCCTTCTAGCATGCCCGGCACACCGACGTTCTCCAAAGCCGTTCATTTCGATTCTCACCTCGAACACATCCGCCATTTCCTACAGGTTGACCGACCTCTTGCCGTCAGTGCTGGATCGTCACCTGTTGAATCTTACGCCAGCGACTCCGAGTTTCCGTTTAGTGACGAGGAGGGCCAAGACCGTCTTCCATTCGAGTGGGAGATCACGCTGGCCAATTTCCCCGCAGAGACATACGATAGATTACAGCTCCCTGTCCGCGTGGAAAGGTTCTACCTGTCGAGTGATAACAAGATGCTGATCGGTTCAGTTGCTGTTGCCAACCTAGCATTCAACAAGTCCGTCGTCGCTCGTTTCACTCTCGACTACTGGAAGACAACCTCCGAAGTCCTCGCAGAATACACCAACGACGTGCGTCGGAAACTCCAGAATGACGGGTATGATCGGTTCAACTTCACAATTAAGCTCGCCGACCTGGCCAACTTGGAAGCAAAGACAATGTTCTTCTGCGTCAAGTACTGCGTCAACGGCGTGGAATATTGGGACAACAACAACAATACCAACTTCCAAGTTGACTTCAGGAAGAAGATGAAGCCGATGAACGGCAAGAAGGTTACCCAAGGCTCATCTTCCCGACAAACTACCGGTCTTCCCAGAAGTGGCAATAGACCGTCGAGTCGACGAACTCCAACTACCTTCGAGGATGATTTTGCAGATGGATTTGATAACCCTGCTACGAAGTACCGATTCCCCTATTCAACACAGTCCAGCAACTTTGGAGCCGGGAATGGAAGGTTAAAGGGGGTGCGGTCTGAGGTCACTCTGAGCACCAATAGTCTAGCGAAGAAGGCTCCAAGCCCAAGTGGCCAGGCATTCTCCAACCGCTATGATTTTGGCGTGTCCATATCAGCTGCTATCAAGGCTGCCAATAGAGGTGACCGACCTGAAATTCGTCGAAAGCCAACGCAGCATAGGCAGCCTCTGAAGCCTCTCGCATCCCCTGTTACCAAGTCGACCGCTGAGCTGGCATCATCCCGGCCCGTTGGGGCTCCTCTAGGCCACCACACCGGATCTAGCTCTCTCAGACTTAATGGGGCTGAGCAGCCTCCATTGGCATCCCAATCCTACAACGAACTCCTCGACAAGTATTGCTTTGTACGTACCATTCGGCGCGACCAGGAAGGAATTTAGACGCTGACTGTTCTAGTTTGGATCTGCGAAGAACTCTCCGCCATTGAAGGATGGGACTTTAAATTCGCGTCCTGCCCAGTATGATGGAAACAATGATAGCAACACTGGCTACGTGGTCGACTCCGAGACTTCTTCCCCAGACAATAGTTCGCCTCTCATGATGCAAATGGTGCAGCGGCCTGCTATGGCGAGTAGGAGCGGATCTGGGACCATTCAACGCTCTGTTTCTCCAGCTCCTATGACTGGTTTTGTCACGAGTACGTCTCGGATGTATCCTTATGACGCTCACAGCGCCTCTGTGTTCAACGAAGCTCATACACCGACAGCAATCCGAGGATGATCGATCAACGAAGACGGTGTGAAATTGGACTGGCCAATTGCAAATGACCCCGGGCAGTTGCAACCGCCGGTACCAGCGTGCTATCTACGTTCGATGATCCGAATTCGAGGGACCTCTTCACTGATGGTACCTCGACGCCGTTCTTTTCTGGAACAACGAAACAGTAAACTCGGGACTCGTGTCCCACAAACAAACCCGCAACTCATTCACGGGCTACGACAGGCATTTCGTATGGGAGACGCACTTCCTACTTTTGATGCACTTGCGCGCTTCTTGCATGTCTTTTGAACCAACATCCCGTACTCTCCTCCACCACATGCGACAGCAGCAGAACGGGTTTCGTCCTGGACCCGAAAATGGAATTCGTGCGGATTTTGAAATCTTTACTCACCCTTCACATCACCGGCACACCAACCGGCATATCGGCATAGCATGAAACTTGCTTTTTTAATGTTCTTTTTCTCTCCAATTTTTCTTGTTTGGGTTGCTCACAAATCACATCTTGAGCGAGGCGCTAGCGGTCTTTTCCAAAGTGCGCAACAGATTTGGCATCATGGTTTTTATGGGCGGCGGGAAATCGTCGGTTTCTCGGGCATTATTTTTTGAGAAAGGGGGAATTTTTGCTTTTTCTGCTCTTTTTGCAGCGGCGTTTTTATCACGGGCGTTTTTATTTGTGCTGTGTGCTCGGGCATGGATACTTGGGAGGAAGCGCTTCTTTCACTGATTTTGTTTTGGGATCCTAAAAGCATGGCTTGTAACGGTTGTTTTTTGTTGCACAGGGTGGGAGGGGGACTCTCTCGGCTCAGTTGGCTGGTGTGGTGTGCTAGGGGGATGTTTGGCAGACTGGCTGGGGGTAATGAAAATTGCGGGGGACTGTGAATAAGTAACGACTACAGGACGCCCCGAACGGGGCGCCGGGGTGGAAGGGTTACAATGAAGGGGGTTGGAGGTGGTTGTATGTATGTTTGGACTGGGTAATTAGGCGTTGTGGGATGCTTGATGATGCTACGGGCTGATCAGTGCTACCAAATCGTCCAACTTTTTTGGACTTGAATCGAATGGATTCGTTCAATATCTTTGTGTCTTGGGTTCTTCTGTGATGTAATGTGATGTTATGTGATGTGTATACTCTCTGCTGTCTACTGTCTCATAGTCTTGTCTTTCCATCTTGCTCCTGGTCAACTTTGTAGCCAGAGGACGGGATTTGGTGGGCACAACTTGCACAATCTCCGCTACAGATCTTCCCTCTCCTTACTACAAAAGGAGGTGCGAAGGACTAATTCGGCGAGCATAAGACAGGCTTTTCTGCAAAGAAGTGCGAAACAGTATGGGGATGGGATGTCGAAATCCGGGTGATCAGGCTGGCGGGATAAGGTTTGGTACGCTTGAGGTTGTGTAGTAGGAACAGATGACTGTGAGAAAACGATGGCGGGAGGAATGAGATGATGGCAGGAATGAGATGACAGGAGGAATAAGGTGATGGTAAGAACGAGATGACGGCAAGAACAGGAAAGCAATGGTGTAGGGTTTTACATCTACTCGGGTCCTAACGTTTGTTTGTTCAATAGCGCTCCTCCGTAAACTTCGCAAGTGACAAGTGCGAATAGTTCCAATATGCGGCGTCGGTGTCTGTCCTCAGAACAGGAGTTGAGGGCGTATGAACGGTTGTGGAACCCCCCAGAACGCCTTGGAGGAGGTTAGAAATAATCCTAATAACAAGTCTCAATATCACGTTTCCCATAACTGGACAACCGGCGGGCCTAAAAGGGCCTTGGAAACTATAGTCGCGGCTGGTTGGTGAATAAGTACTTGATTTTAATAAACTGTGATCTAACCTATACTCCGCTCGCCTCAACCTGCTCGGGTATCATTGTCATGATGCACCTCTATGGTAGTCCCAGCCACATTCCCCATCGCCTCCCATGGTCTATGTTTCCGGCCATCTAACCCCTTTACCACCTCATCCCCCTTCCCACTGTATCCCGACCCCAGGTATTGGCGTCCCGACGTATGCTTGCGCCAACCCTCTTAATAATTCGTCATTGTATAGTTAAACATGAATCATAATGTCTATCATGGCAGAGCCGACGTTGTCGCCTCAACACCGCTCGCTTTCACAACGCCCACATTTGATAGTCCGAGTTTTGGGTCGATATGGACTGGCTTTCCGCGTTGTTTGGCGGTCAACTCAGCCATTGTCGTGATCATGGTGTTGCGGGTGTTGATAACCAGCTCGTCGACATCCTCGGATGTGAGGTTCTTCGTCTCAATAGGCTTGAGCACTGTGGAAAAGTCAGTATAAATTCTCCCCAGCGGAAGTGGAGGTATGTCTTACCCTTCACGCGTAGGTTGCCACCGTTGAACCGGTACTTCTTCACAAACAGCACATCGGAGTAGTTGGCGACGACAACCGGTACGATCGGTACTCCGGCCTGTACAGCCAAGTGGAAGGCGCCCTTCTTGAAAGGCAGCAGCCCTGGCTCCTCGGCGTAACTCCTGGTACCCTCAGGGAACATCCACACACTCTGGCTCTTGCGCTTCATCTCGTCCGCAGCGCCTTGCATCGCGCCTCTGGCACTCTTCGAGTTGCCACGGTCAATGAAAACCGTCCCGGACAGGGCCATAAACCAGCCTAGGACAGGAATACGCTTCAAGCTGGCCTTGGCAGTCACGGAGCAGTGGGTCGGGAAGACGGCGCCGAGCATGAGGATGTCGAGCTCGGTCTGGTGAGGACCGATGAAGACAGCGGGGCGAACGGTGTTCAAGTAGTTCTCGGGGTCCTCAATGATAACGTTTATGCCGGCCCCGTATTTCATCACGAACTCGAAGGCCCGTCCGGTGGCGTATTGGGCAGAGTGCTGGAGCCCGAACGGCCGGGCGATGAGAGAGACTGTGACACCGTATATGGCGCACGCAACGAGGGCAAGATATGACACGAGGATGCGCGCTACGAAGCCAGCCTGGGGGAGCACCAGAGACAGGCCGAAGAAGAACATGGCGAGGGCGGCGGTGAAGAGGAAGGGATACAAGATCCAGACGAGTATGGCGTGCATGATGGGCGGTAGTTTCTATGTCGCTGTCGGGGTGCAAGAGTGAGTTCTTGTCGTTATTGTTGATAACCCTCCCGGGACGCAAGACAGAGAAGCATATGGAGAAGAGAGAAAGCGGGACGTGGGGTTCTTTGAGGTCGTCACCGTTTTCAAGATTTCCAGCATTTTGGTGGGACTTGGTCATTACGCCGGTGCAGGTGCGACCTTTCATGTGACCCTCTGATTGGTACGTACTGCGGAACCCTGCATTTGGCAACAATTTAGTGTCAACGGGATAGGAACGCCGAGGAGAAACGATTATCCGACCCCCCACGGCCGATCCCCCATAAAGCTTATTTACCATGAGTCAAAAATCTTCGATCTTTCAACGCATCAACTCTCAACAATTGATACTATTAACCTCACTTACCTCTAATAATGGGTTCCCTCGGCACTTCAAACGCCTTCACGGTCGGCGTCCTCGCCCTCCAAGGCGCCTTTAACGAACACACCCAACTCCTGCGCTCAGCAGCCCAATTTCACCCCGCCACCCAGTTCACCTTCCTCGAAGTCCGCACCGCCGCCCAACTCGCAAGCTGTGACGCTCTCGTCATCCCCGGCGGCGAATCCACCACCATCTCTCTCATAGCCGAGCGCTGCAACCTCCTCGAACCCCTCCGCGACTTCGTCAAAGTCCAGCGCAAGCCGACGTGGGGCACATGTGCGGGGCTTATCCTGCTCGCCGAGTCGGCCAACCGCACAAAGGCCGGCGGACAGGAGCTAATTGGCGGTCTGGACGTGCGTGTCAACCGCAACCATTTTGGGAGACAGACGGAGTCCTTCCAGGCGGATCTGGATCTCAAATTCCTGGGCGCTGAGGGTGGCAAGGCGGACCCGTTCCGCGCGATCTTCATCAGAGCGCCGATTGTTGAGACTCTGCTGAAGGCATCTGATGGCGCACAGGAGGACGAGGCACAGAAGCCAGAGACTGTTATTGCGCCATCGAAGGATGTTGCTGAAGGAATTGACCCTTCGATCAAGCAGCAGCCAGTGGAGATCCTGGGTACAGTGCAAGGCCGCACCGCAGCTGTCAAAGGTCAAGATAGCGCGACCAACAATGAAGCGGGCGATATAGTAGCTGTGAGACAGGGGAATGTGTTTGGTACTAGCTTCCACCCGGAGCTAACGGGCGATGCTAGAATCCATGCCTGGTGGCTAGGAGAGGCAGTGAGGACCTTGGAGGGCAGGAAGTCTTCTTGAGCCTCGGCCACATGGACTGATTACTGTTTTGGATAAGATGGTGGGTTAATTGTCACACCGCGCTGCAATAGAGCAAAGCGGGGGGCTTGTGCATGATAGTACTGCCCCGTGAAAAATAATGACGAGAATCGGCATTGGCGAAACTGGGAACTTTTGGCGTTATACAGCAGCCTCACCAGCAAATTCAGCACATGCGATTTCCAGCCAATGGAAGCAATGACGGATACGGTTTAGATGTATGTTTTGATTCAGCGCTCGACTTCAAACGCCTACGACAACCCCATATTAATATGAGGATCACCCAAACGCAACGTGTTCTGCAACACGTCACATATTACCTGGCTCTCAAAGAACCATCACCACATATCCCAATCTTGTCACGACTCGTCAATCTTGAGGATCTCAACCTTCGCATCCTCCCACGTCTCCTTGTTCTTCTTTGCCCATTCGATCTGCGACTTGGCGTACGCGAGCTGGTAGAGGAGTTAGCAAGATATTTGGTATAGGGACACAGTATATAGAAATAGACCGGCACATAGTAATCGCGGGGCAGAATAGACATTGAAAATCCAAACACTTACCATATACCTCCTCAAATCATCCTCCTTCTCATCCTGGAACCTCCTCAGATCCTTAAGCACACCTGCACTCGCATCCGTGACGTCCTTTGCGACAGCCACCTGTCCCTGCTCGAGGTGTCCAATGGCCTCACGGGTCTTCCCGATGTTGTCGCGCCGCGATTTCTCCGGGTCCACGTCCGCAAGCCCATGGACAGCATGACTGATCCGCCCAAAGATCTTGTTGGTGATAAAGTTCCCGCTGCTGCTCTTCTTGTGAGACAAGGCGTTGTGGTCTTGTGGTATGCCTTGCTGTGCACTGGGCGCGGTGCCATCATGGGTAGGTGGGAAGTCGGAGTCGATGCTTTCTGTTTCTTCAGAGTGGGCGTCTCTCCTACTTGGAGCGTCCCGGCCCGATGAAGTAGAACGGCGTAGACCCTCTGAGCGCCCGCCGTTGCTCAGATACTGCTCGATGCGCTGTGCTTCCGCCTCGCTGCGTTCGAGCGAGTCTAAAGTTGCACGTTTCTTGGCGAGCTCGTCAATCACCATTTCTTGCTGGACTCGCTTCATTACCCTGTATTTGAGGACAGTGCGGACGACACCTGCGAATTGCGCCGACTCGCGCATGGGCTCGGCAAAGGTAGCGCCTACTGAGTTGACAAGCTCTTCCGTGGCCAAGTACGAATCGTCCACCGCCCGACCAACTCGTTCGATCGCCGCCGAAAGAGACGCGGACGGTTCTGGTAATGACAAAGCGTTAAGTCTGGCGCCTAGTTCTGCAAAATCAGAAGACAATTGGCCGAGATGCGTCAGTGTCCTTTTGTTTACTTTCTCCATCGAACCCATTAGAAGGAGCTCTAGTTCTTTCGAAGAAGCCTCAAAGTTCACAAAGTAGCCATCTAGATCTTGCTCGCTCATGTTCTTTGTGTCAGGAGGGAATCGGCCGAATACTTGCGGACCTGGCGTAGAGTGCGCCGCAGCAGATGGGCTAGAATTGAAGTCCGATGGCTGGCTGAGCATTCCCTGGGAATTAGTATTATAATATCCGGCAGCCTTGAGTTTCGCAGATGCAGGTGGTCGTGGCAGGTAGGCATGAGCGGGGGTGGGATTTGCGGTGTCGAGTGGTGGCGCATTCAGAGTAGATTTTGGAATTGATGCAATGGGGTGAGTGTGGAGAACTTCGCTCTGCAAATAATCAGCATTCCATAGCCCTCAATAGTGGAAAATATACGAACCCAGCTCGAATTAGGATCCAAAAACCTCCACCAAACTCCATCATTGCGGACGTCTTCCATGCGACGACAGCGGTTCAGAAACACTGCCAGCATCCGCTTCCGGTAATCGATCATTTGCTGGTCCTGCTTCGCCTTCGTGGGGTTTGCAGCATAGTCTGCCATTGTATGCTTCTCTGGAATTGGCGGGATTATTAGAGTCGGGTGCAGCCTAGCGAGCGCATCTCTCAGAGATGCGAATTCAGAGTATCGCCTGCGAACTTCCAAATCCTGTGTCTGTCAGCAAGAAGTCTCAATGCGTGAACAAAATACTAACGCCTGTCCTGATGGTATATGCAATATACTTCGTGCCGTCCGCGCCTTTCCCAGCTTCCGTGATCAGGATGGGTAGGTTGGGGTTCTCGTATAGGAGCTGCTCCACGCGGCTGTCATAACCACCCGGTTTTGGCCCCGGTCGTGAATTCCCCAACGCTTCAGAGGCATAACCTTCCTCGCTATCACTTTCATTCACAAAGCCTGCCGATTGGGCGAAGTCCGGGGGGTCGGCAAAGGCATCTGGCGCGGCTGAATCGGAGGTGCTATGGGCTACAACACGCCAATCAGTATCGCTATCGTCGTAGTCTCCAAGAAATACAGAGTACATAGTCCTGTAATGAATGATATAATGAAGGACTGAAAGAACTCACCTTGCTCCGCTGTGCTCTGGTTTGCAGAGGATGACGTCCCAGAGTCTCGCCGCTCAAAGCTCGTCCCATACGGATTGTTGTCTTCGTCGTTCCACATCATGCAAGCACCCTCTAAGACACTGAGCGTGAGGCGGGTATCGTTTAACAATGACTCAGTGCCGCTGTAAACGCAATATGTGCTGTGGTCGCTGTTCGTTGTTTGATGGCGCTGTATGTTCCTTCCAACCTTGCTGTCCATCGTCCACGGCTTATGACGACGCTTGGTGGGCGGGCGGAGCTATGGTCGGGCTAACGATAATCCGCTAGGAACAGGGACCCAGCCAGTTAGAGTGGATCAGCGATCAAACCTCACGCCCCGTCACTTGGAACAACAAGCTTATATTGGATCTATTGGCATGTAGGTACCCGATTATGCAGCGGTAACATCTCTTTGATGCATATCTTCAGCTTAGAATCCTGTTTGTATCTTGCCCACGAATTGATGATTATTGGCTTGGTACAGGTGATTTTTAATGGTACGAATGGATGTTTGTACAGTCTACTTCTAGGTATCTTTGGTCCAGCTATCATCTTTCATGTGGCCCTCTCTGGCTCCGCTCTTTCCTTCTTCTATCCACGTTTCCACGAATCCATTCTTGGGATCTTCTGCGTCATATCCCAGCGAGTTCCTTAACTTCACAACTTCATTTCGCATCCGCTGAGTTGCCTCCAGCCGCAGTGCCACGGCTTCTGCGTTATACTTCAGACCCTCTGTGAGCACTCCCATCTCCATTGTGGTATCTTGCCCTTTCTTCTCCAACGCTTCCCGCTGCATCTCAACGAGGGCCTTCCACCTGCGCCTCAAGTCGCCAAATACTTTCTCTCCATCAACGCTATCGCCGAACACCACTGTGATCTTCTTCCCGATTCTAGGAATGAAGCGCGGAAACGTCCTGCTCTCATGCATCACATGCTGGGTGCCGTCAATGAAAATGGGAATTATATCTGGTAAAGGTTCGGATTCAAGTATCATCCGAGACACGCCCCACTTGAAGTATCGCATAGCCAGTGCTGGGTGCTGGTGTATGCGGCCTTCCGGGAAGATGTGAACCCAGCTGTGCTTCCGCGAGCCATAAGCTGACGGGGCTGGAAACACATCCGTTCCATTGGTAGAATAGGTAATTGGGTAAACCAGCGAGTTGGATGAGAAAGGATCGACGACGTCTGGCGATTTTAGGGAGGCCGACGGTGAGGACCGCGGGGAACTCAGGGCTTGCTCTGGGGTTAAAAATGGCTGCGCGGATAGTAAGCGGATGGCTTGGGTAATAGTAGGCTGAAACAAGCCGCCGAATTCAGAGTGGGCGGTGCGATGAGTAGGCAGAGTTTGGCCGAGAGAGAAGAACGTTGAAAGGGCTCTGCGGGATCTTGTCAGAAACAAACTTCTCTCAAATGATACAATCAAGACTCACTTGTTCTTAAAGCATATATCGTAGCTCCCAAGAGACCACCTCTGGAGGGATGGGTTGAACAGTATGTTATAAGGCAGAAAGCCCCACATTAAAGGGTCATCCATACTGTTCTCACATTGTTAGCCGCCGAAATACTCAAAATTTCAATTGCCAGTTTTGGCTGCTTTGCACCGAATTACTTACACGCTGACATGATTGGAAACTGTCCGGTTCTCTTATTAGCGACTGGCAATACTTGGGGATACGCCAAAGACCCTTACCAGTAAGAAGTCCCCTAGTCCTAGCCCCTACATCTCGCCTCTCTTCCAAAACCTTGAGAAACCTATCCAGACCAACTACTTGAGAGTCATTGAGCCCATAAAGGAAAGTCCGACAAAAGGCCCCGACCGCTCCGATGGTCACGGATGATCCAATTCGCCAAGGTAATGACGGCTGGTTTGGGGGAGTAAGAGACGACATGTCGTGATACCCAGCGTCAGCTGAGCTTCTCAGATAATTAAATGAACAATCATCGTCTGTCTTACGAAGCAAAGAAAAGAGGAAGGCGCAACTGCTATGTGTGAGAAATAGTTACGAGGTCATTGAGATGCACGTGTTGATACACATAATCCGTTGCGCCGGCGAGCGGATTATTACTTAATCCGATGCCCCAAACTTTTGGATACTGACAAGGATAAGATCGCATCTAGACATCTCTATAAACGTCCTGTATTTGCGAGCCAGGTATCATTCACGGCAAATATCTCAACCATATATACGCTGAAATGTCACACAGTAAGCTGAAAACCCCGCCTTTCTAAACATAACTGCCCAGCAATCTAACACGTCAAAAGGCAAACGCAACACCGCGCGCAGCGTCTTCACATCTTACGAGCGCGACCTCGCGAAATCAGCATGGTCGAACAATTCCGCCCGCCTATCTCGCGATTCCTTCCTCCCATTCGCATCATGCAGTCTCTGCCTGATGCCAGCGCAATCGCCGGTGTCCTGCTCCCACGGCCACATCTTCTGTCGCGAATGCGCCCTCTCGAATATCCTGGCCCAGAAGAAGGAAATCAAGAGGATGGAGAAGGTGGCGGAGCGGGAACTAGCGGAGGCGCAAGATGTTGCACTCAAGGATGATGAGGAGGCGAAGAAGAGGGCTGTGGAAGAATTTGAGAGGGTGCAGATGGGGTTACAGGCCAAGGTTGGCGCGGGGCGGAGTATTGTTGGGAGGCAGAGCGGCAAGGTCGTGGTAGAGGAGGATGTAGTGGGAGGAAAGCGTGGGGAGAAGCGGAAATTCGAGTTGGATGAGGATGAGTTGCTGCGGATTGCGAAGGACGACAGGACGAAGGCGCGGAAGGCGATTGATGATGAGAAGGCGTCGAAGACGACTCTACCGTCATTCTGGGTACCGTCTATCACTCCATCCTCAAACACGAACAATACACTACACGACATCAAGAAGAAGGCGAAATCTTCGCCCGTATGCCCGTCATCCCAGGCCGATAAGCCGCACTTTTACTCGTTGCATACTCTTATAACTGTCTCATTCACCGAGGAGAAGAGCTCAGACAAGAAGATCACTCAGCGGATATGTCCCGCGTGCAAGAAGGCGTTGAGCAATAGCTCGAAAGCCATGCTGACGAAGCCTTGCGGGCACGTAATATGCAAGAGTTGCACGGAGAAGTTCATGAGCGCGGGCAAGGGGGATCCGCATGGACCGGAGGCGGAGGCAGATAAAATACGCTGTTTTGTCTGTGAGGCTGATCTAACGGAAGTTAAACCCAAGGAGGGGAAGACACAGAAACCCGAGAAGGATAAGGTTACACCTGGGCTGGTGGAGATCAAGAGCGAGGGAACGGGATTTGCGAGCGGAGGGATGAATAAAGTTGAGAAGTTGGGAGTTGCATTCCAATGCTGATACGATACATACTTATAGAGATACCCCATCAGATTAAAGAAAGGTTTAATCCTGTAATGTTTGCCATGAAACTCTATGTGATAGCAGTAATATAAGTAGTACTCGTGCCACCAAAAAGCATGAAGAGGGGCTGTACATGACAACAGTGATTACAGCAACTGCAATTCAAGTAAAGACGTTTAATTACTCGGGACTACAGTTAGTGAGCTAGATACTGAAAAGTTGAACTGAAGAGATAAGTTCTATGCGTTTAAATTGCTGGTATTAATCCTGAGCGACGTGTACAACCGCGTTCACATGAAGTGATATGCACGGGCCATAAAGTGATACCTTGGAAACTCACAGGGATCATCGGGACCTGGGTATGACGTATTGGCCAGAACGAGAACGTCGGAACTCCATCATCACATCCAAGTCCTCTCCTTTGGATTCGATTCCACAGGCTCTACCTACATTATATGGATGTTAACCATTAAATCATATTGACGATATATCATTTGAATTCCCACGTTTCTGATAATCTGCCCCTATTCTTGTATTGGCCCTCGAGCACTTCGCCAGACTCCAAGATGGCGCACATCTACAATAGCCAACTGGTATGCAAGTCATTGTTTCAGCGCGTTTAGGAGTCACAGAAATCACGAATGACGGTAGCTAACAGTCTACTCATAGGACGCCTACTCCATCTACCATATCGAGAAAGAAGACCCCAACTCCCTCCTCTACCAGCACCAGCACCACCACCATGGCTCTCCCTCCAACGCCCTACCCGCACTCGGCCACGCTATCTCTGGTTCGACAGGAACGGCCATCTCGAACCTTGTCACCTACCCCCTTGATCTGATAATTAAGCGTCTTCAAGTCCAGCGCATCCAGCATTCCAACTCCACCGACTCCTCCGATGACACATACGACGGCATCCTCGACGCCGCCGAGAAGATCTACGCGCGTGACGGCATTGCAGGTTTCTTCGCTGGCGCCATCCCCGACACCGCGAAGAGTATCGCAGACTCATTCCTCTTCTTCCTCTTCTATAACTACCTACGCACGCACCGACTCGATGCACACAGCACTCACAAACTCAGCACCCTTGACGAACTCGCCGTGGGCGCCGCTGCTGGCGCCCTAAGTAAGCTATTCACTACACCCCTATCCAACATCGCAACTCGCGCCCAGACCTCCCGCAGCGCAACCTCGGTGCAGGATATCGCGAATCGCATCCTCAAGGAGAAGGGCATCCAAGGCTTCTGGGGCGGGTACTCTGCCAGTCTGGTACTGACACTCAACCCCTCCCTCACATTCTTCTTCTTCGAGTCACTGAAACGCCTACTACCACGCTCCAAGCGCGACGACCCAGGGGCACGTCTTACGTTCCTCCTTGCTGCGCTTTCCAAGGCCGCCGCATCGAGTATCACCTACCCCTTCTCACTCGCCAAGTCGCGCTCACAAGTCTCACCCGCACCAGCAGTTAAGCAGTCCCGTGCTGAACTCAAGGCGGAGGCGAAATCCGACCTCCACAAGGCCGCGCATTCTGCCAAAGCCGCCAAGGCAGTGGGACGGAAGGACCTCAAGCGCGCTGCTGACGCGACGGTATTCAGTGCCGTAGCGCGCATCTACCGCGATGAGGGGCTAGAGGCGCTCTACGTTGGACTCGGGGGGGAGGTACTCAAGGGCTTCTTCAGTCATGGAATTACGATGCTTGTGAAGGAGCAAGTTCACGGGTGGGTCATCAAGTTATACTTCGCTCTCATGAGCGCGTATCGCAAAGTTGGACTGGGAGAGGTGAAGAAGACAGACGCGTACGAGCGCGCGGCGGAGCAGGCGAAGAAGTTAGCGAGGAAGAAGGACGCGTATCAGCGCGCGGCGGAGAGGATGAAGGGGTCGAAGACGGCGGGGGCGACGGCGCTGCCGCTGGTGGATGGGGCGGTGGGGATGGGGGAGAAGATGGAGGGTGCGAAGTCGGCGGCTGCTGCGAAGGCGCATAGTGTGCTTGATCAGGCGGTTAGGGGGACAAAGGAACAGGTTAGTGGGGAGCGGGTTGGTGGGGGGGTTGGGAGGCGCGCGTTTGGAGGAGATGTGGATTCCAGGGCGGAGGTGGAGTCGGAGGGGCCGGGGGGGTGGAAGGAGGCGAAAAGGTTGTTGGATGGGGTGGGCAGTATGGGGGAGTTGGATATGTTTAAGGAGAAGAAGGTTGGGGGTATTGAGGAGTAGTTGAGGGATAGGGGTAGGGGATATCATGTATGTATGTACTGTACGGATAGTTTCACGCAATCACGAAACGTCGAAAATGGCACTACTGTGTTAGACGGAATTGAAGGTTTTCCTCTGTCTTGCTCTGTAATACTCTACTCGCCCTATACTGTGAAGCTGTTCAACCTGTCAACATCCCAGAAAGGCATCCCGCCTCACTCCGGAGAAAGCTGCGCCGATCCCGGATTCCAACCCACGCCAACTTGGCAGCTCCATGAACCCAGTGAGTGGGATTCATGAGGCGGACGAGGAGATAAGAGGTCGAGCGATGATTATACTGTTTATACTATACTTATACGTGCATGGGGGAGCAGGTACCGTTGTTTGTGTGTGAGGTAGAGGTCCAGATGAAAGTGGAGTTTTGATACTACCTACGTCACTCGTATGATGTTGACGGGGCTATTAGAGTGTTGATCAGTGTAGAGCCCCCGTGACCTGTAGTGGACTCGACGGACACTCCGAGAGGGATTTATTGAGGAATCCAGTTGGAAAAGAAAGCTGTAAATCACTCAGTTGTGATTAGACTGTTATATTAATCATAATACACCGTAATATAGCCATATCAGCAGTAATATACCAGTTCGGCGTCTGATCTTCCAGCTGCCCTGTCTTGCCTGGTCTTGCCAAGGATCGGCGTTGCGGCGGCGGAATATCTGTACATCCAGCAACTGTATCTCTCCGCTGCACTCTAATCTTTGGCTCCGGCGGTCTGGAAGTACGGTAGTTCATAGTTGCCTGCTAGTCATCCCTCCATCAACCCCAACCCAAACGCACACTCGTAACTCCACAACCACACCAACTTCTCCACATCTTCCTCCGCAACTCCTCCACATCTCCAAACCCTTCAATCGTCACCATCCTCCTCCATCTCAACACTGCACAGCCTCACGCCTCATACAAAACCCACCCTCTACCTCCCAGGCTCCCACCACGTCAGCTCCGGCATGACTCAACACCGCTGAACCGCACCTGTACGCACCTCACTCAACCTCACCTCACGCCCCCCGCCCCAGGCCATGGACGAAGCCTCCACCCTCATCGCTTCTCTGCACTCCAAACTGCGCGAGCTGGACCACAAAGTCCTGCTCTACCGCCGCGACATGGCCGCCGAGTTCACCAAGCACTCCGACGCCCTCCTGCGCGACGTCTCCCCCGATGTCGCCGCCTCCGTCACCGCCGCAGTGGCAGAGGGCATGGGCGCCTACCCTTCGCTCGTCGACACCGTAGCCGCCACAGCGACGCCGGAGGTATCAGAGACACCGCCTTCTACGAATCCAGCGGGTGAGATTGCACGGGAAGTAGGACGGCTGAAGGAGGAGGGCAAGTTGGCGCCGCCGCCACCGATAGATGTAGCTGGTGTGGCGGATACAGATGTGCCGCGGAGTCCGCACGCGAGGGAAGCCGAGTTTTTGGGTGTTTTTACACAGGGATATCTGCCGTTGCTAGATAGCTCCGATAAGCACGAGAGGCGGTCTAGTGGAGATGGGACGCCCACGCTGAAGGCGGCACAGGACGCGGAGGCGGATAAGAAGGCAGAGCTGGCGGCGGCGAGTCTGTCGGCATCGTATTCGCCACCCCCGAGGAAACCGGAGCCGCGGCGGCGGAATACGGATGATTCGGGCGCGATGTCTGATCCTGAGAATCCGGTGCGAAGGAGCGCGCTGAGAAGGAACTCGAGCTCGGGGAAGGTGAATGGACTGCGCAGAGTTAGGTTTGAGTTTGCGGGCAAGGAGTTCCCGACGACGTCGAGTCCGAGTGTGGCTGAGACGACGATGATGCCTTCGGTGCTAGATGCGATGTCGAGCGAGGCCGATGAGGGAGGGGAAGAACACGCGGAGATAGAGCAGGTGGAGGATGTGGATGAGGAGATTGCGCCGCGGCGGATCTCGAGCTCGCAGGCTTTGAGAATGCTGTCTCGTGGCCCTGTCGAGGATGATGGCACGAAGTGGGATGAGGTGCGCGCACCGGCTGATGGGTCTGCGTCTGTATCTATCGACGATGCGGCAGCCGCGTTGTCAGATGAAGAGGATTTCATCAGCATTGCGCCGCGGCGGATGTCGCCGCAGTCCCCCAATGGAGCATCGCCAATTGCCATTCCAGGGCCCGTGTCGCCATCGACGTCACCACATGTCTCGCAACTGCACGAAGACGTATCTAACGTGTCTATTGAGGAGGCAGAGGAAGAGAAGGACATACTCTCCGAGATGACGCCGCTGGCGCCTATGCACTCAACCAGGAGCGTCATGACGAATAACACCACATCGCCAGCAATGCCCATCGATATCTCCGGCGGCGCCAACCCCTCCAACACCCTCACGTCTCCTTCTCCACCGTCGAAAACCCCTGCGCCCACCACCACACAGCCTACAAGACCCCCCCTCGGCGCCACCACCGCGGCATCCACAGCCGCTCCGCCCTCCCCAACATCAACCCCCCACCTCGACTCCGACTCCGAAGACGACTTCTTTGCCTTCGACGACGCTCCGCCCTCAACACGCACTCGCCGCGCCAAACCACCACGCGCACAGTCCCCGGACTCGACGTCAAGCTCGAGTTCCGCCCCCGCTTCGCCTGAGCGTCCCGTTCCCGCCGCACTATCAGCCTACGCCACGTCGCCCGCGCGGGCTATCGTGACGCCGAAAGCACGCGCGACTTCCGCGCCTGAGGCAGGTGATGTGGATGCAGATACTGGCGGAGGCAGAGGCGCAGGCGCAGATATTTCGTACGCTCCAGTAGTAGGCAGTTCCCTCCGCAACTCCTATCATCCTTTTGCGGAACCGATAGTCAGCCCCGCGATGCATGAGGCGGCGCGGCGGATGGGGGAGGTGAGCTCGTTTGTGGGGAGCTTGAGGGATGGGATGAGTGGGGCTAGGGGGGCGTCCTGGGGGGGGTCGGCAGGGGGGTGGGTTGAGGGTGGAGGGGCGAGGAGTTTTAGTGAGAGGTTGGCTATGGAGGAGTGGGCGGAGGGGAGGGAGAAGGGGGAGTAGTAGGGGTGTGTGTGGATTTAGTGAGTGATTGAATTCGTTGGGTGGCGTTTGGGTTTGGGGATTTGGAATTTGGGAGGATGTTTGAAGTTGCTGAGTATAGGGGGCGGGGGGTTATAATATACATATGGGGAATTGGCTGTATATGAGATAGATCGGGTACGGGGATACTTAATATCAGTGGCACTATCTGTATCAGAGATCCATTAATTATAATTTTAGTCAAGATAATACCTAGTCGGTGAAGATGTGCCACTCGCGCTTGCTGTCACAACGAGATAAACTCACCACTTACACCATAAACAACAACGCCTTTACTGCACATAACATCTTTCACTTCACACAATACACAACACTTTCACAACACATCACACTTGAACCTCCCACAACACCCACACCGCCCCGACCTCCTCTGCTCAACATGTGGGGCAGGAAGACTATCAAGTCGCGTCAATCCTCAATTTGGCTGGATTATACACCATTTCACCAACACCTTCGCACGGGACTCGCCATCCCAGGAAAGGGATGCGTACGAGAGACGCCACGAGCCCGTGACAAGATACAATTCGATGACATTCGAGTTGAAGGGGTTGCTCACCCCGAATACTTCAGATGCAGTGCGAGCAACCAATCTCAACGAAGGAGCAAGGAAAGCTCGTGAGAAGATACTAGAGCGCAACATCGCTCGTGACGACGAGGCCGCAATGCCGGCAGAGAAGCCGCGAACTCACAGACTAGATGCTTGGAGTGGAACTAGGCAACCTCAGGAGAGAGATCGCCGAAGACCTTCGCTCTTCAAACAGAGATTTGGAATATGTCAAGGAGGAATTGAAGATGCACCTCGACATCATAACGACGGAAAACCAAGAGCTCGAAACCAAGAGATGGAAACTCGAGAAGAAGAGTCAAGAGACTCGAGAGAAAGTTGGCCAAGGTCAACTCGTTGATCGCCGAATTACGGGTGGACGACGAGTGTATGAAGACAGATTTGTCGTCAGCGAATTCGACGGCCAAAAAAATGGCCGAAGCAAACAAGATCCTCGAGCGTAATATCGCAGATACGAAAATCCGATTCGACAAGCTGCAGATGGACAATGAGACCGCGAGAAGGGAACTGGCGTCGGCAAACTCGAAAATCGGCAATATGAGCATCACAAACGAAACTCTCGGCCGTAATTCAGCTGAGTTGCGGACCTAATTCCACAATTGCGAGTAGAGAACGAGACTATGAAAGGAGAATTGGCATTAGCGAGCCCTAAAATCGGCAATCGAAGTACAGCAACGGAAACTCTCGAGCGCGAAGCCATCGATGCAAAGACAAAACTTACTCGACTGCAAATGGAGAATGAGACCCTGAAAGGGGAATTGAAATTGGCAAACTCAACCACCGATGACGCGAACAAAGCGATCAAGATTCTTAAGACCGAAGCTACTAATCCAAGTGCAAGATTCGACAAACTGCGAATTGAAAACGAGGGTCTGAGGAAGAATCTAGCCTCAGCCAACTCGAAAATCGCCAGCTTAGATCGCGACGCCACAGATACAAAGATCTAATTCAACAAACTGCGAATGGATAATGACAATCTGAAGAGGAACCTGGGATCGACAAGGAAGGGAATTAACGAAGCAAGACTGATGAGAGTCTGAAGGGAAACTCTGTGGCAGCAAACTCGAGAATCTAGGCTCTCGACCGGGACATCTCGAGTATGAAAAAGAAGCTCGATTCCTTGACTGCAACGAGCGATACATAACGAGGGGAGTTGGATTCTATTTGCGACTAAATATATAAGTAACTAAGGTATGAATATATACTCAATCTTGACATGAACGATATGCTAAACGAAATTAGTCTGCTAAGGCGCGAAACCATACAAGATCAAGTCAAGGTGGATGGAAAGCCTCTCCTCGAAGCCACGAATGAGATCATAACCCGCGTCATCAGGGTATTCAAGACGACAAAGAAACGCGCTGCCACACAAGAGCAGCAGTTGTCCCAACTCGGGTCAACAAAAGACCAGTCGGACGTACAGCGCTGGCGGATCTTGGGGTTGGAGGGGAGGTGGATACCATGAAAGCGGAGAAGACAGAACTCCAGACAGGTAAGTGAGTCTTCTCGTTGCAATCCCCCTTATTACTAACGTGTACCATAGTGCACGATAACCTCTAGGAGACGGTGGCCAAACTCGAGCGTGAAGAAGCTGAGCTCGTTGCTCTGATCACCCCGGACAACTCGATAGTATCGAACTCCGGCATCTCTTCAACCAGAGAACAGTCTCTCACCTCGTTGCAGGATGAGGCTCGAGTGGAAGATGCCACCCAGGAGACTGACGGAACCGCGCCAGACTTTGCTTCCCTCGCTGGAACAGGAGTGGGGGTGAAAGACGGCGATACCGCAACTGGACCCCAGCAGATGGTCGAGGTGGTTGAGAACTGGAAACTGACCTGGAGGAGGAGGTTTGGCAGCAGTGAAGATGGGGTCGCAGGGTGGGCAAGACCCTCGCGTACCAAAGTTGACTCTTGCATTAACCGTAGATCGCTGAAGCTGACAATCGAGCGCAACGGGGCACACGAGTGTCAGAGCAACCCAGCCATAGCCTGCACTGGCTGTGTCAAGCGAAAGACACCGTGTATCATCGCATCGGACGTTCTCCCTCTGCCGGTGGTTCTACCTCTCCCAGAGAGGCACCGGGAGGGATTTGGTCGACAAGACCCAGGGTTCTGGATCGTCCGGTGAAGCTGGGCGGGAGCTGGGCGGGATATATGGTGCTGGTTAGGCTAGGTCGGCGGGCTGTCATAGAAGCTTATACCCATCAAGGCCAACCTCGAAAAATTCGAAAATAATACCCGTAATTAAAATATCCCGTTTTATTTATATTTGCTCTATTTCTTGCCTTTTAGTGACTATTATAATAATTATATTTCTAAATGATTAAAAGGCTTCATATTTTTTATAGTCGCTATAAATTATCAAACCCCAAATAGAGCCTTAAAGCATTTTCTTACTTTTAGGTGACTATTATAATAAATTTAATTACTGTTACTACAGACTCTCCAACCGGTAATGATCTCTATAGGCTTCTTCCTGTCTCTAAGTGACTGTCGCATAAAATCTCTTCCATACTTTGTTTTTGAGTCAACCTGAAGAAGCGTCACTGATATCAACGCACAATGCACGGACCACCCGAACCCGAAATCGTGACGACGAAATATTTTTGGACGAGAGGGGCAGGAGGGTCCCACGACCACCAATTGACTCATCACAGAACTTTTGCGCCCGCTAACTCTTAAATACCCCACGCCTCGAACAGCTCCGGGTTCATGAACATCCTACCCCAAACCCTCCTGCGCGCTACACGACACACACTCCCACGAACCCTTTCGAATCTGCCAAAGTACACGCGCAAAAGACTCTGGAAACCCCTCGCCCACCGCGCCTATACTACCCCGCCAAAGCGCGCATACATCAACATGGCACACGCCAACGCCGATGAGCTGGCCACCAGCCTGCAATCCCTCGGACTGAAGGGCTCGCTCGATGCCTACCCGAATTGCTACCCGGAGATCAACCCGGTCGATATCTACAGGGCGCACATCACGTCCATCCTGTCCGAGATCACTGGCGTGGACCGTTCGATAGTGTACCCCTCGCTGCAGTGGACGCAAACACTTGAGAAGGGTGATATGGTTCTGCCCGTCGCCGCGCTGCGTGTGAAGGGCAAAAAGCCGAATGAGCTTGCTGAGGAGTGGGCGGCAAAGGTATGCGCGGCCTTGTTTGGGGCTGACGGAGTGATGCTAACGGCGGAATAGTTTGAGGAGACGGCACTGGTGCAGAAGCCTGTTGCGGGAGGCCCGTTCCTGCAGTTCTACTTCAAGGTCGACAAGCTGGCGCAGATCCTGCTGCCGACGATTCTCAAGAGCCAAAAGACGTTTGGTAGCAACCCGAACAATGGGCTGAAGGACCCGGCGGACCCGTCGAAGGGAAAGAAGAAGATTATCGTGGAGTTCTCGTCGCCGAATATTGCGAAGCCTTTCCATGCTGGACATCTCCGAAGCACAATCATCGGTGGCTTCCTCTCGAACCTATACGAAAGCGCGGGTTGGGATGTTGTCCGTATAAACTATCTTGGAGACTGGGGCAAGCAGTACGGATTACTGGCCCTCGGATTTGAGAAGTACGGTAACGAGGAAGCGCTGAAGGCGGATCCTATTAACCACCTTTACGAGATCTACGTTAAGATCAACACGGATATGACAAAGGAGAAGGACGAGATTAAGGCGCTTGAGGAGGCCGGCAAGAAGGACGAGGCACAGAAGATCAAAGATACCGGCATTGATGAGCAGGCTCGCAAATACTTCAAGGCCATGACTGACAACGACGAGAAGGCTATTGCACAATGGGCCCGCTTCCGTGAGCTCAGCATCAAGAGGTACAAGGAGACGTACGCTAGGTTGAACATCCACTTCGACGACTACTCGGGAGAGTCTCAGGTTAAGGAGGAGCGCATGGCCCAGACGGGCAAGAAGATGGAGGAGATGGGCATTGCTGAGGAGTCGGAGGGAGCTGTCATCGTGGACTTCGCGAAGCACGTGCCTGGAAAGGCTGGCAAGGCGTTGGAGCGACCTGTTATCAAGAAGAAGGACGGCACAGCGCTGTACCTCACCCGTGATATCAGTGAGATCCAGCAGCGTGTCGATAAATACAACTTCGACCACATGATCTACGTCGTCGCGTCGGCGCAGGACCTGCATCTCAAGCAGCTCTTCAAGATTATCGAGCTGATGGGCTACAAGGAGCTCGCCGCCAAGGTGCAGCACATCAACTTCGGCCTGGTCCTCGGCATGAGCACCCGCCGTGGTACCGTGAAGTTCCTCGACGACATCCTCCGCGACGTCGGCGACAAGATGCACGAAGTCATGCGCAAGAACGAGGCCAAGTACGAGCAAGTGGCCGACCCCGAGGCCGTCGCCGATATCCTTGGTATCTCCTCCGTCATGGTCCAGGACATGTCCGGAAAGCGTATCAACAACTACACCTTCAACATGGAGGCCATGACCTCCTTCGAGGGTGACACCGGCCCATACCTCCAGTACGCGCACGCCCGTCTCTGCTCTATCACCCGCAAGGCGGCGCTGAGCCCCGAGGAGATTGCCGGCGCGGACCTGTCGCTGCTGACGGAGCCGCACGCGCAGAACCTCATCCGTGTCATCTCCCAGTACCCAGATGTCGTTAACAACACGCTGAGGACGCTGGAGCCGACGACGGTTCTGACGTACCTGTTCAAGATGACGCACACTCTCAGCTCGAGTTACGATCACCTCCGCATTGTTGGCTCGGAGGCGGAGCTGATGAAGGCGAGGATGGCGCTGTATGATTCGGCGAGGGTTGTGCTGAACAATGGAATGAGGCTGCTGGGATTGAGCCCTGTGGAGCGGTATGTTTATTCTCTATGTTGATTCTGTGTGTGTAGATACTAACGATTACAGCATGTAAATGATGCAATGACACAGTGAGTTTAAAATATAGCTAGTTTTGGAGGAAAGGCTTTGAGGGCTTTCTAAAAGCTATGTCACCCAGTACACGTTATTGTAGACAAGTGTACTGGAAGCCGTGACCGGGGAAAGAGGGCGGTCCAAGGGACGCCATTCGACATAAAAAGCATTTGTAATAAGGAAAATCAGACTTCACAATTGTTAGAGTACCCATCTGCATTATTCATGAACAATTTCAGCATACACTCGACAGTCTAGTTATAAATACAACCGTCCCCTGCTGGCCCACCAGTTTTCCATCTCTTTCTTGTACACCACCCCGCCTCCCAATCTATCATACATCTCTTCCACCACCAACTCAAGCAGTAGCACTAGTCTTAATCTGTACTCCATGCCACCCCTCCTCATCCATCTGCTCCTTGAGCAACTTATTAACCATCCTCTGCTGCGCCAGCATCCCAACCCCAGTAAACGCACTACTCGCAATCTCGATCGCGAACATACTCCCACACCCCCCTGAGACATCCTGAACGTGCAGAGACGAGGGCGATAGGCCCGCGGAGAGTGAGTTGTGGATGCGTTGTTCGGCGGGGGAGAGGTGGGATAGCGCGTCCTCAGCGGGTTGCGCGGGGGCGGCCGCCGAGGTGGGCGTGGAGGAGTATGGCCTGTATGCGAGGGGAAGACGGCGGGGGGCAGCGCGGAGGACAGTTCGTGGAGATGTTGCGATGGCGCGGGAGGTGCGGGGGATGGCGCGCGCGAAGAGAGAGAGGATGCGTGGTGTTGACATTGTGTTTATAAGCTCGCGGCGGAGCGTGGTTGGGATGGCGGAGATGTGTAATTCGACCACTGTTTGGGTCGAGGGTGCGGTACAAGTGCGTCGCGGATGCAGCTTGAGGGTTGGGCTTTGTTTACCACGCGGGAGTATTCGTTTTGGTAGGCGTGGGAGCTTGAGATCCTGTGTTGGATGGTGATGATTGGGGGATTGGATTGGTGGTGGTTCCTGGGAACTTTTTTGGAGGCCGTCGGTGGGTGGAGCGCCGCCCGCCGCGGCTGTCGGGAGGAATTGGGTGGGGTGGGCGGGCCAATGGGGGCCGTTGATTAGCAAGCTTCCAACGACGAGGCTGAAGGACTAACGAAGGCGGTCCAACTGTTGGAACAGTTCACCGTGTTTGAATGCATTTCTATAGAATAGGCAGCAATCAGAAAAATGCTTATGAGTGCAATCGTGCCGCCATATTCTACATATGTAGGAAGATTTAACTATACGACAGCTGATTGTCGAGGACATCAACGCTGAATATTTGTGATAACACGAACAACCGCCTTCCTCTGCACCCCCATAGTCGGTGGAGCACCTTCCACAGACGATGGATACTTTCCCTGGCTGGGACATTATATAGATGGCGTTCACCAATCTCACTACCGCAACTTGTGGACCCAATAGCCGTCGTCTGTATATCAGACACGCACACCACCCAGCCCGAACTTCAAGATGGAGATCTCCTACTCCACGCGGGAGACATCTCTCAAAACGGCTCCTTCAATGAGATCCAGGCTCAACTAGATTGGTTAAATACCCAACCCCACAAGCACAAGATAGTCATCGGAGGCAACTACGACCTGCTCCTAGATCCTGTCTTCGTCGACGGCTTTCCAGAACGCATATTTGAGAGACCTGGTAGCAGCCGCTCAGACCTACAATGGGGTAGTATTATCTATCTCCAAGATAGTTCTGTTGATCTTAACTTCGATAACGGGCGTAAGCTAAAGATATACTGAGCACCCTCCACCAAGCAATTTGGAAACTGGGCCTTCCAATATCCTCCAATCCGCAATGTTTGGACGGGAGTTGTGCCACCCGACATGGATATTCTGCTCACCCACGGCCCGCCAAAGTGGCATCTCGACGCAAATGCACTGGGCAATGAATATCTACTAAAGGAATTGCAGCCAACGAAGCTTCCGCTGGTTGTATTTGGGCATATACATGCTGGGTATGGTTATGATGTTGTTGCTTTTGACCAAGTGCAGGTGGCGTATGACGATATTGTTTTTGGCAAGAAGGGGATAGTGCCACTTATTAAGATGGTATTCCATCTATTAATTGACAAGACTTACAAGAAATGGATTGGGTCAAGGCCGAAGGTTACGAGGCTGGTGAATGCCGCTGTAGTTGGAGGGCGACGTAATGAAGAAACGAGGCCGCCTATAGTTGTATCCCTGTAACTGTGGATGACATGATGTGTTGCATAATAAATATATAGTTAGCTGTATGCTTAAATCTACTACTTCTCATATCTCTGGTGTAGTTCCAACCCTCAATGAGCGCAAAACACGGTGCAGCTCTGATATAATTATTATGAGAACTATAGGTATCTCCATCTCTCTTCCAATGCGCTTATATCATCAATCCCTCTTTAATCCAAGCACACCCAAGCATCATCTCCATCACGCGTAAACTTGGAAATCCCCTAACTGCATCCTATACCAATTCTCACCCCCTACCCCACCCAACTTACTCGCCACAACTCTCACCCACCTCGCGTTCGCACTAGGAAACGCAAATACCAATCCCTCCCCAGCCAACGGCGCTGGAAACCCCGTTTGCACGAGCAAATCCCTCCATGCTGCCCCATCTCCACTCCCCTGAATCTTGAAATCAACTGGAAACCCCGATCCCGTACCCTCCACAAGGTCAGAACGCGCAAATAGCACCACGCGTCCGATACTCCTCTCAGATCCCAAGTCCACACTCGCATACTCGCTCCCAGTAGCACTAGCGTGTGAGACAGACGACCACCCAATGCGTCCTCGCACGTCACCATCCACGTTCCCGTCCGTGAGGAACCCCGAGTCCCAGCCCGCGCCAGCACCATCAGACGAGCTGACGCTCACACTCTTCCCTGCCGCGAGGTCATTGCCAGTAGCAGATGCGTAGATAGCAGGTGCGCCCCATGTCGTCCAGCCGTAGTAGTTCTCACCTGTAGTCGTAAAAGCGAATGTTACCGTGCTGCCGGCCCACGGAGTGACGTCGACCATGGCGGGGAGCCAGTGCTTCCAGACCCAAAAGCTTTTGTTGAGGCGGAGACCAGTGCCGAAGAGGTTTTGGCCATTGATAGTGACTTGGAAGGTGGATTCACCGCCGTTGCCGGCGCCGTCGCGGATTCCGACTGAGGTCCAGAGATTGAGGCGTTGTGTTCCGGAAACGGCGGGGAGAGCAACGGAGTAGCTGATAACTCCACCAACAGCAGAGTAGACTGATTTCCGAATGACACCTCCGACAGAGCCAGCAGGTTCTAGATGGTTATCCGGCCCCGAGCTGGTGGCAGCGGGGAAGGCGTCGTAGAAATCGACAACGCGGTTCCCTGGATTCCAAGGCGGTGGCTGGATGTTCCGTGGGATCTCGGCGCGGTCGGCGAGGAACTTGTTAAGGGCAAGTCCAAATGTGTCGCCCCAGTTCGGTGACCCGAAGAGGGCGTACTGGTCTTTGGTTGCCTGGTCTGATTCCCACGAGTTTGGGCAGATGACCTTAATGCCGTCGTTTACAAGAGTGAGTAGCGTATTATACGACCTTGTTGCATCCGTGGTGAGCGGGTTCAATTCGAAAACGCCGAAGTTGTTCTTGCCTGTGCCTCGTAGGGGATTGTCTACCTGCCCAATATCACTGGGAGTCCAGGCGTAGTACGTGACACCGCTCGCGCCGTTTGCGGCTGTTGCGGTTTCAAGGGCGTCAGCAAAGCCGTAGTCATCGAGGCGGGGAGTTTGATGGCCGTAGACGAGGGCGCGGGGGACGCCAGCCTCAGCAATCCAAAAGGTCTCATCAGCGACGGCGTGGTTGATGAGAGTTACACGCCAACGATTCCATTCTTCACTGAATGTCTGGCCGGGCGTGATAGAGGGCGGTGGCTGGAGGGCGTTCCAGGAGGCGAATGTGGTTCCCATTGCACTGTTGAAGGACTCGATGCCCGAGAACGCGGGGGTGCGGCCTTGACCGAAGTAGGCTCCACCTGGGCCGTAGATACCAATGTTCTGGAGCCACTGCCTCCACTCTTCCGTTGCGAGTGGGTTATAGTCTGCTCCATTGTTCGGCATGATCGTTTCGGAGTCGAGGCTGACGCCCACAAAGAGAGATGGGTGTGCGGCCGCCCATTCTACAATTGCTTCGGTAGAAGCCTGGATATTGCGTTTCTTGTAGTTGCGATAGACGGTATTCAGGCGCGAAAGAGTGAAGTAGTTGTTTCCCCCATTATGGCTAAACAACGAGCCACCAGAGCTGTTCAATACGGTCGTGTTGGGCTGTGCGGCAATGATATCCAGCAGAACATCGCCCCAGCCCCCGCTTGAATTCGGAGTGCAGCAGTCTGCCCATCTCCCATTATTCATGTGGACGAGAATCGGCAGGTCAGAAGAAACGGCTAGATCAAGCATGTGGTTGAGGTTGGTCGGGTCAAAGGAGTAATCACTGTCCGGGCCGTGGATATCGCGACTGAGTGCCCAGGACGAGAAAGACCAGCCTAGCTTGGTATAAGTTCCACCGAGGCCCAGTAGGGTCTTCATGGTTGAAAGGACGGCAAGGTCATCGCTCCTCGTGTGAGAAGCAAGAGCTCCCTCCCATATTGGAGTGATGTAAGTAATACTCTCAGTGCTAGTGCCACTTCTTGGAGCAATAGGAGTGGCACTGGTTTTCCCAAAGAGGGGTACAGCCAAAAGAGCGAAGCTTCCCAGGAGGCGCATAGTTTTGATGCGCCTTGGTTCGCTTTGATGCAATGAGAGAAGTAGACAACTTCAGGGAGAGAACACAAGAGGTTCACTTGATACAGTGAAGATTTTGAGAAAGGAAAAAGAAGAGGAGAAGGAGCGTCGTACTTACATTGTCTTACCATTCTATATCCATCTCTTACAACTCACATAAGCATAAGCACTTGCCCTTGAATAAGTTGCTTCCCTCGCTATAACTGGGTCCGAATATCTGTAGGTCTTACGTAGACACCACGAAGCATATCTATACAGCAGATGAGTACGCCATGAAGCCAAGATAAATCGCAAGCATGTCCCTGCAGGCGTCAAGTTGAAGAATTCGACCTTCCATGTCCGTCATAGATGTAAACATGCACGTGCGAGAAGCCGCGTTGGTGTAAGTGCTACTTGTAGTCGTGCCCAGGTTCCCCGCATTGAGTCTCGGTCTCAGGTGGCGCTTGGGCGTGGGCACTTGGAGCTTACTTGCACACTAGCAACCCCACAGTGCCGCTGTCACAAAGGTCGGGCCTTTCCCCGCAATTCAAGATTGGAGCTGGGCGGCAAGTAACTTATAACCTTGGGGAATCAATAAAAATAATAAGTACACATATAGAAAAGAATGGTATTTAATGATTATCATAGTGAGAGTAATATATCAAAGTGACAAATCACAAATAACGGAAACTCAAAGGAACACACCTGACCCATTCTCACCTCGGCCGTCGCCGCCTTGTACTCTAGTAATACCGTATTAAAAAAAAAGTACCGAGGGAACGTTCCATCCAACATCTCGGTCCAACTATACGCCAAGATGGCAGTTAGGGTGTCGGCTTCGGTTCATCTAATGCCGTTACAGCTAATGAGAGCGAATCAAGTTCGGCTTCGTGCTTTGTTATAAAGGTCAGAAGGCATTCCCTCGCCGATCCTTAACTAGCTGGTGGTCATACATGAGTAGGCTGTGGTGCTTCCTGCAGTTCATTTCATGGTGCGAGATATTCATTCATTCTCATCACCACCAAGCTCTGCTTCCGTCAGTCTCGCGGCTGCCACACTCCAAAAATGGTCGCCGTTAAGATGAAGGCCACTTGGAGGCTCCTGTCCTATATCTTTACCATCTCCCTTGGAGGAGCAGTTGTTGGCATTGATCTGGGTATCATCGCGACTACCCTCGCACAAGATGCTTTCAGCAACTACATGTTCCCGCCTGGAACTAAAAATGTCACATCTCTCACCGGCGCGATTGTGTCTATGGGATCAGCTGGAAATGCGATAGGCTGTCTGATAAATGGCCTTCTCCTTGAGAAATTGGGACGCCGAAAGACTCTTCTCGTTTCAACTTTCTTCACTATCGTGGGCTCCGCGTTCCAGACAGCCGCAAATGGCGTGCCGCTGATGATAGTCGGCCGCTTCGTCGCTGGCGTAGCACTCGGGATTCTCAACCCGACGATGCCAATTTACATCTCTGAGCTTGCTAGGCCAGAGGAGCGCGCTCGCCTGTGTGGTATATTTGGACTTATGATTGCCATCGGGTTTTGCCTCGCAAACTGGATTGGGTATGCGTGCTCCTTTGCGTCTGGAGACGTGACTTGGCGTCTTGCGCTTGGAATGCAGATACCTACAGCGGTACTTCTCATGGCCCTATCGATGTTTCTCCCTGAATCCCCTCGTTGGCGTAAGTACAGTATCACACATCTCATAAATCCAAGCTAACATCCCCCTAGTGGCCCAAAAGGAGCGCTACGAAGAGTTCGATGCATCGCTCAAGCGCATCTACGAAGACGAAGACGAAGAGTTCTTCGTGCGCTCGCAAGTCGAGATCCGCGCGCAGATCCAGCTCGAAGGCGCTCAGCGCTCCAACATCACCGTCGGACATGCACTGATCGAGATCTTCAACCGCAAGAACATCCGACGCACCGCCATGGCCATCATGGTGATGCAGGTGGGCATCCTCTCCGGAAGTCTTGCAATCCAAAACTACCAGTCCATCCTCTATGGCTCTCTCGGCTTCAAGGGCAGACAGGTCATTCTCATCAGTGGCTGCTACGGCTTCATGGGCATCGTCGGCCAGATCATCAATTTCTACGGCGTTTCTGACCGTTGGCCCCGTGTGAGAACTATGTGTATGTCTCCCCCATTTACCCTTGCATACCAGGTCTCCACTAACCTCTCACAGGGCTCGGCTGCCTCATACTCGCCGCTATGCTCTCAATTCTCATGGCTCTCTCCCGCTACTACGGCGATGGCAAAGATATGGCCGGTGCCCGCGCAGGCGTTGCCTTTATCTTCCTCTATTCAGCCCTCTACGCCGTCTTCTTCAACAGCACCCTCTACACTATTGCCGCCGAGACATTCCCGCAGCATCTGCGCGGTTACGGCACCTCAATTGCTGCGCTATGCCAGAACATCACCGCGATCTGGATGGGGCAGGTTACGCCGTTTGCTTTTGATGCGATCCACTGGAAGTACTATGCGGTGTTTATTGGGTGTCTAGTGGTGTTGAGCGCATTTTATGGGGTGTTCTTAACGGAGACTAATCAGCTCAGTTTGGAGAGTATTGCAGGAGCGTTTGGGGATGAGACGGTGGCAGTAGATAAAGCGGTGGCGCATGCGCAACAGGGAGATGAGAAGAGCGTGGCAGAGGGGGAAAGGGTGTAAGGTTGAGGTTGTAGGCGGAGAGAGATGTTGATTTGATGCTTTTGATTGTATTTGGTGGAAGGGGGTATTTACGATGGTTTATATCAATCCACTGGATTTAGTGAAGAAAGATCAGCTTATCTGCCAGTATTAGCCGCACTATTTGGTTATGAGATTCTGTGGCGCAAATTAAGCATGAATGCTGCTATTATCAGATTAAGTTCTTCGGGCAGCTTTATATCAAAGATTTTAACTCGCCCCTATTCTGTTCTCCCTTTCCCACACAGTCAAGTAGTCCAGTAGACAACAGCCTCGAACGGCCTTAGCTCTATTGTATCACCACCGGAAATAGTCGGCCCAGTCTCATAATTCCCAATTATCTTTTGTCCCTCGCTGGCAAACGGCTCAACTTCAGTGGGGACCTTCCAGCTCACCGCCTCCGCCCTGAAATTCGCCACAACAAGTGCCGCCCCCTCACTGCCAGGCGTTGACCGCATGTACGCGAACACATCATTATGCGCCGTCCCCACGGGAATAAAGTCACCATATACGATGACATCCTTGAGTTTAAGCCGCAGCTTAAGCAGCTTTGCCCAGTAGTGATACACACTATCCGGCTGGTTGACCTGTGCCTCAGCATTCCACGTCTCATAATCCCCATGCACGTTAATCCACGGTTTCTCTCCCGTCGTAAACCCAGCATGCGCTGATTTATTCCACTGCATAGGTGTCCTCGCGTTATCTCTCGATTTAATCCTGTACTCCTGCATCGCCACAGCTTGCCTCTCTTTGTCGTCGGGATACGCGGCGAGTAGCTCGTGCCAGTGATTCAGCGTCTCAATATCGCGGAAGTCGTCGATAGTCCACTCCGCGGGTACATTCTTCATAGCAAGCTCTTGGCCCTGATACACGAACACTGTACCGCTCTGTAGGGCTAGGAAGGTAGCCAGCATCTTGCCGCTCAGGGCGCGCCACTCGGGGTTGTCGGAGGCAAAGCGCGAGATAACGCGGCCTTGGTCGTGGTTCTCAAGGTAGAGTGCGTTCCAACCGCCGTTGTAAATCATGACATGTTGCCATTTTTCGACGACCGATTTCAGGTCGGACATGCGCCATTTGCGTGGGGTAAATTTGCCACCGGGGCCGTGGTCGAGGTCCACGCTAGGAAAGTTAGTGAGAGCATAAGTTAAATGGATGAGAAGGGGTGCCTACATCTCAAAGTGGAATATCATGTTCAGTTCTCCTCGATCGAAGGCCACGCTCTTTAGGATCTCCTCTGGATCGGTGACACCCGGCATCTCTCCCACGGAAAAGGCATCGTACTCTTTCAAGATCGCACCGATGTCTTTTAGGAACTCGTGCAGGCGCGGTCCACAGGCATAGAACTCATTACCCGACTGGAATTCCTGTGTAGGGTCTTGGATTGGGGCATCAGGGAATCCAGGGACTTTGCTGATAAAGTTTATGACATCCATGCGGAAGCCGTCGACGCCTTTGTCGAGCCAGAAGCGAATGAGAGAATGGACGGCGTCGCGGACGTCAGGATTCTCCCAATTCAGATCGGGCTGCTCGGTGGCGAAGAGATGGAGGTAGTACTGGTTAGTCTGCTCGTCAAGTTTCCATGCAGAGCCTGTTGGGGTGGTATGTTAGATACGGATTATAGTCGAGGATAAGAAACGAACCTCCGAAGTATGACGCCCAATTGTTGGGGGGTTGAGGGCGGCCATCTGCACCAATCTTTGGGTCTTTCCAGATATACCAGTCTCGATATTTGTTGTCTTTCGAGGACCTCGACTCTTTGAACCATTCGTGCTAGACGGCCACCTCTTAGCGTCACCCTTGCTTCCGTTTTGCAGTAGCATACCTGATCAGAAGTGTGGTTCACAACCAAGTCCATAACATACTTCATGCCGCGACTATGGAGCCCCTTAATGAGATTATCGTGATCGTCCATCGTGCCATACGGCGCATGGATATTCCTGTAATCCGAAATATCATAGCCCATGTCAACCTGGGGAGATTGGAGAATCGGCGAAAGCCAGACTAAGTCGACACCGAGGCTCTTGAGGTAGTCAAGCTCAGAGGTAATCCCCGGAATATCCCCAATGCCATCACCATTCGAGTCTTTGAACGAGGCCGGGTATATCTGATACACCGAAGCCTCCTTCCACCACGCCCGGTTTCCCAGCCTAGGGGGGTTTAATGCAGGCAACATCTCGATCCAGTAGCAACGATGAGAAGAGTGGATGGGGGTGAGATGGGGCTGGAAAACAAAAGGGAAATTTTGTTCTTTTATATAAGATTCAGAAAAATAAGCAAACAAATATTAAATAATCGAAACACCCGATGGGGCTGACACGCCTCACTGCAACGAGTGCTACCTACCTACCCCGCGATCCATGTGGGACACCCCGCCGGAATCTTCTCCCGAAGATACAGCGAAATGGTTTGCCTTGCAAGGATACAGCCGCACTTGTGCATGCGGCCGCGCTGAACCTTGTCCGTGGACTGAAATGGGAGGGGAGCTCCGTGTGCTTTACCCGGTATAAACATATGGAATATATACCCAAAAATTAGAAACTGGGAATTATGTGCTCCCAGTAGGAAAATAGCTGGGCTGCAGATAAAGGTGGTCAATAATATCTGGGCAAGCCACAATATGGCGCTAACAAACACTAGCGGCATCGAAGATAACCATGCTCCAGATTAACAAAAGCCGTATCTCGCCGGAATTCAACCAAAATCACAGAAACTCGAAGAAGAGCTAGTTATCTCTAAAATGGCGGCCGCAAATTTCGAAGCAGCTATAGCTCTCATTGACGAAGCGCATTCCGAAGACCCTACCATTGTGACCATTAATGGGAAAGAAATCCCATATGAACTCCACTATGCGCAGAAGTCAACGCATTACCTTGGGCTCCGCGAGCCAAACGCCTCGCCTGTCTTAAAAACAGCCGTCAGGGCACAGCACTTTCGCAGGTGAGTTGAAATGCATCTACTAGATATGAAGAGACTCACTTCAGGTGAGAGGTAGCTAATGGAGCTAATATCTTCGCAGATGGGAGGTGCCCCGCACTACTTACCCCGCCACTAGAGTTGGCTATTTTGCGTGGAGGACATTTCTCAAGAAACGTCAAGCGGACCTTGCATCCGAAATTTGCACACGCTGCAATTACAGCGCCGATGAGGCGGAGGCTGTGGCAGCACTCATCCGCAAAGAGGATATGAAGAGTAATGTTGAGTCGCAGATTCTAGAAGACGTCGCTTGCTTGGTTTTCCTTGACGATCAGTTCGAGAAGTTTGAGAAGGAGCATGACGAAGAGAAGATTATCAGTATTTTGAAGAAGACTTGGGCTAAGATGAGCGAAGGGGGGCAGAAGTTGGCTTTGGAGATGGAATTGAGCGATAGAGCGAAGGAGTTGGTAGGAAAGGCGTTGGGCTGAATATAGTATTGAACCACTCTACGTCTCTAGCTTTCATGGTGCACGGTGGTAATATCTGTGAACGAGCAAGAAAACAGTCTTCATTTTAAAATATGTTCTTACTCATCCTGTCTGATAAACACGGGCATTGTATCAAGTGGACAGTCTATGTTCTGTGTCTGGCCGCCCTCATACACATATACTCCATCCAGCAACTTCCACTTTTTGCCATTCGGAAAATAAACCGCCCGAGAAACACAGCCAGCCTTCAGAACTGGGGCACATAGATACTTGTCTCCGTACATATATTGATCATCAACTTCCCAGCATTTCGGGTCCTCTGGATACTCATAAAAGCAGGTCCGAATCACAGGCGTCCCCATCTCGTGCGCCTCGCGCATCAGCCCTCTGGTATACTCTCGCATTTCCTCGCGCAGAAGCATGTACTTCTTACATATCATCTCAATCTCAGGTCCGTAAGACCACACTTCGTTGTCGGCGCCTGACGTGCAGGTGGCTCCTCCGGTAGTGCCATGCTGCGGCTTGTGCGGTTCGCGGTCACCATGCAGACGCATGACGGGGCAGAAAGTTCCCCATTGGAACCATCTTACGAACAGCTCTCTGAATGCTTCGTCGTTGGGGTCGCCACCGTGGAAACCTCCGATGTCAGTCGTCCACCAGGGGATACCTGCGATTCCCATTTGTAGCCCAGCTGTAAGTTGGTTCCTGAACGAGCCCCACGATGAAGCAATATCACCACTCCAAACTAAGGCACCGAACTTCTGACTGCCGGCCCAGGCGCAACGAAGCAAGTTGACGACATTTTCTTGCCCAGCGGCAGTTTGACCCTCATAGAATGTGCGAGCATACTCTACAGGGTAGATGTTCCCGATTGCCAGGTTTGAGCCGGCATGGTAACGGTAGTTATCGAAATCATACGCGGTGTATTCTGGCTCCGCTTCATCAAGCCAAAAGACTTTAATTCCCTTATCAAAGTAATTTGTCTTCGCCTTCTCCCATACGTACTTTCTCGCTCCCGGGTTGGTGGAATCGAAGTGTACGGTGTTGCCTTGGAATTCCATAACTGTTCGCATACCGCGGTCAACGCGGATGAGGTAGCCATTCTCAAGCATCTCGGGGTAGTTATCAGCCCGCTTGTCTACGGTAGGCCATATCGAAACCATGAGCTCAATGTTCAGAGACTTTAATTCTGCTATCATTGCATCTGTAGTATGTGAGAATTGACCTTGTCGAAGTCGTCTTCGTATGAAAATTGCTCACCTGGATCGGGCCAGTAGGTTGGGTCAAACTTCCAGTCGCCCTGTAATTCCCAGTGGAAGAAATCAATGACTATGAGATCGATAGGCAACTCACGGCGCTTGTACTCGCGCGCAACTTCCAGCAACTCCTCCTGCGTCTGATAACGAAGCTTGCACTGCCAGAAGCCGAGTCCATACTCAGGCATCATTGGTACGGTTCCAGTAACGCCACTATACGCTTCCACAATTTCAGCCGGAGAATCTCCCGCACAAACCCAGTAGTCGAGAATCGACGTCGAATAAGCCTCAAAGCTCATCGTATTTTTCCCCAAGACCGCCCGGCCAATTCCTGGATTGTTCCAGAGAAAACCATATCCAAGTGAAGACAGAGCAAATGGCACCGAAGCCTGAGAATTCCGATGTGCAAGCTCCAGATCATGCCCCTTTAAATCCAAATGCGGCTGCTGGTACTGTCCCATACCAAAGATCTTCTCATTGACATCGACCGACTCAAAGCGCATAGTCAGATGGTAGTCTCCGCCAGGAATCGGCTTAAATTCGCGCGCCTCCACCTCGATGGCGCTGCACTTGGGATCCCGCACATCCAGTCTATTCCGTGCGTATTCTTCTAGTAATTTTTCCCCTTTGCTGTTGTATACAATAAGCTTACCCCGCTTTGAGATGGTGGCATTGATCTTGCCGTTGGTGATGGTTGCTTCTGTCTCGTCGACGGTGATTTTTGCCTTTGGTGAGATGGGTGGTACGTCCAATGCCCAGCCCTCAGTTGGCATCGAGCGTTGCTTGGTTGCACGCACTCGGAGGGCGTTTTCTCCCCATGGCTCTATCCATAGCTCTTCGGCGTCGTAGTGGAATACAAGGCGGTTATCTTGTTGGGAAAGCATCTTCTAATATTTCTCTTTTACGACCAATTCAAAAATGGCTGTCTGTTCCGATGGGCACCTACAAAATTATCCGTAGGTTTTCTCCTCTAGTATATATACGCTGCTGTTGAGAGTCAAGTGAGGGGTAGAATGTCATCCCCGAATTGGCTCTGATGAGGGGCTGCAACACGGATAAAGGTGTTTGTCAAACTCAGCCGACTCCATTGGCTACTATTGCTAGAGCTTTTAGGTTGACGTGGATATGTATGGCCAAGACGAGATAAGGTGCATTAGTGATTTGTGATGACTTTTAGTATTGTTATATAGATGTGGTATTCTATGGTTAGTATTCAGGTCGGTCCCCTTCCCCACCGGAAAGTTTAAAACAAAATATGTTCTAAATATTTATCACATCGCTATTTACGTCATAATTTTTTACGACGTCATGGTGGATTTACCAAGTCAACAAAATAACAAAACAAATATGTAATTCTCAATTAACCACAAGTAACTCTCTTTATTTTTCATTCACTCTATTAAAGAAGTAACTTTACGCCAGTCTCATATTTACTAATATTTATAAACCATGCACGCGACAAAATCCCAACCAGAGAAGATCGTTGAAATAATCGACAAGCACCGGCCCGACCTATCCGAGTTCGAAGATATATACAAAGATTTCCACAAGCACCCCGAACTAGGAACCAAAGAAGAAAGGACAGCAGGTATCATCGCCAAGCGCCTCAAAGAAAGTGGCTTCGACGTCCACGAGAAAATCGGCGGCCATGGAATAGCTGCCGTGCTCCGCAGGGGCGATGTACCAACCGTGCTGCTAAGAGCTGATATGGACGCTTTGGCGGTCGAGGAGGAGACGGACCTACCTTATAAAAGCACTGTCTCTAAGACTATGCATGCATGCGGTCATGATATGCATGTTACTTGCCTTCTCGCGGCTGCGAAATTGCTCAATGATGCGAAGTCGGAATGGTCAGGTACGCTGATTTGCGTATTCCAACCTAATGAAGAAAATGGAGCTGGTGCGAAGGCAATGGTAGACGATGGGCTATACCAAAAAATTCCCAAGCCTGATGTTGTTTTAGGTAAGCCCCTTCACCACTCGGTTTGCTGCGGTGCTAACTATGGCCAGGACAACACGTTTCTCACATGAAGACCGGGACGTTGTCTATTGGTGCTGGCGTCACTCTATCCGCAGCAGATTCATTCAAGGTCACCATCCACGGAAGGAGCGGACACGGAAGCCAACCAGAAAACTGCATCGACCCAATCGTCATCGCGAGCTCCATAGTAGTTCGCCTCCAGACCGTTGTAAGCAGGGTCGTTTCGCCTTCTGAATCCGTCGTCGTGACATGCGGCAGTTTCCACGGGGGGGAATCAGAGAATGCTATTCCCGACGAGGTTGAGATAAAGCTGAACATCAGGACGCAAAGTGAGAATGTGCGGAAGAGAGTCATTGAAGCGGTGAAGCGGATTATCAAGGCCGAGTGCGACGCCGGGGGCTGCACTCAGCCGCCTGATATCGAGCCTACGTCGCGATTCCCACTTACAGTCAACGACCCAAAGATCGTTGACAAGCTCCATGATGCGTTTAAACCCGTCTTTGGCGATATTCCAAGTACATCCGGGATGGTTAGTGGCAGTGAGGATTTCTCGGATCTTGCTACACCACATGATATCCCATACGCATTCTGGTTTTTTGGAGGAACAGATGAGAAGAAGTGGGATGATGCGGTGAAGAATGACACTGTCAATCTCCTTCCACATAACCATAGCGCCAAGTTTGCACCAGTTATCGAACCTACCTTGAATGCGGGATCGGATGCATTGGCCTTAGCTGCTCTGACATTTTTGAAGACATAGTAGGGTGTTAATTGTTTGATGTACGAAGGGTTGTTCATGTATATTTATCTGTCGCTTGATACGCGTGATTATCGATGTTGCTGCCTGTCTGTATCTTCAAATCTTCACATCAACCACCTCAAAGATTTACGCGTGCTACCACATCTCGGTAGTTCACACAACACACCATTATATATCGAAATGAATTCCTCTTGGCTTCCTCTAGTTCTTCAACCCGACTTCATCTGGACTCCTCGAACTTCCACGCCATTATCTACCAAAATACCCGTGACCCCCAAACCCAGCCACCCTCTCATCCGCCGCTTCTGAGGATACACCCACGCCTACCTCAAAACTTTCTCATATCACTACTGCCGCTGGGCCGGCTTCCCCTTCGACAACCAAATCGCTCCCCTCCCCTTCGGCCTCCTCCTAAAATGGTCGGATGGCACGCGGCTTGAAGAAGTCCTCGCCACCCAAGTCTGCTTCACCGCCGGCCTCCCAACTCCAAAAATCATCTGCTATGGAGATCACCCAGAGACTCCGCATGCTCCGGTGTCAATACTGATGACGCGGCTTCCGGGCAAGGAAATAGGACAAGTCTACGAATCCCTCAGCGTTGATGCCAAAGCAACCGCCCTCGCTGAGCTGAAGACTTACTTGGCCACCATACGCCAGTGGAAAAGCCCTTGGGGCGACGCGCGGATCTGCTCCATCACAGGTGGTCCAATCCGCAGCATCCGCGTGCCCAACCACATCGTGGGCCCGTATGAGACGTCCGATGAGTTCCACGACTATCTCCTCGCGCCGGCGCGGAACTCCAGCTGCTTCAAGTCGCAATAAGACTTCGAAGAGTCCCTTCAGCGCGCGCGAAAGCTTCGTACGTTGGAGAGACCGGGGGTGAAGTTCACGCATGGGGATCTGAAGCACCATAATATCCTCGTTGATGAGGAGGGGCATGTCACGGGATTCTTGGATTGGGAGGCAGCGGGGTCGTATCCGGAGTTTTGGGAATATACGACGGCGATGAGGTATTTGAGGGAGGGGTTTTGGTGGCATGGATTTTTGTTGTAGCTGGGCGCTGATAGGTAGCGAGAGGAGTCAGAGTGCGAGAGGGCGTTGACAAATTTGACTGTTGATTCTTGGGTATTTTGATAGAGCTGGGAATAAGCTCGGAATATGCTCCTCAGAAACGATATCGCATTACAGAATAAAAGCAGGAGCGAAGTTCGATAAGATAGTATTATTATTGCACCTTTGCAGGTATATTGGATATATTGTAATACAAATGCAACGCAAAGCAATCAGCCGAATTTTCAGTGTCCTTGTCCTGCAAACTACCACCTGAAAATAAATATAGACAGACAAATAGACGCAGCATCCCTCGCGGTAGCCAACGTCCCCAGCCAAAAAAATGTTATACAGCTCTCTCCAACCATCTAGACCCATCCATAAATACCCTCACTTCTCCACCGGCATCGCCCAATGCACCCTCTTCTTAATCTTACCCCACCCCCTCTCCTCCATCTTCTTCCCCGCACCACTCGGCCCTGGCTCGCCACCAATCCCCATCCCCATCTCCATCTCAACATCCTCCCCCTCCTCCTCAATAACCCCAATCTCCGGGCTCGGCTCGCGCCACGCCCTCCCCCTAGGCCCTGCACTCCTCGACCTCCTCACAGGCCCCGGCACCAGGCCACTCCTCACGAGCCCCCTCCCTCGCGCCGCTCCAGTTCTCCCCACTTTACTGCCCTTGCCACTGCTATTGACCCGCTCCTTCACGCGATGCGGCACAGAAAGCCAGTCATGCATGTCCCGCTCCGCCTGCTCAGCCTCCAACTCCTCGTCCGAGAGAATAGGCAGACGCTGGAGCGAACTCGGGCTAACCTCACGCACCTGCGGCATCTTGGCGTCGTCGCTCTCGATGCCGGCGCTGAGGTCGAGGTAATCGTCGTTATCATCGTCGGCGGGGATGGCTGGCTCAAGGAAGTAAGCAAAGGGGTTTGCGTCTGTGTCTGAGATATCGGAGATGCCGTCGTGGCCGAGGCGGAGGATAGTGGGTGGCCAGGAGTCCCGGCGGATGAGGTGGTGGGATGGCATGGTGTGGTAGGTTTGTATGAGGTGAGAAGTGTGTGTATATGTGCTCAACGAGCAAGATTCACCGGCCACGGCCGGCTGCGTCGAGTGACAATGCGTCGACGACTTTATTCAGTGCTTGTAGCGACAGAAAATATATGAGAACAGACCCCAGAAATACCCTGAGTCAGTCCGCGTAGCACAGCGCAGGTAACCAACTAGCTCAAAAACTCTTATGTATCACAAAAAAACGGTCGTTCCAAAAGGTCCTAGCAAATCGGAATCGAGACGGGAAATAAAAACCGAAGGAAACACAAACAAAGGCACAGGAAAGCCAACCTACTTATACCTCCCTCTCCACCTGCATCCGCCTGTCTCTCATCCACATGCTACTAGCTGTAGCCAGATATCCCTCTCGCAGCCGCAGCGCAGCGCAGGGGGTAGTATGACCCAGCGCCCTCGCGTCCACCCACCCACTCCCCCCTCCGCCTCCGCCCCGCTGCCTCGTCCCCCATCACCAGCCGGCCGGCACTCGACTCATCTAGGACGAACCATCCCCTCCCAGCAGCGAACCACGCATCCCTATTGGCCTCGCGCCTCCTGGGGATGCACACACTCAAGCACACCGGCCACCCAACTACCACCGCGCGAGCCGGTATCGAGCATCATCGCGCAGTAAGGAGCAGCAGCGCTGAGTCGTTCGCCGGAACTAGTCGAGGCAGGGCGCCGCGGTGAGACATGGCCACGAGCGGGAGGGTGTGGTGCGGGGCGGGGCATGGGAGGCCTGGGGGGCAGATGACTGGGGACGGGAAGCGTGGGGGGGGGAAGGGAGGGTTGGAGCCGCGTGCCGGTGTGACGTTTCCCGCTCGGTTTCTCGTACCTTCCCGTCCCCGCTGCCTGGGCGGTGCTCTAGGCAGAGAGAGAAAGAGAAAAAAATAGTCGTCACGCCGGACTCTCGTGGGCTAATTCAGCGAACGAGGCAGTTTCCCGAACGAGGAGTTTGACAGATGGGGTCGAAATCATCGATACTTTGACGGTTGGGCCCTACGATCCGCATTAATGCATGCTGCTCGCACCCGGCGCACTGCCGATCCCCACCCCTAGGGATCATGCACGATGATGGTAAGCCCTCCCATCCCCCACCCCATGGCTGAACGCCCACCTGCACGTCCTCCCCATCTCGGTATCGCTAATCACCACTATCACCTCCACCACCACCACCACCATACTCGCCCACCCCATCTCACCCCATCTCATCTCACCCCATCGCACCCCGCGCCGCCCTCATTTCCACGCAACGCGGCCAACCCGATGTATGCATCCACCACGCCCGCCTCGCAGCCTCGTGACGCTCAGCTCAGCCGCCACAGGTAGTCAGCTCACCGCCCGGCGGGACGCAAAACAGGGTCGGCGGGGTCTGAAAATAAACTTAGGCGTGCCGCTAAGGGTGGTGTGGGTTGGGGTTTGGGGTTTGGATGGAGCGGGTGAGGGCGGGCGAGTGACGAACCAGTCGGCGGACTAGAAAGGAGGTGGTGGGGAAGGGGGATGGGATCCTGGTTGTGCGTGGTTGTGCGTGGTGGTTGGTGGTGGTGGTGATTGAGAATGGCTTGGCTGGCTGGCGATTTTGCTGAGTATGAACTTGCGAAGGGGGGCAGCCATCGCGATATATCGGTTTATGAATACATTTCTACTTCCGCGCTTGCCGACGAGAGACTGACTGATCCAAGCATCGCATCGCCTGAGCGGACATAAACTAAATCATGACTGTGATCCGAGCATCTCGTAAGAAAGCTGGGGGGGGTGGCTGATAAACCTCCCCTCCTTGGCCTCGCCGCACATGCATACCAATATATACAGCACTACCCCCATTTTAGCTCTAACGTCCCTACTCCTAGTCTAGCTTACATTCCTCGAAAACAAGTCCATGACCTCTTTCCAACACATCACGACCTCGCCCAATCTCGTATCACGAATCCGAGACATACCTGCGTCATCTTTGCCTCGATTAGGACCTATCTATCTATCTACAGTAACAAAACATGATATAGCATGGCGCCATTTCATCCCATCCCATTCCATTCTCGTTTATCACACGCAGCCACCAACACAACTCGACCTAACTCATTCCTTATCCGCACCTCCGACAAACCCATCCACCATCCCTATACTCCGATACGGAAAACAAGAAATCGCAAACAAGCAATCATATCGCACCCCCATCCGCGCATTCCCTTCCATAATCGTAAAATGCAAACCCCCCTCGCAAATCCATCCCATCGTACCCCCTCCCCTCCCACTCACCGCTCACCACATCACTCCCCCCCCTTCACCGCTCCGCCCTCCTCCTCCTCCTCTCCTCCGCATAACTCTCCGACTTCCCCGGCGCCGCCGCCGTCCCGCTCAACCCAGGGATAACATGCCTATAGCTCTTCGTCCCCGTATCCCCACTAACCTCACTATCCACATACCCGCCCGGCATCCCACTCCCACTTCCACTCGCGCCACTAACCGTGCTCCCCCCCACCGAGCTCCCCAAATCATCACCAGGCGTATAACTAAAGTCCCTCCTCCCCCCACCACTCCTCCCCGCAGCACTCCTCCCCTTCTCCCTCAACCTCCTCGCCTCAGCCTTAATCCTATCCGCCTCTCTCACCGTCTCAACCTTCCTAATCCCCGCCCTCTCCTTCGTCGGACTCGCGCTCGGACTCCCCACCGCATACCCCTCCCCCCCGCGCTCCCTAACCCTCCTAACCTTCTGCGGGGAATTCGTCGGCGTCGCCTCCCTCCCCGCCAACAACCCCGTAGCGCTCTCCTCGCTCCCCCCAACCGAAGACTCAAACGCCGATCCATCAGCCGCGCGGTTCATCCCCCCCACCCTCGCGGGCTTCTCATGGCGGTATGATCTTATCGCCGCGTCGCCCAGGTCATCGCCTTCGAGTTCATCACCGCCCACCGATTCCGCGTCTCTGAGACGGGATTTCTCGCGCTTATCCCCCTTCTCGCGGAATCGTTTGCGCTCCTTCTTCGCCGCCGACGCCGCGGCCGAGCGCTCCGTCTTCTCTTTCTGGAAACGCCCGCTGACGCCGCGGGTGATGGATGTCATCTCACTAACCACCGTCTCTGTCCCGACAAGACTCTCAGTCTGCTCAGTATACGCACTACTCAAGACGCTACTCTCGCTATCCCTATACCGTTTCCCCACCACGCTCCCGCCGCCCAAATCCGTAGTGCGCGTAGCACCACTCAATGTCGTCCCATTAGGCCCCTTCCTCCTCAAAACAGTGGATTTGTAATCCTCCCAGTCGCCCTGCCGGAAGTGGAAGCCCCCGTTTTTGGCGATGAAGAAGAACCAGATCCCGGTTATGACGAAGCCGGCGCAGATTATGCCGATGAGGGCGAAGATGGCGGAGGTGGGGACGGAGGTGGGTTGGATGGTGCCGGAGCCGTGGGGGAAGGCTTCGTCGCGGGCGTGGAGGGTGGTGGTGGTGGTGTCGGAGCGGGCGTGGAGGGAGGGGGTGGTGGTGAAGGTGGCGGTGGTGCGGCGGGTGAGGGTGGTGAAGAGGGTGTGGATGGCTGAGAGGGAGTCGGGGATGGGTGCCATGATGAAGGTGGTTGAGTTGTGAAGTTTATTGTTCCGTGAAGCGTAGAGGTGATCGTGATTGTGTAGGTTTCGACTCTCCGACAGTAGTATTATCGCCGTCTCTCGGTAGAGGTAAGTCGACAGCTCACTCAAACCCTTCGACGTAGGCTTTCAGCCGTAGCCACTGTATTCCTGTCTCTTGTCCTCTCTCTGTACGTTGTCTCAATCGTTCTCTCTCAGTATAATCGTCGTACCAATTCTCAACTCCTCGCTTTAAGAAGTTCAAGGATAGTAAGGGTGTGTTGTATAATACCAACAATCCCACAAGTAATCAGAAGGATGTGACTCTCCGTGTGCTTTATTGTTCTCGTAGTAACAAAACCAAATTACGCAGCTAGACACAAAACCCTCTCGTCAACCAACCTCCCGAGTCGAGTCGGTAGGGTAACCCGCACAGTCCACCCGTAAACAAACCCTTCCTCCCCCGCTGACCGGACAACCAGACAATCACCACCCACCACCACTCCCCTTCCCTCCCCTCCCCTACCAATTCCCCATCCCCCATCAAAACTTCCATCATCGGCCATCCATCACTCGCATCTCCTCCCGTTCCGCTACTGCCCAGCAACAAGTGGATCCCGCCGACCCGACCTGACCCTTGTCCTCAACTCAAGCCAAGAAAGAGAAAAAGTGACATCAGTCCCGCGGCCCGTTTCTCCACTTCCACGCACCTTGCTAAAGAAAACTCTCATTTTCGGGCGTTGGGCATGAAGAGGGGAGATTGGTTGGTTAAGGGAAAAGGGAAAGTTAGATTATCACATTTTAGAGGTATATACTTTCCTTGAATTTAAACGCGGTGTCTTAACTTGTGGTGTTTTAACTCACCGACTCACCGATTTGAAATCAACTCAACTCAACTGAGAGAGAGACACGTTTTTACTATTCCCCCGCTTTATTTTCAATTCGTGAATTTGGCGCCCAAGAGGGGTGGGGTAGAGGGAGGTTGTTGTGAGGATGTAATCACACAAGGCAAATGCCTCAATCCCCCCCAATGATTCGCCGAGAAAGTGAAAACGGATCATCACGAAGACAACTACTACTTTATCACCATTATCACTAATATGCGTCACGAGAAGTAAAACCCGATATCTCATCACAAGAAAAAAAACTGCTTTTCTCGATTTGAAAGGCTATCTATCCTACCCCCTCCTCCTCCATCCAAATCCTAGCGATCAGATGTATCGATATGGCCAAAGACAGATATCCTCCCTCCGTCCCCCCCCCCAGAGACACGATGATCCCCATCCCATCCTATCTCATCCCAAAACCTATCTGTACAGAAAACCCGCCTTCCGAGCCCCGAAATATTCTTTCCGTACAAACAAGTCCCCCGAGGACGAAACAACAATAACCCTCCCACCAAGTTTCTCTAGGCTATTCCCATTTCCATATCCCATACCCATTCCCTGTCCCAATCCCATAACCCAGATTTTTGTCCCAAGCCCAAAGTAAAAACAGAAATATCCCGCCCAGACAATAAGAGAGATACAAGTGTGTTTCTTTAGACGCCAATGCAAGTAAAAAAAAGCAAAATGGGGATATCGCTTTTATATGCATAGCATTACATGTCCCACCTCTTCCCTCTCGGCCTTTCTCCCCTTTTGAAAAACCTCCTCAGACATGATATAAGAATTTGAAAAAAAAAACACATTAAAAAAATCGGGGTATCCTGCATCATCATCAATCAAAGTGGCCATACAAACATCCATCCATCCAATCCCATACCATCCCATGCCATCAATCATCATCAGCATCGGCATCATCCTCATCATCGAGTCGAGATGCCCATCCATCCATCCGCCGCGTAAAAAAACCGTCGTGACAAGAAAACTCGTACAAGAAAGTCGTCGTCGGAAAAGTAAAGTGAGAAAAACGTATCCAAGAAAGGCCTCCCATCCCATCCCAAGGCCAACATATGAAAACGGGATCCCGCCCAGAAGAAACGAAGAATAAGAAGAAGAAGAAGAAGTCGAAGAAGAGAAATATAGCAACGCAGGCTAGCTACTCGCAATGACCCAACCCCCCACCCCCCAAAAAAAACAGACGCAACGCTCGATTCGCTCAAAACACAAAAAAAGACCAATCACAAAATACCGAGGTTCAAACGAGGTTCAAACCCCTCAGAAAAACCCCCTCCTCCTCCCCGCCACCGACCCCGTCCTCTCCCTCCCCATCGGCGCCCCCAAAATCTCCCTCCGCCCCTTCCTCTCCCTCTCCCTCTCCCTCTCATCCGTCGCCGTCGGCGCATACTCCGACAAGGGAGGCTGCGACTGCCCCGACTGCGACGGTGCATATTCCGACCTCGACGCCTCGCTGCCATTACGTATGCTCTGGCGGCGGTTATTCACGATATTCAGCTCCACGCCGTCCGCGTTCGTGATCTCCGCCGCCCCGATCGTCACCTTCGCGTTGCCCTTGATGCGGATCGTGACGTCGTCGCCGCCCGTGCCGGCGTCGTTGCCGCTGACCGAGCGGGTCGTGCGCGTCGTGACGGAGCGTTTGAAGTCGCTCTCGTCGCGGCTGTTGCTGCTGTGCGTGCTGCGGCTGCTGCCGATGGTGTTTTGCTGCTTGCGGAGCAGGTCGGCGGTGAGCTTGATCGGCTCGCCGCCCGAGACGTCGGCTTGGTACCCCGCGGCGTCGCGGATCTTGTCCTCGTAGTTGCTTGATGAATTGGAGAGGGGGCCGTAGTAGCTCGCGCGGCGCCCCGTCGCGCCTTCGATGCGGATATTGGCGTCGTCGCGGTCGTAGGCGAAAGAGAGTGATTCATTTGACTCCGGGGCGCGGGGAAGGCTTTGGCGGCGTGCGCGCGAGGGTGGGGCAGCATCGCCGCGGTAGGTGATCTTGGGTTGAGCGGGACGCTCGCGCTCGTTGAATTCGTAGGCGTGCGACAGGCGGCGGTGAGGGCTGGGGCGGCGCGGGCTGGGACGCTCATAGTCTCCGGAGGGACGGCGGTCGTAGTCTCCAGAGGGACGTCGATCGTAGTCCCCAGAAGGGCGATGGTCGTAGTCGCGCGACCGGCGGGTCTCGCGGGGTTCGTCTCGCGATCGACGGGGCTGAAGCTCGTCATCCAGGTTGTCCTGGAGGAAGATAGACTGCTCGGAGGGCTGACGCACGCTCCTTCGCCGTTGCATCGGCTGTGGCGGGGGCATGTCTAGGGCGTCCTGCTGTTCCTTGGCTCGCCGCCTCACCTCTCTCACTCTCGCCGCTTCTTGCATAATCGCTGCTTGGTTCCGTTCTTCTTCCTCAGAGTCATAGTCGTCGTCGTCGTCGTCGTCCTCTTCGTCGTCATCGTCGTAGACCCCTTTTTGCACCAGCTGGAGATCAGACGGCCTATATCCCGAAACCGACGACGGCCTGACAATCGTCGACGCACCAGTCCGCGCGAATCGGTCCTCTAGTGTCTTGCGGCTCGGCGACCCGGGTTGGCTCGGCGAGTACGCCATCTGCATCGGGTTCTGGTATTGCGGTTGGATCATGATTGGCGCGGTGTAGAGGGGTGAGGGTGCGTAGAAATGTGCCGAGCCGGAGAGCGGCGGTCGGCTGATGTTGTTGCTACTTATGCTCATCGGTCGCGACTGTCGCGACTGTGAGGATGCCGCGGATGATGGGGCGGCCCGAGGCGTGGATTGTGCCTGGATGACGAAAGGATGACCGCCCCTCGTCTGGCCGAAGTATCTCGGGTCGTCCCGATCCTTCGGGCGGCTCGGTAGGTCGCTGTGATCGAAAGTGACGCTTCGCTGTGTGGGAGGCCGTGACGACTTGCGCGGGCTCTTCCCCGGGTTGATGTTTAACGATTTCCGCCGTCCCTCTCGGGGCTCGCGGTCGGGTATGACTCGAATTTCTTTCACAGTCGCCCTCTCATCTGCCCTCGTCAAGACAGGGAGCGACGAGTATCCATCATCGGATTGTGACTTCTTCTTCTCCTGGGCGACGCGCTTCTCGTTCCTCTGTTTCTTTTCCTTCTTCGATGCGCGGGCGGACACTCGGGTGTTGCGTATGGTGCGATTGTTGTCGCTGTCTTCGTCTCCCAAGACGTCCTCGACGTAAGCGGGGCGGGCCTTATCGGACCCCATCGTTCTGACAAGCGGGCGACGCCTTCGCGGGAACGGTGGTTATTGTAGTCGGCGTGCGCAATGGTATTGGGTTGTGATGTATGTATTGATAATGATATGTTCGCCTTTGTGATAACGCGAGAGGGTAGTCGACGTGGTAGTTGGTGAGATGTTGTAAGATATGTCGAAGGGGAAGAAGAGAAGAGAAGAAAGAAGGTAGAAGGCCGAGAGAAATGTTTTTAGGCAGGTAGGCTGGCAAGGTAGACAGGCAGGCAGGCAGACTGGCTTGTGGTTTGTGGCCGAGTAGACTGTGCAGAGTAGAGTAGGCGGAGTTGTTCGAGTGCAGTTCGAGAGTACTTTGTATGTGGTGGGTATAGTACTAAAAGTAGGTTGGGCTGCGGTCGCGGGACTTTTTGGGAAAGATTTTGGGACTTTTTGAGTGGATATAGGTGGTGTAAGGTGGGTGGATATTTAGGCACGGGGGACGAAGAATAAATGTGGGGTGGTGGAGTGGATTTGTGGTAGGGAAGGGACTGGGGGGGGTGTGGATGATGATGGATGGTGGATGGTGGATGATGGTGGATGATGGATGATGGTGGGTAGGGTGATTGACGGTGGTGGTAAGGGTGGTAGGGTAGTGGCCGGTGGTGGCAGGGTAATGGCGGCTGGTGGTAGGGGTGGTGTAGGGTGATAGTTGACAACCTGCTAGGGTTTGATGGTGGTCTTTTGGTGGCCTTTGGTCGGTTGGTGCAGGGAAAAGAAGCAGAGGGAAAACAACCTTCGACTTTTCTGCTGGGTGATTGTTGCAACCTGCTAGGGTTGATGGTGGTCTTTGGTCGGTTGCTGGGGGGAAAAAAGAAAGTGAGAAGAGAAAACAACCTTCGACACTTTTCTGCTGGGGTGGGTTGAAGAGGGAGGGACAAGGGAACTTTTTCCGCCGTCGGGTGTGATCGAATGATCGAAGCTTATTCCCTTATCGATAGCGAATTTCTTGGTGTGGATGTTGTACTGTAGATTCGGCGTATTTTTTGTTGTATTCCTTGTCACACTCTTTGTCACTTTTGACGCCTTTGACGCCTGTTTATCCCTCAACTAACTCGACTCAACTCACACCGGTCGCGGATTCGCATAGATAGTGAGGCGTTGGTGGTTGCGCGTCAAGGCTGGGCTGAGTATGTATCTAGGTTTTGGTCGTGATGGGGGTGTGTATTTCGTGTATATTTCGTGTGTGGGTGTGTTTGTATTGTAAGGTGTATATTTGTGTGTGTGTGCATTTGTGCGTACATTCGTGCGTTCGTAATGCGTGTGTGTGTGTCCGCGTAATTCATTCCTATGAGTGCGCGCTTCTGTCTGCGTGTATATTGTATACAGCAAAAAAATAATATATATATATATATGCGAGTCGAGTCGAGTGTGTGAGTGAGTGCGTGAAGAATCAGCGATGATCGAAGATAGAGGTAAGTAGGTAAGTACTGTAGAAAGTTCGTTCGTTCGAAAAAAGGCAGTGAGCGAGCTTTGTATCTTTCTTTGTATAATCTCTGTATCGCCCTACAGCCCACGTATCCCCCATCTAAACGCCCTAATCCCCAACAGCCGACAACGACTCACCAGGTGCCGACCCGCTGTGGGACAGTGAAACAGTGAGACAGTGAGACCGTGAGATTTCTATGGTGCACAGGCAGCGGGTGCGTGCGGATTGCTTGTTTCTGATTGACGAGAGGCTGCTGCGGCGCGTGAGTGTGGGCCGAGATGGGATGGCTACAGTGGTGCTGAGATGCGACTCATCCTGTGTTGTGTGCTGTGCTGTGTGCTGAAGTTTTTTTCTCTTATTATTTTGTGATGCGGCGCGTTGTGTCTCGTTACAAGGCTGTTGCTGTGCTGGCCGGTGTGGAGGGGGGTGGGCGAATGGAAGAGGGAGGGGGAGGGTGGCGGCGGGGTTGTGGGGGGGGTGGACGTGGTGGGAAATGTATAAATAATATTGGTGTATGTATTAATATAATAAAAGGATATTTAAAGATGGAAATGGGGAGAGGGAGAGGGAAGGGGAGGGGTCGAATGAGGGAATGGGAGTGATGGATTGGGAAGAATGGGGGGGATTGAGGTGAGTAAGGATGGGAAGTGGGAGTGGGAGTGTGAGTGGATGGTAGTGGAAGTGGGAGTGAGAGTGGGAGTGGGAGTGAATGCGATAAAATGGGAGAAGAGGGTGTCATGCCATCAATTTCACCATGACCGGTGTGTGTGTCTTGGCTCTGTCTGTCCTCTTTTGGAATATCATGTATATCGATATCGATACAGTACTCATACATACCGGATGGTATTGTGGCGTGTATTGTATACAGTACCCATACATACAGAATGGCATTGTGGCGCGTATGGTATCATGTATCATGACGCCGACGGCCAGGCAACCGCAGCCATGGTGCGTGCATGGAAGGAGGGGTAGGTGTGGGAGAGGGGGGGGAGGAGGGGAGTGGGATGGGACAGGAAGGGTAGAAGGGGGATAGGATAGAATAGGAAGGGGATGGAGGGGGAGGGAAGGGAATTGGTGACGGGGAAGGGGGGATGAGGGGGAGTGAAGGGGGGCGGCGGGGTGGTGGTAAGTTGGATATTCACGATATTCACGACATTGAAAATATCCCCGATGGTGGGGGAAGGGAAGGAGTCATCGTCGATTGTGCTGTGTACCAATATAGCAATAGCAGTAATAGTACCAACAATAACGAGCTATATGAGATGGACAGAACAGAGTATGCACAGTATGAAAGACAGCCAAGCCAAGCCGCCAGTACTAATATGAGAGACGAGAGATGAAAGTAGACCGAATATTAGCTAGTGGGAAGAATATTAGCTCAAGAATCCACCCACAGTGGCAGCGACGATGACGATATTGAGGCAGATTATCCATTATCACCGCCCTCGCGCACGGATCACCGCAAAGAACGAAACGAAGGAAGGAAGGAACGACCACCAAAGGAAAAAAAAGAAGAGTCATCAACGACGCCCAGGTAGTGTGCATATACAGACAGTAGTCGACCTTGGAGATAGGTACTCCACAACTACACCTCCGCTACTTCCCTGCAACCTTTCAACGTCCCGCATCTACTCCCATCCACTCCCATTCTCTCCCACCTACACCTCTACCCTCTCTTCCTCGCCATCTTCCACACACACTCCCACACGTCACACCCCCAACCCACCTGCCATCCCCTCTGAAACACACAGTCACTCGTACTGGGCGAGTACTATCCACGTACCGATCTCACACCCCATGCAGCCCTCTTATTCTCATCCAGTCGCTCTCATGTTGTTGCCTGGCGTCCTCAGTCAGCCACCATCCACCAGCCAACATCCCCATCCCCATCCCCATTATCGAGTAAACACCCACACGCATCCTCATCGTCGATACAACTTATACACACTCAATCAGCAAACACTAACCCGCCCACTCACACCCCCCTACCACCCACAACCCGCAGTAGCACCATTCATGCACAACTCACCGAGCACCAACCACCATCTCCAGCCCTCCCCCATCATCGGCACCGAGGGAGCGAGGGGAGAGCTGAGGGGAGCTGAGCTTACGGCTTGAGGGGGGGTGAGTAAGAGTCGTCGTTCGTTGATGGGGCGACGGATAAGGTGACGGATGCCTGTTTGCCGGCTGGTGCGCTGCAGGAGGGTAAGTTAACTTAAGTTCAGTTACCCTGCTTGCTCCTGCTGCTGCCTCGAAAGAGTGCTTATGCTGCGCCGCGACGGTGGCCAATGATGGGGATGGGTTATCAATCAATCGGTCAGTCAATCAATCAAGGCAATCGATCAATCAGTCATCGTCGCGAAGGGAGGAGAAAGCAAGAAAGAAAGGAGCTGCCTACGACCGATGCAATACCAAGGCAGGCAAGGCAGCACACGAAGACTCACACCTCCCCCCATCCGCAGACTCACCAAAAAACCCACCCGCAACCTCGTGCCATACCACCCGCCCGTAGATCCCTTGCCGATCCCCTATACCAAGCCTGTCCTTTCGTATTTTCCACCATCCCCAGTGATCGGGGTGAGACGAGACATGTTCATGTAGGTGAGATATGTCTCACCCGTCCCGTCTGTTGTCTCATCGGCTTCTACTTTCTCTCTTTTGTGGTTTGTAGGGCGAGTCGTGGGGGTGTGTGTGGGGGATGGGTAGGAGAGATCGAAGAAACTCTACAGATCAAATGTCTCGATCGAATGTCTGCCTGCCTCTGCCTTCACACACCTTCCTCATATCTTCCCTCCTCCCTCCTCCCTCCCTCCTCTTTCATACCCTCCCCCTTCTCACCCACCAAACCAAACTAGCGGCACGCCATACAGTAGTCAAGTATGGGAACTAACCACACCAACGCTAACAGCCAAGCTACCACACCCCACCACGCGCGGCTGCGGGGGAAACTGACGCCGGCGGATGACCCATGGTGTGCGTACTAATTTTCGATAGCTGGGGGGTTTTTTTTTAGCTTGGATCGGGGGTTAGGGGGATCGAGGATTCCCGGGGTTGCGGGGGGGGGGGTGTACGGTATACGATGGGTATTTTTGGTTTGAGGTTGTGGGTTTGGAGATGATGGATGAGATGGGGGAGGAGGGGGGATCATGTGGGAATCTGGGTTTTTTTCTTTGATGGGATGGGGATGGATGGAGGAGGGAGGGGGTGAGATGGGTGAGGGGGAGGGAGGGAGATGATGGGGATGAGGAGGGGAGGGGATATGATATACGATATATCCAGTTGCTTGGGGATCGCTCTCTTCACGTAGTCCCGACGACAGCAAGTCCACAAACAATTAAAGAAGTAATTAGGTAGTGTAACGAAACGAAGTGTCTCTACTCGCGAATGCCCTCATATCCGCGACGTATGCAGCGACTCTCGATTAAATATCCCAGGCCTTTATAAAGTGATAGATATCCGCGGCGATCTGATTTCCTTTCCTAGCATACATGAAAAGAAAAATTAACGATGTCTGATTCTACCTTGGCTCGTGAGTGCCTGCCCTGGGATTGCTAGTGTTATAGGTGGTTGATAGGCTATGTTATTGTGAGGGGGGAGATGGAGGTGGTTTGGGTTTCGTGACGGGGGGATCTTGGTGACAGCGGTATGTTAGTGACAGCAACATCTTGTTGACAGCAGCATCTTGTCAACAGCAGCATCTCACAACCGCCAGCAGCAGACCGGCGACAGCAGTTCAAACCCCACGACCAGAACTCCTCCTAGCCATCTATGTGCTCCGTGGGTGCAATCCGCTATGAACAAGCTTCGTGTGTCGTATTTTTCCACGTATAAACGGTTTCCAGTTAACTGCATTGATTGATAGGAATAAAAGGGCACTGAAAAATCCAAAGTGAAGGGGCGTCTGCTAACATACGCTACCCTAGACGGATATGGCGTACGCGCTGCGGGGGGGTTACTGGCGAGAACGTTTGGGGGAATGCTGCGGATGGGTATAAATGCTGATATTATCAGATTATATCCACCAGGCCGCTTCATATAAAAAAAAAGGAGGTGAAAGATGTGAGAAAAAAGATAGCTGCACCAGAAGCTTCTTTAGCTTCACCCCTGTTTCTCATATCACTCCTAGAAATGACACTACAGCATGAACACCACGCCAGTATTGAATCCCCCATATGTCAAGGCTCTTGCCAAGGAGAAGTAGAACCAGACAATCACCCACCTCGCAATACCCGATGGGATATAATATACTTCCACCAGTGCACTCAGACCGAGGTTGACTATGGCCAAGGCGTCGCCTACAAACTGGCTATATGCTGTCCCTGTTGATCCAACCGCCGCCGCCCATCAGAGCTTCGCAGCTGTCGTTGATGCTGGCCTCCCCGCCGCTGTTGTGGTTGCCATTCCTGTTGTAGGTGCTATTACTGTCGTCAGATCAATCCTGTCATCATATCAATAGTACTATCACAAAACGATCTTGCCATCTTCCCCCCCTCCCATCACCGAATATCCCGTTATGCCAAACGTGTCTTGCACATCACCATACAGCCTGCTTACCCGAACTTCCCTGGATCGCATATCACCACCAGCGGCCCAATGACTTCTAGAATATACAAGATTGCGAGTGGTAAGAGCTCACTCATCTGTACAATTGCCATTGTCGGCTTGATATAGGGCGGCGCACTTTGTAAGGTGGCGCACATACACATACATCCAAGCACGGCGCGATTATGTATCGAAAGTTATAATATTAAACCTACGTAAACCACTCGAAGCGCCATAACACGTATAATGCGAATACACAATCTACAAACCCGCTCCCACCACCAAACGCCCCTATCCCACCCCCCCTACCCCCCCCCTTCCTCCCATCCATTTCCCATTCCACCCCACCCACCCCTACGTCTCAATCCTCCCCATACTCGGAATCCCCACACTCCCCTTCCGTCTCGACTCCCCAAAATTATGCAACCGCTCCCCAATCAAATACACCTCATCCCTAATACTCATCCTCCACCCCCTGACCACCTCCGCCGCAGCCGCCAGCCCCTGAACCTGCGCGAACGCCGCTGTCATAGCCGGGAAGGCGTATCGATACACCCGTGTCCTCGCTTCTTCGGTCGACCCGAACAAACCCAGCGCGTTGACAGTCCACGCGCACGCCATTGGCGCTGCGAGTCCTAGCACCGCGATGAGGGTAAGGGGCGCGATGAATGCTCGCGTCGCGAGTCGCACATCTGGATCCAGCATCCCCCTACGCACGACGGCACGAAGTGCAGCCGCGGGTCGAGAATCAGCATACCATAGTATAGCGCGACGAGCGAGGTTGACGAAGAGCAGACCCAAGGTCCAGCTCTGGACGAAGCGGATGGTGTGGCGGGAGCCGGGCGCGAAGTAGGTGTGCAGCGGGATGAGGAGGTAGAATTCCACAAGGGCGGCGGCGAGTGTGGGAAGGAGGACGACGAAGGCGCCGTATGCGTAAGAGAGGCGAAGAGTGCGGATGAAGAGGGCGAGCAGTTTGCGGAGGATGGCGGCGGGAGCGCGGGTGTTGGCCACTGCAGCGGTGTGCAGGGCCACGGCGCCGGGGCGGAGGTTGATGAGACAGTAGACTAGGCCACCGAGGATGTTGATGCCCATTGAGAAGGCGTAGATGTCGTTTTTCTTGACTTCGGAGGGGAGGATGGCGTTGAATACCCACCGTCCGAAGACGAGGGGGATTAGGGTGAGCGAGCAGCCGGTGAGGGCGGCGAAGAGCCAGAGGAGGAAGATGAAGCCTGCGATGCGGGTACGGAACCACGGTGGTGCGTAGACCATCTTGAAGAGCTTCGACTTTGTTCCGTGTAGGCCCTCCTCGGGGTCGGGCTCGCCGTCAATCCGCTGGTTCTTCTCGTTAACCTCCAGGAAAGCGTTCCTGGATTTGGGGATGCGGACCATGTCCGAGTCTGGCGTTCTCACATAGCGCCCGTTCTTAACAAAGGGGATTTCGGGATGCGGCTTGCCGTCCTTGAAGAGGTCGTCGCCGCGTATGCGCTTCCACGAGTAATTCCATTGAGGGAAATAGCCCTCCTCATCATTCATCCTCTCGTCAAGGAGGAACCACGTAAGCCGTAAAAGTCGTGCGCATCGTCTGAACCACCATGAATACATAGCCTGGACGGCATCGGACGGCTTGAAGTACTTGACCGCCACAGGCATCAAAAAGTTATAAAACAAAAGGTCCACCGGAAACTCTAGTACCGGCTCATTTGAAGACCAGGTAATGGGTAAAACTCCGATGAATGCAAACGAAAGACCCCAGACGACTCCGCCAAGGCAAATCATAACTAGAGCGCCGTAAACTGTAGCGCTAAATGTAATTTTTCGAAGTTGCGTGCCCACGTTCCGTTCAAGCACATCCCGGACGGGATGAAATGTGGGGTCGTCAGGGTCGCGAATAAAGTACAGTACCCCAGATCGCAGGATCTTGCGACACATGGACACAAAGAGGGCGAAATGAAACATGTAGCAAGTTCCTACGAACCAGTGTACAAATATTGATGTAAGGGGCGATGTGATGGCAAACATCGTCCTCGACGCAACGGTGGCATTCTCAAACAGCGGCAACGTTGCCGCGTCCAATAGCATACCGCAGTAGAGTGGGAAAACAAGCATCTCGATGCTAATGATCAGGATGACCTTCATGACTCCACCAGCCTGGTTCAAGACGTCAATAATCGTAGACTCCCAGTCCTTGCCGGTTTGGGACGATGAAAACGGCGAGCCTTTTCTGATATAGGCAGCTCCGAGGAAAATGAACGCCGCGTATCCCGCTATAATTGCGTATGCTCGATCAGTGCCATCCCAATATGATAGTGCAAGGTCAATGGGCTCTGCTCGAGGGTGGGCATTGAGCCTGATAACCCAGGTTTCCGATTTGGCCAACATCGATGGAAGTGCAGAGAGGAACGCCATAATCGATTGACCGGCAGCCGCTGCAGCTTCTCTGAGATGTGAGGTATCAAAAGCGGGTAAAGCTTCAGACCCTGTGCTTGAAGTTACGGCCTGGGCGAGAGTGGAGCCTGTGATGAACCCTATAATTTTTGAGAACAAAGACTGAATTTGAATTAATGATTCGTGGGATGCGGCTGAGAATGCGGGGATCTCAGAGTCGGGGATTTGCGCCATCGCGCCGATGAATCCTCCGGTGACGCGTTCTCCCGCAGAATAGGCAAATTTTAAGCTATTCAGGGCCAGGTTCGCTGTATCGCTTGTCGACAAAAATAATTTGTTGGGCTTGATCGTGAAAGAAGCCATCAAGATGGAAACCATGCGGATGAGAGCATATGATATGTAGCCGATTAAAACCAGTGTGAGGTCTTGTACCACCGCAGCAGCCTTGAAGACAAGTTTGAGTGGCAACTTCACGGTGGAAATGGGATTAGCAGTCAACAGCAGCGTCAGTTTTCCAACATTGTATGGAAGCCAAACACCGAGAGCGACCGTTAACGATATGAGAACTGCTCCGAATAGTGCATTTTGGATCAGGCTCGTGAGAGGTCCATGCATCCCAATAAGCTCCATTATACCATCAAAGTCTTCGGCATCATCCAGTTCATTTGGATCATTCGGATCGAGCTCATCAGCTTGGTTGTCCATAACAGCTTGCATTAGATCACGCGGATCGTCGAGATTTAGTGCTCCAATATCAATCGCATGGTCTAAAGCCTCGCGGCGATTGCGAGGAACAAAAGGCTCCTCCGCGTCGATATCATCAACGACATGTTCATCGTCGCCTTCAACTTCATATGCCGCGCCATCCACATCTCCCCAGAGCCAGTCTGTTAGGTGGCCCATAATGCCTTCTGGTGGATTTCGTTGTTGCCCGTTACTAGGGCCCGGAGGGGGTGGCGGGGTCTCCAAAGGTGGCGCATCATCTCCCTGGGGCGTGGCTACACCGGATACATCCAGGGGGGCTGTGGGCTCATCAGGTTGTTCTCCGTCACCAGTACTTCTTTCAGAATCATCTACCCCACCGGCCAACCCATCTTGCATTGTAGAATGGCGATCCTGTTCGGAAGCATGGTCCTTCAGTGACTCGTTGTCTGTTTCAAGCCCATCGGTATCGACGCTTCTGTCGGTGGAAGATCCTTGAAGTGGGGCTGCAGAGTCCGCATTCGTACGTTCTTCTTCATTATCTGGTAGACCATCGAAATCCCAGTAGTCGCGGGCAAGCGCCGAAGGAAGCCTTTGTGAGCCATCAGAAGCCGAACGAGACCTAAGACGGGTGCCAGTGCCATCGGCAGCATCGGCCTTGGAAAATTCTGGTGACGATGGCGTAATTTTTGGCGGCATAAACTCAGGATGCTCGGCCAAATATTTATCTTTTGCCTTTCTGGAAGGGAAAGCTTTCCGCATCTGAGTAAGGTGCAGTTCGTAGAAAGCAAACACCTCTTCGGTCCTAGTTTTGAACGTTACGTCGTCCTCGATGATGTGGAGTAGGTCTTCAATGTCCATTTCCAGAAATATATCCGCCACCTTTTCTGCTCTCTCTACATGCATCCTCCTAGCCTTTCGAAGGACCAACTCTCTAAGAAGCTGGTCTTTTCCTTTCTCATTAGTCAAGATCGGGTCATTGCCCTCGTCCATCAGAAATCCGTTGTACACGATGAGGGCATCATCCATCTTTACATAAAGAGCATCATCATCATCCACAAGGTCAAGTAGCTCGGAAGTTTCTAGATCAAGAAGCATTCCTGTTACCTTGCCCGCCAGTTCCGGAATGAAGATCCTAAGTTTCTGATAAAGGGTGTCTCCAATGTGCAGTTCTTGTTGTGTTGGGTCCATAGTTAACAGACGTGATTTCTCTGGTCGCGACTTGGGGCCGTCCATGTTGCGGGAACTTTCGCCAAGCTCTTCGCCATTCTCTGGCTCCGGGCTTTTGCTCGGAATTCCCCCAATCCGACGGCTCCCAACAACGCCAGATTCCGCATCTCCTTGCCGCAACGCTTCCAACGCGTTTTTCCAGTACTTTAAGCGCTCGCCCAGTCCCTCCTCCTCCATCAGTCTAAGGATTTGGTCGGCATCGCCATCGGCACGACGCCACAGAGCAATGAACTCCGTGGCATCAATCTGGTCAATCGAGGTAGGGAGTTCAGCTAAAAGTGCTTCATTGGCTTCGTCTCCTTCATCATCTGAAGCCCGGGCTTCTTGCTGTTCGAGGTTGCGTGCTGCTGCCAAGGAGTCCTCGCGATTGTCATTGTTCTCATCAAAACCACCCAGTCTTCTTCGGGCCCGAGCAGGAACTGGTTCGCCCCTGTCTTCAGCTCTTCGATCTATGACATCCTGTATCGCCTCAAAGTCGTGGATAATTCGATCTATCGCAGCAACGTCTCCACGGTCGGCCTGGCGCAAATTTTCTATAGGGTCCTGTGGAAGTTGTTCCCGAGCGTCGGGATTGGCGAATTCAGCATTGAATCCTGCTCCCATATTGATACCAGGCTGCTGCTGTACAACCCATTCTCTAATTAGGAATATGAGGATGAAGCATACAACAACAACTACCGTTATTATTTGTCCCTCCAAGCACGTCACTATAAGCCTGTTGATCCAATTGCTACGAGTAAGGTTGTTGAGGAAGTAGACGTCGCTCAGGAGAGAAGGATGTTTGATAACGATCGCTTGGTTGAAAACAGGGTATGGCTCCAGTAGCATGGCATCTGTTGTTCCGTTCGAAATATTACTTGGTAGACCATACTCGCGAAGCCCCATGGTGCTATAAATGGAGTTGAAAATCCCCATAATGGACGGTTCGGGCAAACTCATGTTGTACCTGTGGGACACCACGAGCTCGTAGAGTTTCGTCAAGGCCTCCCACATTATTGGTGTCGTCGTCGGATATCCCAGGAGAGGACTGGCCGGTGATGTTCCGTTCGCAGCCAAGCTTGCTAGCTTCTCATTCACCGCAAGTGCTTCCGATGAGTTTCGCAGTTGTTCGGGGATATTGCGGCTGAATTGATAGTGCTTGAAAGACCATCCTCCATCTGCAAACCAGAACAAAAGACCCCATATATGTCTCATCATCCAAGGGAGTCCAACGAGCCAGACGACCGTGACGAGGCACATTCTCATCCATGTTGCGATATTCTTCAGGATATGAACGGCGAGATGTTTTATGAAGACAGGTAAAGGTAACGTCCGCGGCATATTCGGGGCGTATAGCTTTGTGAATCGAAATGGTGTCTTGCACAGCTCGCAATGCTTCTTTTGCGAATGTCCCAACCATTCCATAAGACAATCTTGGTGGACGAACTTTATGCTGCCGCTGCATTTGCAAGGATAGAATAGAGGCTCTTGTGCTGTCGCTTCCCCTCTGCATATCCTGCATGTGTCTTGATCTCCGGTACCATCATCCCCATCTATATTCGTGGCATATTCGGGGTCGTTCATGAGGTCTGGGTTGCGGACCTCATCTTCTTTGACCGGTCCAACCTCCATATTCGCATCCATATTCAAGGCACGGGAGGGTGCTGTCAAAATGTCGAGGTTTCTAGGCAGAGCCCTTCACTGAATACTATCGTGGCATTTGAAGGTGCGAGTGGCGCGACAGGGATGCGTCGGTCAAGGCTCTGGCTTTGTTTCTGACGACTCTTTGTCTTTGTAAAAGGCGATCTTGCGGAGAGGACTAAGGGGCACGCGGTTGGCGAAAAGCCCAAGTTGAGTCAGTGGCGTTCCCTCGCGGATTGTTGTGAGCTAAAAGTTATTGGGATGGAGGGACACAATTACGGAGCATATGGCCTGAGATGGAGATGGGATTAAGTAAATCCGGTGTTTGGTCACGTGATGTGGATCTATGACGAATCGTTCCAACAAGGAAGTTGATCGTTTGAGCAAAATAGATGAATTATTTTTAACTCTAACCCATTAGCAAAAACTACTATGAGCCAAAAGACACGTATTTTATTTGCCAGATAATGTGCGTTGTAATCAATCAGATCCGTAGAGAGGATACTTAGTCTCATCTGGGTTTCAGATCCAGATGTAATACGGGTTGTATACTTGTCAAAGCTACAGTTTCACTTGTCTTGCTATAAATCTCTCATCTTCAGGCTGAGGTAAATTTATAATCGCAGTAATTATTAATATAATTGTCTTGTCAATGTCGGACTTTATAAATATTTATATGTTATAAACGCCGATGGTCTTGTGCCATATGAATAGGTGGCTGGCTGTCCAAGGCGGAAGGTTGTCGGCCCGAGGCCGCCGTCTTATGACGTCTGACGTCCTGACTTGCTTCAGCTCCCCTTTTAGTACTAGCGTCAGTTCCCAAGCTTCCGTCTGATTTCGAAGAACAGGAACTTACTCGAAACGCTACGAACGCTAAAGTTTCCAGGATTGCTCGTGGACTCTACTAAGTCTCAGCGCATCCTTTGACACGCTTCTAGACCATCTTCTTCAATGCCATTTGTTGTTGCTGCCAGCCAGCGCTCATAAACACACATATTCAACTACTTTCTATCTTCAACTATCAACTTCAGACCCTGGCCTGGTAAACTTTAACGGACAGAGGGAAGACTGCTGGCCGAGATGGCAGGGGAAACCAAGGGAAAGGCCCTGGAGAACTTCAAAGGGGTTAATGGACACTCTGCGACTCCACGGGCGCGAAGGGCGAAGCCACGGAGAAGTTTCTTCATGTGGCTCTTCAGTACTGGCACATGGTAAATATTGCGCTTCCTCGGCCTCAGCTTGACTAACAAGACAAGGCTTCTCACCTGGTATTCCATCATCACAGTGATATTCCAATGCCCGGAATCAGTCGATCTCATTACCGACGCGTCTCCTCGCATTTGCAAACCATACTTCCAAGTCAAGTCGACTCTCGCCCCGTACGCCACGCCCTACTATAACACGTATGCGGCGCCATACATCGACTCGGCAAGGCCATACTATAATGTTCTGGACAAGAATGTGATTACGCCAGCTGCCTTCTATGGAAAGAAATACGGTGCACCCCGCGTAGCTCAAGCGCAGGCGATTGGAAAGGAGCAATGGGAGAGACAAGTCCAACCGCAAGTCGCCAAGCTTAACAAGCTCGCCCAAGAGCAATATGATAAGACCTTAGCACCGTATGTTCAGAAGGCGGCTGATGTTGCTGTCCCATATGCGAAGTTCGCAAAGGAGAACGCATTGCAGACGTACTACGCCTCTATCTTACCTGCTTATGCAGCCGTTGAGCCATACGGCCAACAGGCATACGAAATCGGCAAAACTTTCACCGTTAATACAGGTATTCCTTACGCGCAGTGGGCATGGACATCCGGAGTGGCTTTCCTCGATCGCACCATCTGGCCAAAGGCGAGGATTTTGTACGGCGAGAACGTTGAGCCACAACTTATCCGGATTGGCGAGCGTCTCGGCAGATATCGCGATGGAAAGAAGCTGCAATCTATCGTTGATGAGGTAGATACAACTACTTCGACTGCTTCAATCACCGCCTCCACCGAATCATCTATTACTGAGTCGGTCGTCGTTTCCAGCACGTCATCCGAGACTTCTACTTCTACTACGACTACAACGCAGGAGGAAGCCTCTCCCACTCCTCTTACGGAGGAGGAGCAGCGAGCCAATGCCCAAAAGGTTGTCGAGGAAGACCTAAGGACGTGGCAAGAGAAATTTGCAAAGGCAGCAGATCAAGGATCGGATGAGCTGGAGGCAAGAATTACAGAAATTACCGACCGAGCCATAAATACCCAAGCCCAGGGAGTGGGAGAGGCTCATTTGATGCAACTCGAAGAAACCGTCAAGTCGCAAATACAGTCCTTCAAGATGGCCATCATGGCGATTGTCAGATTGCATGGTGAAGAAGAACACCTCAACGGTGCCACTCGCAAGGCTGGGCTGGCAATTCGCGACAAGGCCCAAGCAGTCCGAGAGTGGCGTCATTCGTTCGACCAGGAGACCACCAACCTGATATCCAAGGCGTCTGAGGATACTTTCCAAATCATCGATCACATTCGCGACCTCGGACTCCAAGAGATAGGTATGCGCTGGGCTTGGACTGATGGAGTCACACACAAAGACTGGGCTAAGTATCACGCTCTGAAGAACAAGTTTGACGAGTGGCGACAAGATGTGGAGGAGGTAGTCACTGGTCACCCAGGCTTGGAGGCTGCCCGGGCTGCATCGGAAGACATCGAAAGCAGGGCTATGGCCATTGCTGAAGATTCTGCCACAGAACTTTCACGACTAAAGGAAACTGGCAGATGGAAGCTGGCTATGGGCGACGCGTCAGATGATTTTAGCACCCATGTTTTACCCCCAGCGGCAGCGGCAGCCGCACAAAAAGTCGTCGAGAGGGTCCATGAGGCAAGCGAAGCCATTGTTGGCTCTGCCGAAACCTCATCGGATTCCCCCCTTGAGGCCGCTAGCTCCACCATTGTGGACGCAGGATCTTCGATAGCTGCGAGCGCATCGTCTGTGGCTGATAACGTCAAGTCATATGCCTCAGAAGTCAGTGAAAGTGTCGCCAGCGCCGCATCTTCGGTTTCCGATAGCGTTGTCGGTGCCGCATCCTCAGTTTCTGATAGTGTTGGTGGCTCGTCAAAGGGATCTGCTGAAAGCTTTGTGTCGGCGGCCCAGGCTTCCGTTGAAAGTGTCGTGTCAGTTGCCCAGGCATCTGCCAGTAGCCTGGCAGACAAGGCATCGAGCGCAGTCATCGGAACCTCGCAAGGAACCGTGGAGAGCCTGAGCTCGGTTGTCAGCGAGAGCGCAAGCAGTATTCTGGACCAGGCGTCGAGCGCAATCATTGGGACTTCGCAAGGATCGGTAGAGAAGGCGACCTCCATTGTCAGCGAGAGCGCCAGCAGCCTTCTGGAGAAGGCATCTTCGTCCGCGGAAGAGGTTCTCGAGACCGTATCTTCCTCCGCCGAGGAAGTTCTTGAGACCTTGTCATCCGTTATCTCATCAGCGACCAGTGTTGTCAAGAACGCGGCCCCGAACGCGTCGAGTGTATCCGATGAGCAGGATACCTACTCTGAGAAAATCCAAAGCATGGCTGGTGAGGCCGGCGAGCGTCTCGCGGATGTTACAAAGGCCATGAGCGAGGCATTGTTGCAGCAGTCCACCCAGGGAAACTTCGAAAGCGCAACTAGCGTGGCTGCTGAGCAGTACTCGAGCGTTCTAGCCGCAGCGTCTGCCGCCATGCACGGAAAGGAGAAAGGCTCTGCCGAAAACATGGCTAGCGTTGTATCCGAGAAATACGCCCAAGCCTCTTCTGCGTAAGTGAATCCCAGGTTCCACTATAGATTATTACTAACGATAAGCAGTGCCAGTTCTGCCGTTAAGGGCACCCCGGCGCCAGTAGAATCTGTCATCGCCCAGGCTAGCGCCGCATACGACGCTCTAACGAGCCAGGCTGAGCAGCGCCTCAGCCGCGCATCCGCTGTTGTCTCGGGAATGATTCAGGGGACGCCAAAGCCCATCCACGAGAAGATGTTCTCCTCCGTCCAAGCCGCCTATTCCGACTCTGTCGCCTCGGCAAGCCAGCGTCTTGAATCTGTCATCTCTGCCGCCTCCGAAGCTGCGGCGTCGGCTACTGAGAGCGTTGAGGATTTCGCGAGCAGCGTCAGCAGTGCAGTTTCGTCCACCGAGACGAACATGAAGGATGAGCTGTAAAAAGAGTGTATGGAGGTGGGGGAGGGTTACTTGTTTTAAAAATGGGCACATGAAGGAATAATGATGGTCGATGATTTTTGGTTTATTTTGGAAGCGGTCCTTGGACTTTGTACACGATATCCTGGTTGTACTGTATGTACTCATAAAGCTGATGGCACCCTTGTGGTTAGCATGTGTAGCTGGTGGGAGCTTGAGTGTTATTAGTATATTTTACATATGTTTTGTTTATAGTTATAAAATTGAGTCTCAATTGATCAGGCAGTTCTTGTGAGAGCTACCAACCAGATCTGTTCTGGGCGCCATGCCACTTGAACTTTCCAAGGCGTCTGTTTGACAAAGAAACTGCTCCTTATTTTGACAGACACTGGCCACAGACTGGACCGTACTTTGGGAACTTGATTGTGGACTGAGGACGTTGGCATATTTTCAGCAACAGAGACTCTGCCTACTAACCGCATTTAAAGATGTTTATCCCTTGCACTTATAGTAGATCCAACTCTAATACAACGTCAGCATAGAATTGATTCTCGGAACGGACAATCAAACGTTTAATAGACCAACATGAAGGTTTTCCTGTTTTTCTTTGTTGCTCCGGTCTATGACCATGGCGTTGCTATATATGGCCATACAGAACCGGAACTTATCATAGATCTCATCGTAGACTAGATCCAGTCACATTCCTTGAATACTTCAAGGCCTACGTAAATCGGCGGCATTAACCCCATGGCATTCATAAAGTGGTGATTGCTAGAGAGATTCAATATAACCCGTAGGCGAACTGATTCTACTGATTCTCATGTCCAACAGCTTCTGGTTCTACCCTGATTCCACACGCAGGAGGAGCGGCGTCTATAAAATAAGCCACTTTACCTTCCTCCCCTCTCCTTCTTCCACCATCGACACACACTCTTATTCTCTTTCACCATCTTCCACCACACAACCCAACACGAACTTCTTCTTGAACTTCTCCAAAACAACCCCCCAAACCGCCAATATGGCTTCCTCCACCATCCTCCCCTACTCCTCCACCCACTACAACACCCTCCCCGAATTCTTCACCGCCAAAGAAACTTTCAAAGCCAAAAACGCCTCCAAGACCATCGACATCACCCTCGCCTCCCTCTTCCTCCGCCACAAAGTCCACCACAACCTCGGCGTCCAAATGCTCCACACCCACTTCACCATCGGCGACGACGAGCGCCTCGTCGGCATCGGCGCCGTCGCCGTTCCCATCGAACTCGACATCATCGTTGGCTCTGCTATCAAGCCTCTCGTCTACCGCTTTGTCCCCACTGGTGTCGCGGTGTGCGAATGGACTCAGGGAAATGATGCTAACGAGGTTGATCTGTCCTCGCCCCAGTATGCAGCTTTCATGGCGGAGCTGCGCATTGTTCTCGATGAGGCGGGTCTCATCGATGTTCTTGGCATCTTCGTTCGCCAGCCTGGAGACGGCAAGATGAAGGGCGTGGAATTCACTGCTGGACGCGCTAATATCACGCTCCACAAGGATGAGCCCACCGAGGGCGGCAACAGCGTCGAGGCTTCTTGGGTATTCATGGAGAAGACTGTTCAGCCAGGAGATGGTAAGTCAGCCCCTAACCCCTTACCTCTCCCCTCCCCCCCCCTTCCCTCCTCCCAGCGAACTAAGAAACTAACACCCCCACAGCAACCACCCGCACCATGTCCGCCTGCAACTCATGGTGTCAACCATTCGTCGGCAACCACTCCTCCCGCCACAAAGAAAAAGGCGGCCGCTACTCTCTCGATCGCGAGACCCAAGGAGCGAGTCTCAAAGACCCAAACCCACCCGTCGAGCTCGCCGCCCCAATCGACACCAGTGACGCCATCACTGCCACCGAGGTCATGGCAGCCCGTAAGTCCTGGTCCCAGGAGTTCGTCGGTAATCACTCCTCCCGCCACCAGGAAAAGGGAGGCCGCTCTGCTCTCGAGGCCGAGATGCAGGGCGATCTGGACGAGGATGAGGATGAGGATGAGGAACTTGTGGAGCCGGTCACGCAGGTGATGGCTGTGTGCACTGCGTGGTGTCGGGAGTTTGTGGGGAATCACTCTTCGAGACATAAGGAGAAGGGTGGCTAAATCGCCGCAGGGGGGCCGGGCGCTGCTGGGTGGTAGGACGCATGAGCCGGCGAGTGAGCTGCAGATAGCGATGAGTTTGCGATGACTTTATGGGGGGTGAGATGATAGTTAGTAATGCGATGGTTTTTAAAAATTGCTGTTTGCAAGTGATATTCCGGGTGCTTGCTGACTGACGGCTCTGCCGCGGCTTTTTGAAAGTGTATAAATTGCAAAACCTGAGAATATATACCACTAACTAACCCTATTTCTCAGGGACGCTTTACAGCTTAACAGCCTTCCCAGTCTTAGCACTCTCCCTCGCCGCCTCAATAATCCTCAAAACATCCCTCGACTCCACCGCCTTAACCGGCACAAGCCCCTCATCCCCCTTCTCCACCGCCTCCGCAAACCCCCTATAAAGCGCGCCATAAGTCTCCGGCTCGATATTCTCGAACACCTCCTTCACCGGCTTCCCCCCCACCATCCTCACCAACGTCCCCGACGCCTCCTTATCCTCCACCGCGAACCCCTTATCCCCCGGCTTCAAGCCCGCCTTCAGCTGGTCCTCCTGACAATCGAGGTGGTGCTTCTTATACGACCCCTCTGTGCCGCGGACCCAGTAGCGCAGCTGCGCGGTGTCGATGGACATTATCCCCGCCTTAGCAGTCACGAGGAGGCCGTCCTTGTATCTCAACAGCACTGTGAATGCGTCTGGCTCCGCGCCCTCGCCCTCGCCGCGCTGGTTCGAAAAGATCCCCGTGACGTCGACGGGAAGTCCGAATGCTACGTACGCTTGGTCCAGTAAATGGGTACCGAGATCATAGATCACACCCCCACCATTATCCATCTCCAGCTGTCCCTTCCACGTCTCCGGCTTAACAGCCTTATAACGATCAAAGTGCGTCTCGAACTCCACGATGCGTCCCAGGGTGCCATCCTTCTGCAGTTTCCTGAAGGTCAGGAAATCGCTATCCCAGCGGCGGTTTTGGTACACGCAGATCAGCTTCCCAGCCGTTCGCGCAGTCTCGATGAGCGCAGTGGCCTCGGCGGAGGTGGGCACGAAGGGCTTCTCGACGAAAACGTGCTTTCCGGCCTTGAGGGCAGCGGTGCAGAGGGAGAAGTGCGAGTCGGGGGGGGTGGTGACGATGATGATGTCGATGGTTGGGTCGGAGAGGAGGGTGTCGGTTGTGGTGTGGTGCTTTACGGTTGGGTGGTCGGCGGGGGCGGAGTTGTCGGCGGTGGGCTTGCGTTGCACGATGGCGGCGAGGCGGAAGGAGGGGGTGGTTTGGATGAGGGGGATGTGGAAGACCTTTGCGGACATGCTGGAGGGGTGTTGTTAGTATGGGGAGTTATTGTGAGATGAGGGGGAGTGGAAGGCGTACCCATAGCCAATGACGCCGACGTTTTGGATCTTGCCTTGGGATGCCATTGTGATGTGTTCTGTGGTTTATGTGTGGTGTTGTTCTTTCGATTCCTCAACAAGAAGCTATACAATGCGATACGTATGTAGACGATTGATTCTTCCCAACTCAACTCAGGTGAAGCAACTTAGTTATATAACCAAATACCCCTCGCCTCTCAGCTCTCTAATAAGAATAAATATAGTGGATATCGCACAGCTCAAGCTTACAAATGCAATCAACCTCCGAAGTGGGTGATGTTGTGTTCCATCCAAGCAAGCAGCCAGAACAGAAAACCCGCCCCTCATCGGTGAAGTGGGGTCGGAGCACCGTCGATGACGAGGGGTAGTTCGTTGGAAAAGGTAAGGGAAGTGACGTCGCATCGGCACTTCAACGGCGCGACTCCGCGGTCTTGGTAAACCCTCATCACTTTTTCTCTACGCCTCTCCCAACCACACACCTTCACCACAGGCAGGACTCGAGTATACCTACCATTTACGGACGATTGCATTGGCCCACATGCGGCAGAGAGCGACGAAAGCGTATCCTTATTCTACCCTTCTCCCATGAAGCTAAGTGAAACTAATCGCGGTGATCAAATCTGATTACCCAAGACCACCCCCGTTTGTCCTCCTCCCCCCATACCGAGGCATGGTCAGTACGTCCGTATGGATGACTCCTTGCCGCCGCTCGGTCTAGAGTCTCGCCGTATTCAGAGCAAAAAAGTTAAAATGTGGACGGAAAGTGGGGGGGATCCCGCTTTTGCAGGTCGGAGGACTGCAGTCCGACCCCTCCATTGCCCCTCCTTCGCGATGCGATCCCCTCTTTGGAAATCCTATTCTCACTTCCAGACAAGAAAGGTTATTAATGTTGTTGAAGGATGAGCGCGATTGTAAATCACAGCGGAATCATGGAGTTCAGTGCGCATGTATGCATATTCTGAACAGGTTCATGTAATAGAAGTTTACTATCATAGTAGGTTTCTTCCTCTATCTATGACGCATCCCACCCCACCGCGTCCCAAAGACCTCTCCCTTCTCACATCCCATGCATACGAACTCACTCGCCGCATTCTCAAGCCCACAAGCTATTGTACAGTACAAATCCCATCCACGACCCCAACCCAGTAAAAAGAAAAAAAGCCACCCATCCTCGCGTTGAGGTACGGTATGGTCCATCCGTCCCAAATCCCGCCAAAAAAAATTACAAAATAGACAAAACAAAACAAACCCAGAAGGCCGCAGGACAAAGCGTAGCCTCATGACAATAGACAAGTAGCAAAACACGGCCTTGGCCCTCCACAACGCCCTTCTAATACGCCCTCTTCATCGGCGGCGGCGGCGGTGGCGCAATCTTCCTCCCCCTCGACGGCGGCGGCGGCGGGGGTCCCTTCTTCACCACCCCTCCTGCCGCCCCATTCACATTCACCCCATTCACCCCCCCTCTCAAATTCGCCCAGCTCGCCTTCCTCGACACATCCCCCCCACTCCCCGCAGACGTAGCAGGGCTCACACTCCCCGCCCTCGGCGAGCGATCCGTCCCACTATACGCCGCCGAGTCATCACTAGGATCCCCAAACAAATCCGCCGTGCGAATCCGACTCGTCGGTCTCAAGCGATCCCTCGCCACTCCGGCGTCGCTCGCGAAACTAGCCTGGCGACCAGGGGGCGTGATATCGCGCCTGGGGGACTCGATGGTGTGAGCGCGCGCAAGATAGGGGCGGTTGGATGGGAGAGGAGGAGGGGCTTCGTGGGAGGTGGTGGGGGAGAGATATGTTGCTGATGGGACGCGGGCGGAGGAGCGGATGGCGGGGCGCTGCTGGTCCTCTGGGATTGTGTCTTCGTGGGCGGCGTAGCGCTCTTTGTAGGAGTGTGCGGTGTTTGAGCGGGAGCGGTTGGCGCGGGTGGTTGACTGGGCGCGTTTTTGGCTGCGGGGGGTATGTTAGAAGGGCTCTTGGATTTGGGGATTGTGGACGACTTACGCAGCAGGCCAGTCGCGCTTGAGACGCATGAGCTCGTCGCGGCAACGATCATAGTACTCCAGCTCCGCATCGAGGAACGCGCCCAGATCCGCCACGCTATCCTCCTCCGCCTCCTTGATATCCTGCATACGCCTGAACACGTCCTCGCTAGACTCTTCATACTTCGCCTTCTGCGAACGCAGCTCCTCCTCGCTGCGGAAGTCCTCCTTCTTCGCCTTCTGCATCTTGGACAGCGAGGCGTCGTAGGCGAGGCGGCGGCCCTCGAGCTTCTTGCGCGCGGCTTGGTATTCCTTCATCTGAACGAGGGAGCGCTCGAGGGATTCGAGCCAGCCGGTTGTGGCGTGTGCGGTGTAGGTCTCTTGGACGCGGGCGATGCGCTCGTTGGTTCGTCCCATTGCTGATGGATGTTAGTATATGCATCTCCCTAAGATATCGTGGGTAGACCAACCGATGAGACAATTGCCAAACTCGGAATCGGGCTCGAAATCGTCGCCGTGGTTCGCGAGGGTCTGGCCAAAGCGCGCAACGGGGAGGACCTTCTCCCTGTCGTCGCCTTCGTCGCGCTTCGAGAGCGACTTGATGTATGCGGTGGTCGATTTGTGCATCTTGTCCATGCCTGTGTGTTGTGTTAGCAAGGAGACCTCCTTACTCCTGGTGATAGGGGCAGGACGAACCATCATGGCGCAGCTGCATCTCGGTCTCGAGACTGCGGAATTCATCAGACACGCTCGTCTTGGACTCGGCGCCAATCTTCTCGCCGGCCCATTGCTTCACGCGATCGAGGCGCTTGTTGATATTCATGGCTGCGGTTTTGTGAGGGGTATAGCGTTGATTTGCTGGGAAGGTATGTGTGTTGCCAACTTTTTGGCGATAAGAAAGGGGTGGACTGGTGTGTCGTGTGCTCTCGTTTTGATGCCAATTGATTCAGTTGTACGTGTATTATTCGGTAGTAGTAGTTGAGCGAGTGTGTGATGTCTCCGACCAGCGACGACAATGGGGTATTTGAGTGTATTGTATGTGAGTTTCGAGGGGGGTGGTGGCCACAATTAATCTAATCTAAATTGTTGTAGTCTCTCTTGATGCGGGTGCAGGGTGGTCAGGTTGTCAGTGGCGACGGCTGGGGTAATAAAGGAAGCGAGTGGATAAATTAACGATCAACAATTAACGAGCGGCGGTTATTGTACCAGGATGGTAATATATAGAATCAACGATCGTCGTCCAGAGTATTCTGGGAGTGTAAGAAGAGTGAGTAGAGTTGGTTTATTGGTGATGCGTGGTTGAAGTTGGTGTATGAGAGAGGAAGAAGGAGAGCCAGTGCTTGGGAGGGGATGGGGAGATGTTGAGGCAGGAGATGATGGGCGGTTGATGGCCGGCCGGTCGATGGGCCCCCGATGTCGTTGCAGCTACCACACTAATCTACGACGGTATAATGTAAGAGAGTGGAGACAAGAGGAGACAAGAGCAAGAAAGAGCATTGAGCATGAACAGGGACAACAAAAACAAGCTGTTTCCAATGTTTCTAGTGTATTTAGTGTATGTACGGGTACTTTTTTAGTTTTCCAATGGTCCCAAGCTGCTACATCCACGGTTCGATGAATGCAAATAGCCAGATTGACTCTAGATTGACGCCAGATTGACAGCACATCCAGCCATATTGAGGGTACATCGTCATACTGAAATAGTCAACTCTACACGGACTCGGCCTCTCTCGTATATTATTTCTTATTGCTGTGCATGTACACCTCGTACTATTATCCTCTACTGGTGGATATACACGTTACAACAACTACTACATAGTATTCTGGGTTCACATACTACGGAGCACATATTTCTCTAGATTCACATACGACACCCTTCCTTGCTTTCCCCTGTTACTCCAGACCATCCTCTTCCTCCCCACTATACCCCGTACTGCACCCCGTATAACACACTCGCCTCCCTCCTCCTACCGTCCTCCCACGTACAACTCCCTCCCACGGCGTCTACGCGTCTGCAGTGGCGGAAGCCCTTCCCAAACGAATGGCCAGCATCGGGCCTCCTCACCGGCCTGGCCCCCCATCTACGGCCGCTGGGGTCGTATCGAACACGCCACGTCCCAATGGCGATCGAGATGGCGATTTCTCCTCGACCACCCAAACCCACCGCGTATACCAGAGTTAGGTACGGTACAGTAAATCTAACTTGTTTCAGGGGCCCAGGGGTAAAAGTACTAGAAGTAGTAAGGAACTCGACCGATCGAACGGCTTGACGCCCACTTGGCGCCGTTCACAGCGGTATCCACACTATATGCTACTCTAATACCTAGCACACCTAGCGGCCCGATAAGCCAATCATTCCCCCTTTTTTCCAAAACTTCCCCTCAACTGCGATCTGCTGCTCCCAGCCAATTCCAGACCCCCGAGACAGAAGAAAGCACGAACCGTTGAGGGATCCGCTCATACACTAAAGTATGTACTACACAAGTCCCTTTCCAGAACAACCTAGTGTACAATCAACCATATTCTACCTACCTAATACCTCTCTCCTCCACTAGCCGTGTCCCCTCCCTTTCTTCCCTCTTTCCCTCTTTCCCTCCACGACTGGGACAAGAATAGAAACCTCGCCGCCGTCGCCGCCGCTGCTCGTGTCCGCTTTCAGCACCATCCTGTTTCCTCCCTAGAACAAAAACTCTTGAATTCGAGTGGAGAGAGGCACTTGCGTACCACCACCCACTGCTGCGCCGATTACGGGTCTCACGTGATTGCTTCATATCTGTTTCAACGCGGCCCTGACGACGACCTGGTAGCCGCTGGCGAGTGTCGTCGAGGTGAGTTGTTGGGAAGCAAGCGCCGTTCCTTCGCTGCTTACTGCATGCATTTACAGGCGCGCGCGACGCTTGGTTTGGGGGAGGGTGATTATTTTTGTGACGCTGAGTTCACCGGTGAAGGGAAAGTGTTGTCGTCAATAGAACAGCGCATCGAAGGGCCTCGTCATTGTTATTGTACGTGTACTCGTACTTGACGACTCCTCTCCCTGTATTCCGAGATGGGTTACACTCCGTCCCCTGATGTCTTGCACAGCCCCATATCACGTGTTTTATATCGTATCGTTGGTGACGCGGTGGGATGGGGTTGTATGATAGTGTGATTAGACGGGGGAGGAGGAGATGAGAGGGTTTCAGGAGGAAGGGGCGAATGTTTATAATACTCGTGCGTGATATCTATCACTTAAATCTGCCGGTTGAGGGTCTGAAAAGGGATTGTGCAAAGCTGGGAACTGATACCTATGGTTGGGGCGACGGAGCCAATCCCACCAGCTTAGCCTCAGAGCATTCATACGTTCTAGTTACTCGGAGGCTAAATTTCTAATAAATTTCTAAACAATTAAGAACATTCGTAACACTCACAACAACACTCCTAACCCATCTCTACCTCCCCCTCCCTACCCTCCCCTCGTACAATTCCACCCCCCCTCCCCCACCACCACCTGTCCTCCCGCCGCTCCTCCAAGCGTCCCACTAACGAAAACCACAAGCACGGCACAATACGCCGCCGTCGCCGCAAAGACCTGGTCCCTTCGCGCATTCGTCAACCAGCCGACGCAGACGGCGAAGAGGACTGTCCAGCCCCCCAACATGCCGAGGAGGGCGAGGCCGTTGTGCACGAAGTAGAGGGAGGCGATGGAGCCGAAGAGGAGGATGGCGGAGAGGATGGAGGAGATGATGGCGATGGTTTTGGCGAGGGTGGATTCGCGGATGTAGGAGGAGTGGGGGTCTGTTGATGTTGCCTAGGGGGTAGGTGTTAGTGTTAGTTTTGGTTCTGTATATCTGTTGTGGTTTTCGATGGGTCGGGGGTTGTTAGGGGAAGGGGAAAGGGGGGAAGGAACGTTAGAAGGTAGGAGAAGTGGAAGGAGTGTTACGAAAGGAAGGGACGAACCGGAAAGAAGCCGCCGAAATAGTTTAAGATAAACTCGGAGAGCCGGTCTTGATCCGCTGGCACGCGCAGAGCGACGAGATCATACGGATCATCGAATCTCTTCTCACTAGCCCCCCAAAGCTGCGGCGCACCGTACTGTTTCCCATTATGCGTGTCTAAGAACCATTCTCTCATGCCCTTTATAGTCGTCGCAGCTGGCGGCTTAGAATTCAACAGCGTCTGGTGGACAGCGAGCGCTTCATCTATTTCCTCGGAGTTAACTTTGAATCTGCGCCTAGATATTGAACGAGCGCTTATGATACTCTTTTATTTTCGACCTGATTTTCAACGCAAGTTCGAGTTTCGTAGCCTGTCCCAGATTCGTAGGGTTCCCATCCGCATCTCTCTCCGTTGCCAGACGCTCAAACGTACTCCACTCAGTATGACAGCTCCGCACTTCTTCCGACGTTGATATTTTATCCTCCTCATCGAATCGATCTTGCCGCGCCTCTAGCTCTGCCACTTCCGCCTCGAGGAGTATTAGATTCCTCGCTGACAGCCGATCGAAGCGCCGGAATATCGTAGTCGTTCTATCGGGGTCCGAGGCGAGTTTGTGGGCTACTCGAGGGAAGCCATTTAGGGGTTTCGCGGGCGGCAGCTCATAGCCTTGATTCATTTGCTGCTTTACATCGGAAACGGGGTTTGGGTCCGCAAGAGAGAGGTGGGAGACTTTGAAGATGGTGATGGAGAAAATGGAAGTTCATCTGTGCTACCTCATGCAGCCTTGCTAGATACGCCACATCTTGCAGCCCAACCAAGACGGCTGCGCCTTAACATAAAGCTATACTTGTGCCCGACAACTCGAGTCCAATACTATTGGCCGTATGTTACGTCAAAACTCTTTTCGACTATCGATCTTGTCATTTTGTTGTGTTTCTACAAACTTAATGTTTCCGTCCCACGACCTGTTTACGCCTATGCATGCTATAAAAGATGAGTGAGGCGGACACACAGTCTCACATCCTCAAAGAGCACTTGGATTATGTTAATCGGAGACACAAAGGCACATTTAGTTGCATACACTGTTTTGATGACCCCGACTGTGGGGATTATGCGTCGCGAGAGAGTCTATGGAAGCATTGTTTAGAGAACCACAGCCGGTGGTTTCCTACGAGTAGTGATAAACTCTTGAGATACAGGGAAGCCTACGAGGACGTATGCTATAGAGCGGCGTATGTATATTTGATATCTCCTTCCATAGCTCCCCCTGGCATTAGCAAGAGCTATTAAGTTGGCGCTTGCTACCTCGGATGTTAATTCAGATAATGGACGAGGTCGAAGACTGACATTATATTGTACAGGAAGGTCAAAAGCACGAATCCTGTCGACCATGTGAATGGCAAGCTTGCGCCTAGCGAGTCTGTCTTCGCTTCCTCCAACCCGCCGGGCCCCGTGGTTAGCTCACGAATCCAAGACCTCGTCCCTGAGCCCAACGAATCCCTCTCCTCCCCTTACGACCAAGACGATGGCGAGATACACCTCGAATTACCATCGGCCCATCCCGCTAGCCATTACACCGACTCTTTCGACTCGGTAACCAATCACGAAGACAACCTCCATAACTCCTCTAGCTTGCACGACCCCTTGATCAACAACGAAGATGATCTCCCTAGCTCCGCACGTCACCAAGCTGATATTGCGGGCGAGCCCCTCAAGGTCGCCGCCGGTCTTCCGTGGCGGCAGCGGCTGCCGCACGTCGAAGTCACGCACAACCATATCCCTCTCCACAGCTACCTCTGCGACTCTTCCAACTTGCCAAGCAACTACAGAGACGATACTAGTCACAATAGCAACTACCGAGACAGTACCCGTGACGATGACAGCTGCAAAATCGATGTCGCGATCAGCTACGGCCCTCGCGCCGGCTTCTATAGCGGCATCTCTAACCTGTTTAACAGGAATAAAAACAAGATCCGTGAAGCTAGCAGCGACCAAACCGACATTCCGGCTGAGCACGCTAAGCTTGCCTCTGACGTTCTAAGCAAGCACCAGCACGCTCTGATCGGAAGCCCTAAGGCGTATAGTGAGAGTTCTATTAGGACCGAGCGAGGTAAACCGATAGAGCCGCCTAGACGTATCTCGCAGCTTGATATTATGCCTATTTCTCAGGGGCTACTCGTTACAGAAGGAAAAGAGATATATGCAGGTCTAACAGGTCAAGGACGCCCAAGGGGTAGCAAGCACAAGGGGGCGGTTGGCCTTCGACATCGAGAGAACCCCTGTATATTCTCACTAAATGCAAAACCACGTGAGAACAGACGAAAGGTTCTCCGAGTCCGAATCAATGGCCAAGATCATCTCACCTGTCCCGATTCTGGATCGGAAAAGAACATCATTTCGAAAGCTTGCGCTGTTGAGCACGGATTCCGTATTCGCCGAAAAACCAAAGACATAAAGCGATTCGAAGTTGGAAATGGAGATATTGTGTGGTCAATCGGACGGGTGTTAGAAACCGTTGGGCTCCCAGGCAGCCCTCTTTGGCAGAAGAAACGTCGGTTTTATGTCCTAGAGGACTGCCCGGTCCCTCTGGTTATGGGAATGAAGTTCTTAAAGGAGGCCGAGATTCTCACCAAGTATAGACACCTGCTTGAGAACTGCCCGGCTGAGATAAGCAACATCCCGTCACTGCTGTGGATTGGATCCCCCCGAAGCAGGATACGATGCACAATTGATGGGCGAAAACTAGAGGCTGTAGCCGACACTGGATCAGATCTTAACCTCATGTCCCTAGAATGCGCAGCGAGGGAAGGGTTTCGGATTGATGCGCGCATAGAGGCTAGGACCACGATATTGCTTGGTAATAACAAAAAGATAGAGACTCTTGGGCAGGTCTACGTCTCGAATCTTACCTTGGATTGGCGTGAGCCAGAGTCGGATCTTCCTGAACAATCACCACACGCACCTGCAACCGACGAGCCGCTCGAACCTGATGGTCACGGGAGTGCAGACCCATCACATAGAGACGGGGATGATGATTTATACACGATTTTTCATGTCGTCAAACACTTGCCATGCGAGGTAGTCTTCGGCCAGAAATTCCTCGATGATAGAGATGCCTTCAACAAGTGGCCAGAGCTGCTCGACATCCCCCCTACGAAATGGAGTCGACAATTCGGGAAACGTCAGCAGCAATTCGAGTTCAAGATCTACATTTCTGAAGGTTTCTCTTTCCGAAACTTTCTAACTAAGCGGAAGCCAGCTGTTGATGTAAGGGAGCAGCATGAGAGTAATTGGCATAATGAGCTTCATCGTCGGTCGAAGAATACAGAAGAGAAGATTGGGCTGTTGCCATTAGGCGAGCAGGATGCAGCCCGAAGGAGTGAGGCGAAGAAAGTACGAGACTGGCATTTTGCGCATGCTCGTTGTCAGTTCTGCAATAGTAGGTCTGCCACATAGGAAGGGGAGGAGCAAGCAAATAGGGTTTAGGAAGTTGTATTTATCATATTTTTTTTTATATACCATCTCGGATTCAAATTTAGCGTTTGTGACGGATTGAGCGTCGTCGGGTTTCATATATTTCAATGTCATTTTTTCGTTAGCTTAGAATTCGTCATTTTTACGAACGGCCATACCCCTATAGTTGTAGACTAGAATAATCAGAGAAACGCTTCGTTCTTCGACGACCCCCATAACGCTCAAATCAATTATGTGCTGTCTACTGTGTGGCTCCAAAGCCGGTGGACAAGCCAATGGACCGTATATCTTTTCGGGGAGACACATGGGGGTACATGTTTATACCAGTCAGTTTCGGTGTATCTCGTTAGCCCAGATAGCATCCAAATCGATTCCTGACTTTCTGGGTAGAAGCCGCTGTTTTCCCAGTCAATCAAGCCGGATAGAGTGTAATTGCTGCTGCTGTCGTCGAGCTTAACCATGATATTAGCCATCCACACGTCGCCATGAGTGAAGACGCAATCCTCGGATTGGACAGGCAGGAAGCTGCGGAGGAAGGTGACCCATGCTTTGCTTGCTCGGGGACATGCTGAGAATTGAAAGTCTTCGAACTCAGCGGCTGTCGTCATAACCTCGCTACTTCGATGTCCAAACATGAAATCATTCTTCACGCCCTCCCCATCCAAACCACCGAGTCGTTGTGCGCTGTTCTTTTTCAGTTTGCGGAGCTTGAGAAATATTTCGTTTAGCTCGTGTTGGATCGATGTCTTATTTCTGTCTGTAAGGTTGTCCCACACCTTCTCTAAAGTTATAGACGGTATAAGAGTCATAAAAATGACATGGATCCTGCCTAACTTTATAAACCCATGTGGCTTTGGGGCGGGTATATCAGGTGCATGTTTAGCTAGGTATTGCATCGATGTGTATTCTGTGTGATCATTGTAGCCTCGAACGACTTTGACAGGAAGATCGTCATTGCATTTAAGCACAACGCCTCTTATAGGATCTTCCCACAATTTATCCGGCTGGGCGAGCATCCGCTTTATAGCCTTCATAAGGCTATCTGAAGAGTCTAGTAGTACTTGGGAGGACTCAAGTGGTTCTAGAAAATTAGACAAAAATGCTATCGCTTCGTCAGACAGCGGGTGTATAACTATCGCAGTTTTCGACAATGCGATAGCATCGGCACAGAAGTCCCGAGAACCTAAAGGGGGTTGGGGTCGGATAGGTGGAGGAGGTGGCAACTTTTTTATTTTGTACTCTGCGCCGCTTGCTGTAGATGCAGCAAGCTTGCCCTGTCTGCGCTGGCTATAGTCCTCTGGGAAGATTGCAAGTAGGTTCATCTCAGGATTAAGCTTAAGCGCAGCCTGGAGGATTTCAAGAACTTCTTGGTTCAATTTGACGATGCGTTCATTTGGCTTAACAAGTTCGGGGAATTCGAGGGAGTCGAAAGACGCGCTGGAGTCAGAGCCGCGATTACTAGAGATTTTCGACAAATGTTAGTAGGTGATTATACGGGGTTTAATCAATTCCCTAACATTTGGGCTTCGTCCATATTTAAATGGCTATGGGCGAGACTTCGACGATGCTCAATAGAGATACTGAATCCAGCAACCTTGAGCGGTTAAATTGGGCTCGTGGAGGGGTATCTCCCATACCAGCCTAGCCTAGAAGAGAATATAAGAGAAGAAATCAAAATGCAGAAACATCTTCATGTACTAGAGTAACACATTTCTAATGTCCATGGATAATAGTAACTCTATAAATGCAGCTATAAAATCGGGTTGTGTGGTATACAAGTGATGTAATCTGCCAAGCACGTAAGGCTCTCATATGTATTCCACGGATTTAATTATAGTATTGCTTCAAGAAATTCAAATATATCGTCAATCTCATCTGGAATCTTATACCAATGCCCCAACCCCGCATAGCATTTCCAAGTCACCTGCATACCAAGTGAGGAGAGGCACTGGACAGCCTCCTCTCCTAGCTTGCACTTCACCTTCTCATCATCTTCCCCATGGCACAAGAGAACCGGCGTTGTCAAGCTCGTCCTCTCTTTACTCGGCGTCGCAGTATCCAGCGACAAGATATCCCTCACCAAACCGACCGCCATAAGCGGCGGCTCTATCACCTCCCCATCTGCCTCATCATCAGCGAAAGGATTATCTTCCTCCTTAACCGGCGCCACAACATCCTCAATATCCTCCCTAAACGGCAACCACCCACTCATCCCAAAATACCCACCTAACGGAAACTCCAGACTCAGAAGAGCAGCCATCGACATCGCACACCCCTGACTCAACCCCCCCAGCACAATATTCCCCCTTGGAATCGTCTCCAGCTCCTCCGCAATAATAGACCGTACATGCTCCGCCGACTCCACCAAGCCCTGCACCTGCGTATCCCTGCGATGTGACGGGTCCGCTACAGAAGCGATATCGAACCATTGGTTTATCACTGCGCGGCGGAAGGCGCTCGAGCGCCGTTTGCGGGCGTTGGGGAAGATGAATTTTGTGCCGGGGAAGGCGGAGGTGAATGTAAGTCCTTTGGAGGAGATGCCTGTTGAGAGGAGCTTGGTGCCGAACTTTTGGCCGTTGTTGCCGAGGCCGTGGAGGAGGATGAGGGTGTGTGTGTGTGTGGATGTTGGGAGGACGATGAAGGGCTCGGGCTGGTTTGCGGTGGACTTGGACATTGCTAACTGATGAGATTATTTAGCAGACTGGCAGTATAAAGCTGAGATGCTCTTACCCGCAACCAACAACCAACCAACAACTCCAGGCTCCAGCATGAAACACAAACTCGCTGTTGGATCACGTGAAGACACATGAAGTCTGCATAAATGTAGTCCACTATAATACATGAAGTAATTGTATATTCAATCATATATCGTAGATATTCATAGACAGGGCCTTTTTCCAATATGTAAACAAACATAGCTCACCCCTTCCTCATAACCTCCACAACACCCCAAACCTACATAGCCTAATTTATGCACTGCGCTTCAGCGAGTACAGACCCCTCTCAATGCTGTTCAACAGGATATATCCGCTCTTGAAGTATGGGTACACGCTCCACGAGCCAAAGAACTCGACTTCACCACCAACCGCATCATCCTCAGGGTGGCAATCAAAGAAGCCCACCTCCTTGAATCCCTTGCCGGTAGGGTCCTGAGTAACGGAACTAACATCGACGATGCGCAGTCCGGAGCCGTAGTTAGATTGGTAAGACAGACCATCGATAATGTACTGGTTGTGGTCGATAGACTTGACTGGCGACTGGTAAAGTCCCTTGTAGGCTGGCTTGGCGAGGGTGCTGACGTCGAAGATGTACGTCGTGGTGTGGCCGTTTGCGGCCGCACCGGTCTTGTCCATCTCATCGAGCTCGTCGTCGAGGAGGAGGTACGCCATGTTCTCTGGATCGATGATCCAGCCCTGGTGGGTGTAGGAGGAGCCCGAGTATGGAGTCTTAGAGATCTGCTTAGGGGCGGACTTGTCGGTCACGTCCACGATGGTGAGGGTGTCTTCGTTGTAGTTGAAGCAAACCTCCTTTCCATTGTACTGGGAGTCTGGGCCCTTGTAGATGACGCATTGAGCTGGGAGAGTTAGACTGGGCTTTGCGTGGGGGGTTAAGGGCTCACCATCATGCACGTATCCGTCTTCGCTCGCGCAGCCGGGCGATGTGGGGTTCGCAGGGTCTGAGACATCGACCATGAAGAGGCCACCCTTGCATGACGTGTTACGTCCAGTACCGACAGCGTAGATCATGTTGGCCTCCTCGTGCGAAACGATGTTGTGGGAGCTGCCGAAGCCCTGGAACCACGCCGTGAGATCCTTCTTGATATCAAAGACTGTCGGCTTGGTGACCGTTAGAAGCTAGTAGTGCCGTTAGAATATTATACCGTCAACTCGTTCCCAGGGCTGATATACTTTACGAAGGTCAAAGACTTGCAGGCCGTGCCCTGGAGCTTCAGATCCAATGTAGACATATCCATCAACGACCTTCATGTCACGCCAAATGCTATTCGCTGTCTGGGTGGGGAGTCTGCCCAAGTACTTGATCTGGCCATCCTTGGTGACCTCCACAAAGGCGGTTCCGTCGGTCTGCCCAACGGCAGCAAACTCACGGCCATCGTCTGATGTCCAGCCTAGATAGTATTTCAGTCAGCTACCCGTAAAGCCCAACTTAGTCAAAAGACATACCCCAGATATCATTGCCTTCCTTCGTCTTGCTTCCCAAGTCTTCGTGGCTCGCAAAGGCCTGTAGGTCCACGCCGTTACAACTGTACTCGCCAGCCTTGCCATTGGTACAGGCCTGCACCTTCTTGGTGGACTTCCACTTCCCAGCCGCGAAGTACCCGTCGTTGCGGAGCTTCTCACGGGACGACACCTTCATGTCCATCAACCGCTCCATGGCCACATGGTTGGCGGTCTTGATGCTCCTGCTGGTGACCAAGGTGGCGACACCCAGAGCTGCAATGATAGAGAGCTTCATGATGGCGGGGTATCTTGAGGATCGGAACAAAGCAAGCAACGTCTCGTGGATATGGGAGTAGAGAGATGGCGGGCAATGGCCTGACTTCCCAGCCTTATATACCCATTGCCCATAACACTACGGAACTATAGCCCCATCCCCAGCACATCCTGACGGCTATGTAGGGTCATCGACCTAAGCAAAACCCGGCGGTAGATGCGATGATCATTCATTGCAATCTACGAAAGAGATGCACGTACGGACGCCGAAGCAAAAACGAGGCCGTAGGGCCGGCGATCCATACTCACAGCTGACAGAACGAGATGCACTTACTGGCTCCGTCACCGCACCCACCATGCCCAGAACTGATAACCTAATCGCATAAAGGCAGGAGGGACGTTACAACGCCAGATCGCGTGCGCGAGGCTGCTTGGCAGGCACGGGGTTGTTGGGTGAGTGAGGCAAGTCCGTTGTGACCACTGTAGTCGCCAAGAGAACCCCGCCAAGCGTTTAGACCAGAGCTCTTTCCTCAAATGGATCGTCTCCGGTTGTTTTGCGGGGGATTCACTCGTCAGAATCTTTAAATTCCACAACAGGAAGCTTGTTAGTGCTGATAGCACGAGCCGCGCCTTTGCCTCGGTGTGTACCTACTGGAGTTAGAACGATAATTTGTTCTGTTTGCATCTGTCAGATACTCAGCACTCGGCTACCCTGAATTTAAGGTGGTGCGCCACTGCGGCAGTTGGGCATCGTTAACAAATATAGTATGGACTAGCTTCATCCGGAAGTTCGACGACGTCGTATGTCAACTATGGGCTGAGCTCAGAGTATTTCCCTTTCTCACATCAATCGCGCCGTTCCAAATCAAGGAAGACTTAAGTGAAGGCCGTATGACCTGACTGTTGGGGAACATCGTCGGCCAAGATGCCAAGGGTCCTAAGGGTCAAAAGTGGAGAAGATATAGTTGCTGCGGTGGTGGTGGGGTGGACTGAAGGGGGGATATGTTTGGGGTAAGGCCGTGTTTGTCAACGGGGATGGAAGCGATGTTATCACGGTGGCGCATATGCGATGGCTGGGATTGCAAGTTACACATCAGCCGGAGGTCTTGGGGAAATCCTTCCTCGTCAGCATTATCTCTTCCGTCCATAAACAATGTAGTTAATAACCCAGCCCAAGGGCGAAAGCCCACGCCCGCAGGCAACACAAATGGCAAGAGCCGGCACGAAAAAGCAAGTGCTACGACACAAGACCAGCGGCAGAATACCCCAACCTAATCTCTCCCCTTTCCCTTCCCCTTCCTTTTCTCTTCCCGACCCTGGGCAGTCAACTCTGCCTGCCAAACGTCAGTGACGGCCCAACGAGGAAAGAAGAGATAGACACTGACCTTAATTCCGCGAAGAAGCACAACAATCTCCTCTTGGCTACGCAAAATCGCAAGGTTGATTTCCATCAGAGTTTTCGGGCGGCGCTGTGCCTCCATGCGGACCGAGACCGAAAAAGCCTCAGCAGCAGCCACCACGCGGTCACGCAGATTCCCTACCTCGCAGGGGGGCGAATGTTCGTATTTGGTCTGCAGGCTTAGAATGCGACGCGCTTCTGCATCGGCGAAGGCGGGGATCTACCACACCGGAGGGTTACCCTTCAGAACAATACAGAACAATAAATAGAGGGTACAGGGTACTCACTGGCTCGCACTTGCTGTTGAGACGGGTGCAGCGAGTGCACTTTATCGAGCGCGCAGGAAATTCACACTCGAAGGCTGGTTCGGAAGCAAGAAATTTGACACAGCGCAGGCATGCGTGTCGGTCGAGGTTGGCGGGGAGGTCATCCGGAGAGATATCTTCCTCCTCGGGCGTGTTTTCGTTTCCTCCGAGACTTGGAGATGGAGAGGGAGTGCGAGAACGAGAGTTGCGATGGCGACGACGACGGTGACAGTGAGTGGGGAGGGCGCTGGAATCTTCATCTTCATCCTTTATCTCGTTATTGATCTCATCTTTGACCTCGCGGGGACGTTTACGGTTTTTGGAACCGCGAGACGCAGGAGCTGCACCAGTCTGAGTGCTGCTACCCATGTTGGAATCCAATCGGGATGATGTTGTAGTTGTTGTCACGCTGAGAGGTTGGGGTTGAAAGAATAAGCTAAGGTAACAGAGTGTTGTATAATAATTCACTTCCACGCTGCCTGTGAATATGATCAGTAGGCGAGATTTATTACGAGTTATACCGCCCTTCATTTAAATTCACTCAGCTACCTACTCTCGTTTATCATGGAGTTGGCTCTAGGTGGCATATTGCTACGAGCCCATACCTATGGGCTCGTAGCAATATGCCACCTAGAACTAAAGATTTAGAACCATTTCCGTAGTGGACACAGAAATATGCCAGGTTACTTTACTAAAGGAAGCAATATGTGGCTCAAATCGGATAGCTTAGTATTTCTCTCATCGATTGTGCCGTTCCAAATTAATGAAGCCACAAGAGGATACCGAATACCTTGCTACTAATTATCAAAGAATATAAAGGACTTAACAAAACTTCTCATGTCTCTCAAAACATGCCACCCAAAAGTTTGAAGAGGGACTGCGGATGACAACAGTGGTTACAGCAACTGTATATATAACAAAGGCTTCCAATTACAAAGGGCTATAATTAGCATGTTATTTGCTTAGAAATACATCTGTCAGGTTAAATTGCTAGAACTAGTCACCGGCTTGTTTGTACAGTCCGCCTTCGGACATCTGGGAGGCACGAGTAAGTTGTGCTACTAATGGGGGCAAGACGGCAACCATAAACAAAGAGCATGTGCATTGAACATTCTAACATAGACCAATGACAACCAGTGTAATGTAACGCACATAACCGAGATGTTTTGGTCAGGTATCCGGCAAACAAAGACCGTATTTCTGTGATAAAACCCCATCGAGTTGTCTCGTCAGTTCTGTTTGACTTTTAATAATCTTACAATACAAAACAATACAACACAACCCTTTTACCACTTCAGACTTCATCTGACTAACTGGCCCGACAATTACTGATCAATGTATCAACATGGATAACAAAAATGAAAATAATAGAGGAGGTGGCAGCCTATGTGAGACCCTCCACTCTGTCATGGTCCTCACAGCCACTAACTGTCCGTAGGCAATCCGGAAACAAGATTCCAAGACCAAGGGAAGGACAAAGACCAAAACAATGATGAGCTGCAGCAGGAGCTGATCCCCAAGAGGGAGACATGTTCTCAGTTCCCTATATATCCATCCCTTGCGCTGTTTACCTATTTGTCTACTGTCAGCACCGTTCATGTTCTTATCATTTTACAGCAACTCAGCAAACTAGCAAAAAGAAAGGAATTCAAGGTTGGCTAAGCGGGTCCAGTCGATCTCTGCGATCCTCAGAAGCTTCTACGGAAATAGTACACCCTGACGAGTGCTCCTCATACGGTGATAATTATAGTGTCAGTGCTCCTAGCGCGTCGACGAGAAGCTCTGCAATAGTCGCCGCAGACGAGAATGATTTAGATTATCGCGATTCCCTGAGTTACCGCAATATTCATATCGAGTACGGAGAACTTCCAATTGAACGGATACAGCGAGCGACTGAGATGATAGAACGGCCTAGAGAAACCCCCAAGATGGACAATGCAGCTTTTCAGGATCTTATACGGACAATACGCAGGATTCAAACTCAAAATGAGTATGCTATTAAAGAGTTAGCATCAACGGTCGTTCCCGCTACAGAGCGGATTCTTGATGAGAGGTTTGTAAGGTGTTATAGTCGGTTGTGGCACCGTGCAATCCCATACCCCTTTTACCCGAACTCGCTGATGTGGCATCACTTCTTTCTCTCCCAAGACCCAAACCAGACTTTGTCTTCGGATTTTCCAGACCGGCCTTCACTACGCGCCAAAAAGCAATGATGATGCATCTGGTTGACGAATCTAGGCACAGCTACGTAATGCCAAACCAGGATGCGCGTTTCCCATTCCTGGCCATAGAGTTTAAGTCGCAGGCAAATAAAGGCACGCACTACGTGGCCACAAACCAAGTTGCTGGCGCCGGCGCCATTGCCCTAAACGGACAGCTTGAGCTGATGCGGCGAGCCTATGGCGTGACAGCAGTTGACGCGAGCGCGCTGCGCTTCTTCTCCATCACGATCGACCAGGCGTACGCGCAGATAAACGTACACTGGGTAGAGGGCATCCTAGGACAAGACGAGCCGTGTAGCTTCCGCGTCGAAAGGATTGCGAGGCACTTTATGGACAGTGTGGAGGGGCTGAGGGCCGTTGCGTGCGCAGTGGAGAATATCCTCGACTATGGCATAGATACACTACTACCGAGTGTTTGCGAGGCGCTGGATGCATACGAGACGACTATGATAGCTGCGAGGGATGGAATTTGATGCTTGGATTTTATTTCCAGAGTTGAGAGGGATCGAATTGGGGGTGGTGGACTGGTTTTTTCACTGTTGGACGGATTGAACTTTGCTAGCTATATGTTATTGCGTTGTCGCTAGGTTTTAGGCTTATAAAATCCCAGTTTTGCTGAGCCTTAACCGATGTAGTGAAAGCATTTGATTGACGTCCATTGGTTATCAAATTAACGTCATCAGAATTGAAGTAGAGAGGATCTGGAATTGTGCAATGTCCCATGCCAAAAAGCAAAACGTCGTTCAAATAGGATATCTTGGGAGTAATTAGCTACGAGATAGTGACAGGATATCAAAACTCGACTTGGAAAAAAAAGGACAAAAAAAAAGCATCAGCACCCCCTCAAATTATATCAGCTACCCGCATCTCATCTCCCAACTCTAAAACCCAACTCAATAGACATCACCTCCACCCACTCTCATCTCGGCCTCAAACCGGTACCTCCACTTCATCCTTCTCACGCGGCGCCGTCTCCGGCCCCGATCCCTTTGAGTCCTTAGAATCCTCGGCATTAGCCCAAGAGTCATCCTCAAACTTATACAACTCCGGGCAGTGCGTCGGCTCCCTCCTACGCAGGAAATTTGGGATATTCTTGAACCACCACGGTAGCACGGTGAACATCTGATACTTGGTATGCGTACTCGTCGGCACAGCAAAGACGTAATCCAGCTCCTCGAGCGTGCGCTGCTTCGTCTCGGGCATGAAGCAGAAGATTAAAAAGAGAGCCACAAGGTTCATAGCGGCGTAGAAGCTGAATGCACCAGGCGTGCCGAAGGCGCGCAGCTGGCGCGGGAAAGTGAGCGAGACGACGGTGGCCCAGAAATTGTTGGTCGCCACGGCCCAGGACATACCGATTTCTCTGTGTGAGAGGGGGAAGACTTCGGCGGAGTAGGTGAAGGGGACGGGGCCTTCGCCAGGAGAGTAGAACGCATCGTATATGTAGACGAAGAAGAGGACGACGCCAAGATGGGCGGTTTGATCTTGAGGGATGAAGTAGGCCATGCCAGCGGCTAGAAGGGTCCATGACATATTTGGGAAGGTGAATAGGAGTAGACCGCGTCTGCCGAAGGTGTCGATTGTCCAGACGGCGGGCCAAGCGAAGACAAAGTTGACGAGGCCGAAGCCGAAGGATGCGAGGAGCGCGACGATGTCGGAGGCGCCCGCATTGCGGAAGATGGTGGAGGAGTAAAATGACATGATATTAACTGCGTAATTGTTAGCTTGGCATCACGGATGGCGAACAGTGTTGCACTTACTTCCGCACATTTGCTGCGCCAGCATAACGACTCCCGAAGCCAGGGTGGCTCGACGAAGACGGGGGATGGTGAACAGTTCGATGAATCGAGTGAACATGTTGCTGTTCTTCGATAGTCCAGACTTCTCCAATAGAGCATCCTCATAGACGAGTTGGGCGTGAATAAAATACAAATCCCTCGCCGCCTGTAGTTCCGAGTTTCGTAGACGAACAAGAGATCTGTATGCCTTGCTTACCTGACCTTTCTTCAAAAGCCAACGCGGAGACTCAGGACAGAAATAGACGCCTATAAGGAGAGGGATAACAGGAACAAATGCCGAGCCAAACTGAAGGCGCCAGACAAGTTTGCCTGTGTTGACAAAGACAAGGTTTGCGCATGTCCCGAGAAGGATGCCAAACGCAGTCCAGACCTGCCAGGACATGACCAAACCACCACGAATTGTCCTTGGTGCAATCTCTGCAGAATAGACGGGAACAGTGACTTCTTTCAGTCCCATACCAATCCCGAGAAGGATACGGCATACGACAAGTTGGGGCCATGTCTGCACGGTGGCTTCGCCAAACGGAGCGAGCAGACTGAAGATGGCGGCAAGAAAGATTGTTCCCCTACGACCGAGGATGTGGTTGATAGGGTCGGATATCCAGGCTGCACTATGGAGAGGGTTAGAATAAATGTAGGCTAATGGGCATGGTTCACACGTACAAAAGGCAAATCGCAATGTATGGGGCGGAGTTTATGAACCCCACTATCCAAGAATTCTTGTCACAGGTCGCCGCGTTGGCAGGATCCTTACAAAATTCTCCAGTGTCAGGAATCCCAAGCGCCGGCGAAAATGTGAGATTGGCTCCATTGGATCCTGTGATCAATGTAAGCCGCTGAGCTCCCGGCGCCGCGGATGATTAGCCTACCTGTTTGATCCCATCCTTGAATGGCGGCGGCAATCGAGTTCAGCACGATGGTTAGGTAGAGGATTCTTGGATGCTTCCACTTGTGCGTGACTTCCTCGCGCAAAATTCGGCGATCTTCGTCATCGAGCTCGGTGATTTCATCAATGCCCGCTGGGTTCTGTGCGACGAGGGCGCCTTTGATGAGCATCGGTATCATTTCACGGAGGTCAAACTCTGAAGCGAAGCCCTCAACATCCTGGATTAACTGTTCCTTGGGGATGCCAACGAGGGGATTTTTGATCCTGTGAATGGACTTAGTGAGGCTACGGCTGAAGGGGGATAAGTAACGGACTCTCCGGTGACATTCTCGGTCAGGGCTGCGAAACTGTCCTTTTCAAGGCTTTTATCTACGAAAACGGAGCCCTTGCGCTTCTCTGTAGTAGCATCAGGAGTAGGATCTGCGACAGATTCTGTCGCTGGGCTGTGGGGAAGAAGTAATGGTTAGCCTTGCTCGTTGTTTCAGCTGTTTTGTAATCACGAGGGTTTGCCTACGCGTTGTTAATCTCGGGATCACCGTTGGGGTCCGCCATATTGTGCAACTATTAGCTGGCGCAATTAGAAGAATAGGCACACGATGAGGTGGAAAGAATTGGTATTCGGACTGTATATACTATTTGGGGGGATGGGGGACTCGTGTGGTCGTAGCGAAAATCCTCCTCTCCGACTCGGAGGGAAAGTTTGTTTATGAGTAAAAGCTGTGCGAACAAGGCTACAAGGCTCGCCCTGGGCGACATATACTGACATCATTAATCCATGTTCAACGGTGAGGCGCATTATGCGACTAGCAGAATGTAGAAGGTTGTGCGACAGTAATATATGTTACCTATGGACACATGATTATTGTGGCTGCGATGGCTTGCGAGTCGACCATTGAGATGTGAGAATGAAGTGAAATATTTCCGGGGGTGGTAACAACCGGAGCTACCCCGCATGGCGTTGCTGTCAAACCTTGTAAGCACTACCGCAGCCGTGCTCAGGGTCCTCCCTGTCGGTACGCTATTTGTTGATTAGGAGATATGATATGTTCTTTATTCTTTGTATCCTGTTTATCTAATGGGTTCGTTCGGTTGACTTGGCAGCTTACGCCTTTCAACCTTTGGACATTACAAATCGGTATGTAACGTTGCCTGCCTATGTACTATAGTTCCTCTCTACATACAGCACAGTATTAGAGGATCTTCAGTGTTGTCTATTCTTGAGCGTATGTTCCGTATGTTCCGTAGTAACTTCAAACATTTAACCTCCGTCGCTGTTTTACAAAGTTCGTTGACAAATCTCGTTTGCCCACTTTCTAAACTATTGCACCCCGGGTTAATCACTGTACACTTATTTGTAGCTTGAGGTATCCACACACTAAATTTAAGGACGAGTGGTGGACACAAAAGAAACGAAGAAATACCTTTTTGGAGTCCCTTCCAAGCATCTTCACCATGGCGGCACCAGCGATGCGGCTATTCGCCAGCTCTTCATCTTGGCCATCTTATTGCACGTATCCCTCCAAGTTCATTCGAAATCCGTTTGCAATGAGAATCCCTAGCAAGTGACGGCATGGGACTTCTCTAGTAAGGGCTGCAAGTAACGCGATTGGGCTCCCCTCATCCGCGACAGTTGTTCAAACAAAGCCACAAGGTATTCACGACCTTGCGGATATGGCTCCGACATATCACCTTCAGCACATTTTAGCACGTCTGTTAAACAGGCGGCTATATCGGCCAGCTTTTGCTCCTATAATACCAGACAGATGTAAGTAGTTGTTCTGGTGAAAGAGCTCTTCGGCCAACTAACCATTCCAATACCGTGAGAGTCTAATGTTTCCTGATTCACCGAGCTGATAGTTCTCACGACATCTCGTGCAAGGAGAATCGGGTATTGTAAATTAAAAGGCTCCTCGGTAGAGTTCGTAGTGAGTAGGCCCTGCTTCACACTGAGCTGCCACAGACGCATCTGTAGCCATTGTCTTGATACCAAGATGTCTAGTTGGTGCGTTTCAAGGGTTTCATATGTTATGGACGACGCAGCCAGCTTGCGGAGAACTTCAACAAGCCAAGTCTTAGAAAAGTCGGCGCTTTTTGACGTACTATTCACCATAGATAGGAACGTGCTATCGATGACGATAAATAAGTTGACAAGATTGACGAATCCGTATAGAAGTTGCGGCTCTTCCGATCCAAAGACTGCGGGTAGTTTGTTTAATGAGGTCTGGATTTTAATACGGTTCTGCTGCTGAAGAGCATATGCCCTACAAAACCGTTAACTCCGATCGGTGAACAATTCTTGGCATATACCTTTCAGTAATAAACAAAAGCCAGAATGTCCTTCGATACCACTGCTCCTGTCTAGTCTCCAGCTGGGATAAGTAGACTTCGTCATCAAGTTTAATTGCTTCAGCAAACGAGATGGCTTCGTGAAGAAAATGTCGAGCTTGGTTGTGCTTTTCGAGGTTTCCGTAATAGCCAAATAAAAAGAAGGATGTCAGAACGGTTGATAGATTTGGGTTTTCAATGTAATTGCATCTATGGCGCGTCCGTAAACACTCCTCGATTAACATCCCAGCAGATATTGTTGGAATATCATTCGGCACAAAGTGCCCTGGGAGACTGAGCTGCACTATTGTCAGTGCTGAAACAGCAGTTAGTAAAGCATGCTCTCCTGGAGGTAGAGCAACCTGATCCTCGAGCACTTTTGAATTGAGATACTTGTTTCGATCCAAGACCGGCATTATCGGGAAAAGGTGGTCAAAGTACATCTCTATTAGCGGTAAGAGATCTACAATCGACACTTGGATACGCGGTTTTTTGTCAGGCCAGCCATCGTAAGAATCTTCAGAGGCAGCAGGCCGTGCAACTAGGCCCGGCGCACCGTAGGTTTCGGGATATACTGGCGACCCGACGGATAGGGAGGCTGCATCGTTGTGGCTTGCAACAGAGATATTGCTCGGTAAATTTGGTTGCAAATTGTCCAAAGAGCACGCAAATTGATACTCCAGTGACGTTGGTGACGAGCTGCTGGTTGGTAATCTCTGTTGCCCCTCGTAGACTGGCTCGCCATTGCTTTGGAAAATAGAACCCAGCCCTGCACTATCTTGGCTCTTCTCCCGTCCCTTCATCTTTGGAGAATGCAAGTAGGTGCATGTAAGCGATTTCGTACGGCAGTTCCCGCATGGTAGAGAGGTATCGCATCGGATCTTTTTTCTTCTACAGCAATCGCACGCACGACGTACGCTGCCATAGAATTGGACTTCTGGTATTCTGACGGGCCCGCTTTGGCCATAGGGGCTGAGCATCGCAAAATGCTGCGACACTAGTGAAGTTGTCTGGTGAAAGCTATAAGTGTTCTGTAAAGTTTTGAATTGTGGAATTCTTAGTGGAGGTCATGGGATGCAGAAGGCATTTGGTGTTGTGGGGAAGGTTCATGGGGAAGATCCCCACGAACCTGGGGATGGAACAAGGTTAATCCGAGTATAGGAGCGCATGGACATATTATGAGAAGGGCTGAGGACCAGTATGATAAGGTAGACCAGTCGAAAATAACCCTGTCAAATGAATTAGCAGCAAAAACTATTGCTGATTTGGTTTAGGACGAGAGTAAAACTATATATCCCTGGACGCTATTTCGACTCACAAACAGGGCGGTTCACAAAGTGAGAATAAGACAGACACATAATTTAAATCAATCCGCTAATAACATTAAACTACTTTGATATTTGCAGGTACGTAGATCATCCAACACTGCGAGACAATTTTATTCTGAAATTAGACAGTTTTAGCCTCTGAGGAGTAACCGCTACTATATATTCAGTAACTCCAAAAGAGTCTAGTTCCCGTGCATATTGTACCTTGATCTACTCCGACCAATGGAGACGGAAGTGACCCTATGCTTTCTCAACCTCCTCAAGATGTATGGCCTTCTCTGCGAAGACTTTAGAGTCTCCTTGAAACTGATCAACAGCAGTATCCTTGAACTTCCGAGCGGCGACTTTTCTTTCGAACAGGATATCGAGTTCGCCATAGGTGCGACCTTTGGGCTCAGGGAGGCGGAAAAAGGACCAGATCAAAACCGTAAAGCAAATACTGCCCCAGAAAAATCCAGCCTTGCCCGCCCAGTTCCAGCTGTATTATTATTATTAGCTGTTCTTGCCGGTGCAATTACAATGGTTTTAACACTGATAGAAATTTTAATACATACGCAGTTGGGTTGAGCATGTAAGGGATTATGACGTTGTTGACAATGCTGAGCATGTTGTAGGTGTTCCTTGCAAGGACAACGGTCTTGGTGCGAAGACGAGTGGACGAAAGTTCGGAAACGAGTGAATAGCATACCGGTCCGACGGTGGAGTCGTATACAAAGGTATAGACCAGCAACATTGAGCCAGTAGCCCATGACGCAGAAGCGTTTTCAGTGCCAGCAAGAGAGACGAAGCCGACTATAAAGAGGACCACGCAAAGTGAGGCTAAGCCTCCGACGTAGAGCGTACGACGACCAAAGTAAGTCATTAGAACCCAAGAGAAAAGCGTCCCAACCATTCCGAGGCCGTATTGACCAAGAGACATGCTGAAAGAGTTTGATGTCGCAAGCCCAGCTTGCACATAGAAGTAGGTGGAATAAGACATGAGACCAGCCCCAGAGAGGTTTTGTGCCGCCCATGTGAGACAAACAACTTCTGTACGTCGAAGATCTGTGCCCTTAAAGCAGTCCGCATAAGATGTACCTGCAGCAATCTCCTTCTCGAGCTCATTTGTGTGGATGATCATGGCAACCGTCTCATCGACATTGAAATCTGGGTCGTTTTTGCCTGTTAATCGTAATATAGATTGCTTGGCCTCTTCGACGCGGCCTTTGCGGACTAGCCACCATGGGCTCTCGGGAGCGAGAAACACGCCCACGAGAATTGGGATTGGCCAGACCCACTGTATAGCGAAGGGGATCCGGTAGGCCCATTCATCCTTCCTGTCCACGAGTCCCTTTAGTACTCCAGATGCAATGAACTGGCCAATGACCCAGCACAGATTGACGTATGTGGTCAGATAACACCGTAGAACAACAGGGCAGACCTCGGAAGCATAAGTGACGGTGAGTGTTTGGAAGACACCAAGGGGAAATCCCATGAGGAACTCTCCCACGAGGAGCGTCTGTACGTTCTGTGCGAAGAAAAGAACGAAGATGAATGCGATTGTGAGGAGTAATGATCCTATCATTGTCTTTCTGTAACCAAAACGCTCTGAGATAATGCCGTTTGCGAATAAGCCGAGGATTTGTCCGATATTGATGGCATTTGAAAGACCAGCTTGCCATGCTGCTGTGAGTCCGTAACTGCCGTCTGGGTTCAGCACACCGTACTTCTCCTGGAAAGGAGGGAAGGCAAAGAAGGATCCCATTAAGACGACGTCGTAGCCTTCCATGATAATGGCTGTAGACAAAAGAACCGACCACCCAATGGCCTTGGGATAGAGCCTAAGGGCTTGCATGATTGACATCTGTTGTTCTTTGGCCGTGCCCAACTGAGCATCCTCGACGAGGTCGGCGAAGTCTGAGTTTTTTTTCTCTGCCAGACGCGTTACGGCGCTGCTATCGACGTGGGTAGCATCTCCGTCGGACGCCTTTGTATCGGCATCATGAGAATCAGCAGCCATGCTCGATTATAGCTGAATGCAGCCTCGTGAGGTGTTGTGTAGAACAAATGTGTGAGAACCCCAGGTAGGGACGAAGTTATGAGAAGATGATGATGTGATAATGAGAGAATGTGAGAGTGTGAGGGAGCGGCATGGCGTGATTTATATATTCTTTGGGATGCCCACGTATTGCAGACTCCCCATAAAGAAGGGCCTCCCATCAGACACCAAAACAACCCATGCGACAACTTCGCCCCGGACCCCGTACCCCATACTCTGTACTCTACAGTCCGAAATCTATCATTTGCGCTCCATTATTTGGAAAAGTCTACCTCCCGTCAAAGTGTCGGCCGAGGGCCGAAGTCAAAAGCGGTCCAGGTCCATGAGGCTGTCACGTTTGGTCGACAGGGGACGGTGCTTCTCCGGGGGTCTAGCCAATAGAACAGGACCCTGACCCTAGGGTATGGTGGGTCAACCCAGATTTCCAAACATCTCCACCCTGAGCTTGCCCATTAGCTGACAAGTGAGCTACTAAAAGAACTGCCAAATTGTTTTAGCGTCGGGAGCTCAAGCAAATATTACGCTATACACTTTAGGAAATTCGCCGAAGCCAACAGGAACTTCAAATCGAAAAAATATCGTTCCCTCTTTTAGGAATTAGGCCGCCATATAACATACTCCATACTGCGCTAGCTATTTATGTGGAGATACATGCGTCACCCGAACGGAGGTTCTAAATACTGTGGGGTGAATGTTGAAGTGGTCCGGTTCGTTCCAATCCGGTTACCTGGCGGGGTTCCCAGTATGGGTACTGCGCGAGTTTACAAAGTTTGTCTATGGATGTCCAGAAGCAGTAGTTCGCCGACAAATTGTAGATTTGGGTCCTCCGGTAAGTTAAGTATCACTTCCACTCGTACGGGTCCTTCTCGGAGCCCCATTGTATGATCCAGCGATCGCTGGATCAGAAAGACGTACAGTATATAACACCTTTCTCTTTTGTTATTTGTGAGGGCAAGTAAAACAAGAAGTTTGTTTATTGCACCCTATCCATTTGCTTTGTTTGAATATGTCTGCGCACATCGTCAATTCCATCGAGGCAGGGAAACGCCAACCTCTGACGAAAGCCTGGTGGAAAGAAGCGTCAGTCTACCAGATTTACCCCGCATCGTTCTGCGACAAGAATGGCGGTGGATTTGGGGACATTGCTGGCATCAATTCTAAGCTGGACTACCTCAAGAATCTAGGTGTCGATGTCGTATGGGTTTCTCCAGGTAAGACCGCCATATCGCCCCCGTGGTTGACGGAACCAATGCTAATCCTATGCACCAAACAGTGTACGAATCCCCGCAGGCTGACATGGGATATGATGTTTCGAACTACTGTGCTATCGACAGCATTTACGGAACGATGGAAGATGTTGATGCTTTGGCAGCTGGTTTACATGCAAGAGGCATGAAACTTGTTATGGACCTTGTTGTCAACCACACTTCAGACCAGGTAATTCCATATATACCGGTAGCCCATCCCAAGCTTATCCATAAATGCAGCATGATTGGTTCCGCGAGTCCAGATCCTCACGAGACAATCCGAAACGTGACTGGTACATTTGGAGAGATCCACACTTCGACAGTGAAGGACGGCGCCAGCCGCCGAATAACTGGGCGTCGATATTTGGAGGTAAGTCATCTAGACGCACGGCAGCAGCACGTGATAGTGGCAGGACAAATTCTGACTCAGATGGTGTTAGGAAGCGCATGGTCGTTTGACGAGCTCACTGAACAGTATTACCTCCGTCTGTTTTGCCATGAGCAGCCGGATCTGAACTGGGACAATCCGCAGGTTGCTCTTGAGGTGGAAAAGATTATGAGATTTTGGCTTGACAAGGGCGTAGATGGTTTCAGAATGGATGTCATCAACCTGATTAGCAAAGTACCAGGACTTCCAAACGCCCCGATTACAGTCGAGGGTCAACTTTATCAGCCAGGGTATATGCATTATGCTTGTGGCCCACGGCTCCATGAGCATTTACGCGGCTTACGCAGAATTCTTGATGAATACGACGCTTTTGCTGTCGGCGAGATGCCTTGGGTAAAGAATGAGAAAGATGTTATGGATGTTGTTTCCGCAGAGAGGAAAGAATTGAACATGATTTTCCAGTTTGATATGTGAGTTCAAGCCCATCCCATTTCTCTAATACATATGCTCACATCTTTCAACAGCGTCGACATGGATAATGGTGCGGGTGGCAAGTTTGAGAAGCAAAATTGGGAGCTTATTGACTTGAAGAATATTGTTGAGAAGTGGCAGACGCGACTCTACGAGGAGGGAGGCTGGAACGCCCTGTTCCTTGAGAACCATGACCAGGGTCGCTCAGTTTCGCGCTTTGCGTCTGACGAACCGCAATTCAGAGTTTATGGAGCTAAGATGCTTGCCACATTTATTGCTCTACAATCGGGGACGCTCTTCGTCTATCAAGGCCAAGAAATAGGGATGGCAAACATGCCCAAAGACTGGAGCATTGAAGAATATAAGGATGTCGAGACGCAAAATTATTGGAAGAGGTAAGCAACTGTTTTGAGTCCCCATCAGTTTCTAGAAACTAATATTATAGCGCTGTCGAGGAGTTTGGAAATGATAAAGAAAGAATTGATCAATACATGAAGGAGATCCATATTAAAGCTCGGGATCATGCTCGAACACCCGTCCAGGTATGAATATTTGATCCACCGGTGCTTAGATTGTTCTTGGATTTAATGAATTGTACAGTGGAATTCACAGAATAATGCTGGGTTCAGCGATTCCACGCCATGGATGCGAGTTAACCCCGACTACGTCAAGTGGAACGCAGAAGATCAGGTTGGCAAACCGACGAGCGTCTTCACTTACTGGCAGAATCTTCTGAAGACGCGGAAGCTTTACAAGAACGTCTTGGTTTACGGGAGCTTCGAAATGGTTGACCGGGCTCACAAATCTGTCTTCTGTTATCGGAGAGCTTATGGAACTGCGGCCGCAACAGTGCTTCTAAACTTCTCAAAGCAAGACGTAGAATGGACAGTTCCGCCTGATGTTTTAAGAACCACGAATGTGGCTCCATTAATACACAATTACGAGGATCTCAGACAAGCAATGGATGGAAAAATTCACCTGCGCCCCTTTGAGGCGCTGGTATGGATTGAGGACGGCTACAAGGCCAACCTATGATTAGATTAGTGATAGAGCTCCGGCTTTCCCATAGATCTGTATTTGTCAAATTTGATAGAGAAGAACTTATAGAATATATATTAGACTATGATCGCTCGTTGCAAACAAATTAATTAGATAGCTCAAACTTTCCTTGATACACCTTGCTGCTGGAAAATCAGAGGCGAATAGACAAAATAGCCCTCAGTTATAGAGACATATGTAGCCCAGTAATTGGTAATTAATTCAGCTGATACTCTCGATATATTTTTACAGAAGCACTTAGTGACATATTTTATTTTGGATATTATTATTATTATACCTTCGCACATATAAAATGTCATTTTTCGCTAATTTATGGTACATAAACATAGACGAATACAAACATTACAAACATCGCGTCTCCATGGCGGCGAAAAATTATTTCAACTGCAGTTTCCGCCGGTTCATCTTTATTTGCTGGTATCGCAAAATCAGCAGCGAGGCCATCACGGCCACTATACCCCCGCGTATATAGCTCAAGCTGGTGTCGAAAACTAGCGATTTAAGGACCACAGGCATTTAACCTAAGAAGGGAATTCGCCGCAATATAATGGCCGTGCTCTCTACTTGCCGACCCGCGCCCGAGACCTCCGTAATAGTAAGGCCGAGTACTGACCATCGGGATGAAGTCTATATGTATTTCACTAGACACTATAGCAGGAGAAAATCTCCAATTATTGCGGGGTCGAATTGCGAAATCTATAATCTACCCCTCACGAAAACGTGGGATCTTTGAAACAAGGTCAGTGACTGATGGTATCCCACGAGGTTGGCGACCACGGAGAATTGCCTCAAGCGGCTAGCCTCCGACTCCGCTCGGCATCTTTGTTGATCAGCACGTTGAAATCAACCTTGCAAGTAAATGCCACTATAATCTTTCAAAAGTAAGCGTGGAAGAGCTTGACAGGGTAAGATTGTCGTTTCATAGAGTGTTCCTCACTAATATTACCTTAACCCCGGATCTACTCCAATACTTTACGCTTGGAATAACCCCGCATTAAATTATCTCGGGGAAATTCCAAGGCCCCGAGAGACTTTGGCATCACCGCCCATGGTATATAAAAGAGCTATGATGTCCCCCCAAGAGTTATTTTGAAGGCAGTCCTCTAATTTCTTTTCCCACCTGCATCATTAGGAGTCTGACCTCAATATCCGCAGTCAAGATGTTTTCTGCGAAGCAGATTTGGCCACTGCTGCTTATTGCCAGCCTCCTCGATACCTCTCAGGGTGCTGTCTTAGAACGCAAATCAAATGCGGCTGGACACTTGACTTCCTCCAATCGGACTGCAACTACATCTAAGTTGAACACATGGTGGCACCCTACCGGAGAGATCAACACCCAGACCCCAGTGGAGGTTGGCAATGTCAGACAATCGCATCTGTACTCCGTTCAGGTGGCAACATCTAAGGCTTCTAATGACTACTATGACTCCTTTGTCTACGAGACAATCCCACGGAACGGCAATGGCAAGATCTGCCTTCCTGGAGACCTCGAGTCATTGTGTGATGAATGGGATCAGATTACGCTCGAGGTCGATGTTGGGATCACGATGGGTTGGACTCAGTTCTTGTACGGGTCGGATGTGGTAGTCAAGGTATCTAGGAACAATGGCAAGAAGATCTCTGCTAAGGACGTTATCATTCGGCCCTCGAATCTTAACTACCGTATCAAGGCAGCGGGTGGCGACGCTCTTATCACTGTGCCCTACAACCCCAACGGAGTTCGTTTCTCAGTTGAACTTAAGGATGATCTCTTTGAGTATCGCATCGGCCGTGAGGGGGAAGGCTCCCAATACGTCCAAAACGAGAAGCCAGATGGTTATGGATACGTCCCGAGTTACGACGACAGCATGCCGATTGTTGGAGTTGAACCACGGAATGCTCTTTTGATCTTTGCCAGCCCATTCCCCTCCAAGGATCTGATTCCAAACGACGAGGCCAACACCCTGCGAGTCAAACCTGGCCTCGTGACCGGCTTAGACCAGACTGATAAGTCCATCGTCTACTTTGCCCCAGGGGTATACTACTTCACCGCCAAAGCCCGCGCAGTTCTTGCTGCGTCCGTTACTTGGGTTTACATTGCTCCTGGCGCTTACGTCAAGGGGGCCATTGAGTACAACAGTCCAGAACCAGAGCTAAAGGCGACTGGATTTGGTGTGCTCTCAGGTGAACAGTACGTTTATCAAGCTAACACAGCCGAGGGCTACAAAAACATAAAGAGCGACGCTACTTCGCTGAAGTTATGGCGAGGAAACAACGTCCAACCAGGTGCGAGATGGACTATCAATGGCCTGACCACAAACTCACCTCCATTCAATTCGATGGACTTCTACGCCTCCGATGCATCGAAAATGGAAGAGTTCAGTATCCACGCGTCGGATTACAAGCAAGTTGGTGCGTTCTTCGGTCAGACGGACGGAATCCAAATGTATCCAAACAGCCATGTTCACGACGTCTTCTACCACGCTGGAGACGATGTTATCAAGACCTACTATTCCAACGTCCTTGCTGAGAGAATCGTGGCCTGGAAAACCAACACTGCTCCTATCATTCAATTCGGATGGTACCAGCGTAACTTGACGAACATCACAGTCGACCATGTCGACCTCATTCACTCGCGATATATTTCTCAGCAAACCAAGTATCCATACGCGCTTGTAGGCTCTTCCGCAAGCTACTTGGATGATTCATCCACCTCGACCGCCGACACCAGCTCGCACATCACTAACTACACAGTATCCAACTGGCGAGCGGAAGGACACTCCCCGGCACTTTTTGGCGTCAACCCGTTGTCTAATATCGATAACTTCAAAATAGAAAATGTATGGATTGAGTCCCTTGAGCCCAGATCGACAAATGTTGGCAGGAGCAGGCTTAGCGCCTTTACTGATGCCAGCGACGACAACAAACCAGTTTTGCTTGGTGAGAACTCGCCCAACAAGATCGGTCTGTTGATTAAGAACTTCTATGTTGGTGATGAGCATATTACCATCAAGGCAGGCAATTGGGACTTAAACTCGCTTGGGAACTTGAATTTCGACCCGTCGTACTGGGGGAGGTGGACTGCGGAGTGATGATGTTGTTAAGGAAAGTTGGTATTATTATGGCCTTGGAGGAGGATCTCTCCGCCAAGTCGGTAGCCTGTAATATCACAATATAATACTACTGTTATCAATCATCTTTATGCCATTATAGTGCTTCCTTTGTAAGCATGTAAATAACCTGTATCAACATGCTAGGATATAGGTCCTATTATTCCACATTGGGTAAGTGACGAGACGTCAGTTTCAATATGCCTAGTAAGCGCGATCCCGATTCTCAACTCTCATTTATTTCCCAGGAAATTGGCCTCATTTTCCACGCTCATTTTCCACGCCCACTTCCATCCGCTGCTGTGCACTCATTGTTTGCATATTGTGCATCTTCACATGTTTGAAGTTCATTTTTGGAGATGGTACGCTCCACCCAGCTGGTGTTTGATTGTGCTGGTTAAAATTTGTATGAAATTAATAACCACGAGCCTAATACTATTATTATTACTATTATTAATTAATTAATTGTGAAAAGTAACAACTCCATCCATTCCATCCCAATACGGCAAGACATTAGAGCAGGTATCATAACGACATATCGGCGTCTACGAGTGATAGAAGCAAACAGGAAGTGAGACGAATCTCCTCAGCTATTCCGTTCCCCAGGCACATCGCTTGAACAACGCTTTAGGCCCCAGTATAGGCTTGCTGTGGCTTCATAGCATGCGGAGGCTCGCTATTGCCGCCACGAGTGCGCCAGCAGTGCAACGCCGCCATGGTCGTGGTCCCAACAAAAAGTGCCCTAGAAAAATGCCCCAGGTTAGCCAGAAGTCCATAAACCGCAGATATCCAGGGTGAAGCATATAACTCACCAGCTAAAAGCTCCAAAGACAACAGCCGCGATGAACTCGTCGCACTTCTTTTCTCGACGTTGGTGGCGGGAGTAGTAGCAGTATTTACTAGTGAAACTCCCGAGTGAAGCAAAGCTACCGATCCAGAGAAGCATGGTGAGAATCTCAACGGTGAGAACAGCGTACTTGTGGGCGGCTTTGGGGAAAAAGATGGGGGCGATAACTAGGTAGGCGACGACGAAGAGGGCCAGCACGGAGGTGAATAGGACGAGTGGAACCTCTCCCACCTCGTTTGGGGGGGTCCAGTAGTTCACGGTGGCTACGGGATGTCAGCACATTGCAGGGGATTACTGTATGAGATGCTAGACTCACCATCTGCCATCATAGCCATGACGATCAGCGCAAACACCCCCTGGGCGGCACGGACGGGAAAGAGAAGGGTGGTGGCTAAAGTCATGTTTGCAAGTGTCGCGTGTACTGCGAGATGTGAATTTCTGATAAAGAGTCGCTTTAAAGCAGTCCACGTTGAGGGTTGAAAAAACAAGAATCGGCACTCTCAAAGAGTTATATATTCCTCTTGCGCGGCCTGATACGTCATGTTACACCCTTTGTTCGTAGGATTCTGATTTTGGTAGGTCGTGGATCTGTCTTGGTGCGGGGCAGGACAGCACAGCCAGGAGCGACTTCTCTTGGCGGGTACGCAACGGGTGTTGATCCTCAGGAAGGATTCTAAATATACTTATCTAAAACCGCTTGTATCACGACGATCTTATATGACAGCGAAGAGACATCGAACTGACATCAACAAACAGTTATCGACCCGCTGAAGGTAATAAACAGCTCCATAACTGACTTTGCTCGCTGGCTTACTAAGCGATAATTGATGCACTCGATCACAGTCACTGTTCTGTTTGACACGCTTGTCATCCTGTCATTCTGTCATCCTTAATTACCCACAAGGTCTTCAACAGAGCCTAGCATGAGTAACATCATTCCAGTCCCATCAATACCATATCCATTCTCCCACGAATATTCAACCGTCTCCTTCCATGCCAGCCTATCACATCCCCCCATCAAATCCGGTGACATCCGCACCCCAACCTTCCCCTTCTCACAAGGCTACCGCCCCCTCCCCCCAGCCTTCCACCGAAACCCCCCGCGTCTCAGGCATCATCAACCACGCTATAGCATAATCCCCATAATCCCATTAATCTTTTAATCTCACCTTATCCCCCTAGAACACCCATCCACCGCTCATGAAACATCTTAAAACTTAAAAATAGCCACAACCCCCACCGCCGCACAGGCGGGCACAGTCTAATTTCTCACCCGAAGGATGACATGCCTGCCATTCAATCTCACCACCTCAAAAAAAAATTGGCCATAGCGGAGGTAATGTAATATAGTATAATATAATATAAATCCCCTCTCCCCATTTACCAAGTTCTCCGTTTTCCTCTAACGCATGCACATATAACGGCCTTGCATTAAACCACCACCACAATACCCGCGCGCCTCCACCACCACGGCACCACCCGACCATGGCGCCAACCGCCCACTTCCTACCCGCCACAACCACCGCCCTCCTCCTCCTCCTCTCCGCCGCCCTCCCCGCCCACGCCCGCAGCGGAACCCACACCACCGCCCCCGCCGCCACTCTCCCCCTCTACCCAGCATTCATCCACCTCCCCACTCCCCCCGCGGTACTCGACGCGACCCTCCTCTCCGCCGCGCCCGCTGTGACCGGTACATCCGGCGTCTTCGAATGGTCTATCGATTGTCCCTCCGATGAGAACGATGATAACGATGCGTGTCGCCATCTCAGTGTGTTTCCCGCGCAGTTGTGGCATACCCAGAATGGGGGGTGGAGGGGGAAGATGACGGGGGAGAAGGGAATTACGACGGTTTGGAGTTGTGATTTATCCGGTGCGGAGGAGACGGGGGGCCCGCATTGCGTGGATGTTATATCGACGAAAGGAGGGAAAGCAGTAACAACCACAGCGCAACTAGGCTGCCACGATGATAGACAACTCGTCCCTCTTCGGATTAGCGAGGGGGCGGAGAAGTTTCCGGAGGGGTGGGAGGGCGTGTTGATGGGGGAATTGAATGCGCAGTATGGAGGCGGCCTAGAGGAGACGGGGTGTGCGAGGACGTGGACGATGCAGAGTGGTGCGCCGATTGTGACGAGGAATGTGACGTCGACTGCGCCGGTGGCGACGAGGGCAACGACGACGAGTGTGGTGGGGACGGGGACGAGTGTGGTGGATGCGGTGGCTAGTCAGACGGGGGAGGGAAAGGGGGTGAGGAGCGGGGTTAGTGGGCGGTTGGCTGCTGTTGGGGCGGTGGCGGCGGTGTGGTTTGGTGCTTGGTGAGCTGACTTGAGGGGATTGGAGAGAGAGGGTGGGTTGGATGATTGGGGTGTGTAGATATATACCATTCTGTATTATACCGGTTATTTCTTCTAGATTACATAGAAAGGGTCGCACCCATATCAGATCAATATCTTCATTTATCGTAATATGCGTCTACGTACGTATATAGTGGTGTAAATATAAACATCTAGATCTCTCGTCTATGTGCTGTTTCTGTGTGTTGTAGTGTCGTCTAAGAGCACATTCCATCTCATTTAGATAATCCGCTTCAACACCTCTTCGCGCGAGAAATTCGTGTTCCAGTACCGCGAGATGAAATCGTCGCGATTAACTACTCTGGTCAGTATTCCCACCGCAGTCAAAGGGGTAAATGATAACTCACTGTATCCACCACACATCCTCCTCTTCCCCTCAAACGCCGAGCGCGCATGCATAACCCGCCAGTTATCAAAAACTACACAACAGTCAGCAAACCTCTCCCTCCCCCCCGCAACAAAGTCCCTTCTCAACAGAAAACGAAAGGGATAAAACTTACTAACAGGCCGTCCCGGCACAAGCTGCTCCCAATACTCATTCTTCTTATCCGTAATAATCCCATTCCACACCCTCGCCGCCTCAAACCACTCCTCATACCCCACCCCCCCATTCTCCACCGGCATACTCGCCCGGTCATCATTGTTCCACCTCAACTGCCTCACCCCTCCCCCCTCATCCAGCGTCAACACCGGCACCCAAGTCGCCGGGGTAATAACAACCCCCTCATTCCCGCTAGCGTGCCAAGGAACGGGGACGCGGGACAAGATGTCGTACGCTTCTGGGTGGGAAATGCGGAGTTGGGCGGCGCAGGCGAAACCGTCAACTAGGAGGGAGGCGCCGCCGTGGCCGACGTGGGAGAGGAGGTGGAAGAGTTGCAGGCCGGAGGGGTCGGTGAAGTAGGTTGTGTCGGTGTGGGCGGGGAGGGCGAGGGTGGTGTAGGCGGTGTCTTTCATGGTTAAGTCGGAGGTGAAGTCGTAGAAGGCGCCTGGGGGGAGTTAGAGGGTGAGTTTGCTAGGGGGGTTTGCGTGTAGGTGGAAAAGGGGAGAGGGAGGGGGAAGGGGTAGGGAAGGGGGAAGAGGTGGAAAGGTGGTTTAGTGAGAGGGGATATACCATAATGAGTCTCCCTAATAAACGCAATCCGATTCAACAGCTCCTCCGTCTTCTCAGGAGAAACCGGACACCCATCCACAAAGCAGAATCCGTGTTCGCGCTGTATCCCCCATTAGCAACATCCAAACAGCCACAATAGGAATCCCATACAATCTTAGCCGTCCACTTCCCCACCCCGGCATCACTCGCCATAACCTCATCATAATGCACCGCCGGCGGACTCTTCGCGATCTCCGCGCCCCAGAAGGAGTATTTCGGCGCAGAGGGCTTCTTGTTCATGTTTGTCACTAGCCATTCCCATGGGAAGAAGCTTTTGTGGCCGGTTTCTTGCCCTGGTGTTTATTAGCACAGCACGAATTCGGTTCTTCGCTTCACGGAAAAGACGAACATATGACTTCTAACCCATCTTCCTTGGACGTAACATTCTGAGGCGTCTTATCCGTATTCTATACCAAATATCAGCACCACCACTCCTATTTTCAAAGAATTAGATAACCACACACCGTAAACGAGTCAAACGACCTCTGCAGCGTATCCTGATTCACGCACTGGCTGCAATGGCAATGATCCCTATCACACACATCGCATTAATACCTAGCACGTGACCACTATAAAATTTTGGGTTGGCGGGGCACTCTCTCACCTCAGCCATCTCGTCGGTCTTTGTATCGGCAATCTGGTCAGCGGATTGCCGTATTTGAATGGCATAGGTGGGAAAATGGGAGTGGGACTTACAACTCCTTCTCCTCGCCCGAAGGCAGGTTCACGACGATGGGACGTTGCACTTCCTTTTTGGCAGCGGGGACGGCGAGGCGGGGCGCAGGTGAGCTGTGGAATTGTGAGGTTAGAGCGCGCGGGAGGCGGAGAGCATGGGGAGATAGAGTAGATAGGTGCGGACTCCGACGTAGAAGGGCCGTTACGGAGTGGCGGAGGAGGGCGGCTGAGGGGGTTGGCGGCATGGTTGGGGAGGTTGATGGCGGGGTTGGTTGAAGTAGCGGGGTATGTGTGCGGAGTTCCGGAGCAGGTAGATCTGCGTAGGGGCTCAGGATTTTGATTGTGCTAGCTGTGTGTGAGAAGTGAAAGTAGCACACCGCTGAGAGAAGAGCGTTTGTATGACAGATTGTACAGCCTAGGGTTTGTTATTCAAATTACAGGTCAAATTACAGTTGTGGCGTATCCGGGGAACCTCGGTTGGCAGCAAGCTTGTTGGTAGTGGCCCGGCCAAGTCGCCGATGGCGCCTGTGGGGCTTGCGTAGGTGCAGGTGGCGGGCGCTGCTGTCGAATTGGAACTACGCCGGGAAAAGCCCGAAGTAGAGGCGGCGCGGGTGATGGGGGAGGGACGCCGGGAGGGAAGGAGCGAACTTCCTATTGCAGTACGGGAGTTGTTGTAGTACAGTGCACTGACGCTAACCGTAAGCCTGGATTCCGCGGTGGTGGGAGATGGGATGGGAGATGGGTTTAGGTGTCAGTCACGGGTAGCACACGTGCAATAGCTCCGTGCTTCCCACGAGAATACTCGGGGTATACGGCATATATTAACACAGCATATCAACATGGCATCAACACGATATCAACACGGGCATCAACACGACGTCAGCACAACATATCAACACGGCATATATACACCCCATACAAGACACCAAAATAAGAGTCTTGGTGTCTCGTACCCATACAACACAGTACCACAGCCCCCACCACTAAAGAAACACAACAAATCTGCGGCGCCCCCCGCAAACCCCGCCCACATTTCGATAAACGGCACATAGGCCCAGCCAAGCAATCGTACCACGTACATGTACAGCACAGTATATTAGCCATACGGAGTCCAGCAGTCCAGCAGTCGCCCATACAAGGTTAACAGTACCCCTGCCATGGCTCAAAGTGTGTTACTGCACCGTCCACACCCCCATAACCCGGTACGCCACAGCTAACCCGTACCCGGCAAAGATGCCCGTCGCACGGCACCTGTCATTGGTCTCTCTCCCCCCTATTGGAGTCAGCATCTCCGATCAGCAACAGGACCTTCAACTTCCGTGCAGGACTGGCAGGATTGGAGTTTCGCCGTTGGAGATCCCGATAGGTGCGCTGGTTCGTCAGCTGGTGAGGTTGCGGTACTTGCGAAGACAAGAGATTCTCGTGCTGTGGGAAGCTCGAAATATAGACATCACGGACCGACTCACACGTTGCTCGCTCGCCCGCACGTTCGTTGGGGTGTAAGCCACCGCTCGAGCTGGGCCTTGCTAGCTGTCTATCCCCTGTTACACTTCAGATGAGATGTCAGCCGCGGAGAGATGAAGCTATTGCCGTATTGCACTCTCCGCCTTTTTCTGCTGAGTCGGTCCGACTGTGTGTGCAGTCTTGCTGTGTTGGCTGTGCCTGGTGTATTTACCGTTCCCTCACTTTTCGTCACGACTTGGCAAGACATTTTCGCCGCGTTGTCTCTGTCGTGTCGTGTGCTGTTCTGTATGCACGCGCTGTGAGACGGCAGTGGCGACGCGGCGACGAGGATATAGGGGCTCAGCTACCAGCTACCAGCTACCAGTGTCTCCCCGACAACCGACAGCGGCTTGGAGCCCACAAAGCCCGCAATAGGAAGTACAACTCAGCGTTCAGCATAGGACTGTGCGTAAAAACATCCATCCGCACATACAGCACAGTACTATGGCAATTGATTCGGTGTGCGGTGTACCGGCCGTCCCAGCAAAAAGCGGCTGGTAAAGTATGTACACTATACTGTATGTAAGTTTACTCGTCTGTGCACCCCCAAGTTACCCCACGTTAATCACCAAACCAGCAATTCAAAAGGGGGGGAGACGGGGAGAACGGGGAGACGGGGGGGAGAACGGGGGAAGCAACCACAAAACCCACAGAAACCCCACCACTGCTCCACACGTACAGGTACAACGATCTACCCATCCAACCTTCTCATCCGGCCATTGACCTACCGACATGCATACTGATTGATCGTCAGTCAAAATATCCACTCCTCACGGTACAGTACTGCAGTATTCACTGCCACGTTCCTTTAGGCGACGAGCATTTCCTACTTTTTGTATATCTATATGACGTTGATACGCCCCCCCTCCCGACGACCTGAAAGAAGGCACGTCGCAGACTCCCTCTCAGCGTCGACAATCTCCTTTCCACCTCTTACACGCTCGATTGATCGTGTGAAAGATGCACATCCATTCTGTCCTTGTCGGCGCCGCTGCCCTCGCGGTCGGCGCCAGTGCCCAGACTGATGGCTTGTCTCCTCCTAGCTACCCCTCGCCCTGGATGCACGGCGGTCAGGGTTGGGACCACGCGTATAAGAAGGCTGTTGAGTTCGTTAGCGGACTCACCCTGCTTGAGAAGGTGAATATCACCACCGGCACGGGATGGATGCAAGACCTCTGTGTTGGAGCTACCGGAGGCATCCCCCGCCTCGGATTCAATGGTTTCTGCCTCCAAGATTCCCCATTGGGAATTAGATTCAGTGAGTAGACCGCGCCTAGCTCTAGAACCACAAAGTGAGAATTTCCCTAACACCTCCCCAGGCGACCAAAACTCCGCCTTCCCCGCCGGTGTAAACACCGCCGCCACCTGGTCCAAGAAGCTCTTCAAAGCCCGCGGTGAAGCTATGGGTGAGGAATTCCGCGACAAGGGCGTCGACGTTATCCTCGGTCCCGTCGCCGGCCCTCTCGGCCGCTCTCCCGAAGGCGGCCGCAACTGGGAAGGATTCGCCCCCGACCCCGTCCTCACTGGCGTCGCCATGGCCGAGACGATTAAGGGCATCCAAGGCACCGGCGTCATCGCCTGCGCTAAGCACTTCATCGGCAACGAGCAGGAGCACTACCGCCAGCAGATGAGCTCCAACATGGACGACGCGACCATGCACGAGATGTACATGTGGCCCTTCGCCGACGCCGTCAAGGCCGGCGTGGGATCCGTGATGTGCTCGTATAACCGCCTGAACGACAGCTACGCCTGCGAGAACAGCTACCTCCTCAACCACCTCCTCAAGAACGAGCTGGACTTCCAGGGTTTTGTCATGGCCGACTGGGGCGCCCAGCACAGCGGCGTCGCCAGTGCCCTTGCAGGGCTCGACATGACCATGCCCGGTGAGCAGGTCTTCGGCGTGGGAACCTACAGCTACTGGGGCGGCAACCTCACCGCGGCGGTGCTGAACGGCACTGTCCCCCAATGGCGCGTCGACGACATGGCCGTGCGCATCATGTCCGCCTACTACAAGGTCGGACGCGACAAGTCCCGCATCCCCATAAACTTCTCCAGCTGGACTCGCAACACGACCGGCTACTTCCACACCCTGGGTGAAGCGGACTTCGGCGTCGTCAACCAGCACGTCAACGTCCAATCCGACCACAAACACGTAATCCGCGAGATCGGCGCCCGCTCCACCGTTCTCCTCAAGAACACCAAGCGCGCCCTCCCCCTTAACAATCCCAAGAGCGTAGCAGTCATCGGTGAAGACGCACATCTCAACCCAGCCGGCATCAATTCCTGCGACGACCGCGGCTGCGACAAGGGAACTCTCGCCATGGGATGGGGTAGCGGAACAGCAAACTTCCCCTACCTGATCGCCCCCGTCGACGCCCTCCGCGCCCAGGCCGAGACAGATCGCAGCACCTTCGTCAATATCTCGAATAACTACGACCTCAACGCCATCCGCGCCGCAGCCGCTGGCAAGAGCGTCGCTCTCGTCTTCGCAAATGCCGATTCGGGAGAGGATTACATCACCGTTGACAAAAACGAGGGAGACCGCAATAACCTCACACTCTGGCAGAACGGTGACGCCGTCATCGCCGCCGTCGCCTCCGTGAACCCTAACACCATCGTCGTGCTGCACACCGTCGGCCCCGTGCTCCTCGAGGCCTACAAGCACCACCCCAACATCACCGCCATCCTCTGGGCCGGAATCCCCGGCCAAGAAAGCGGAAACGCAATCACCGACGTGCTCTACGGCGAGATCAACCCCTCCGCCAAGAGCGTGTTCACCTGGGGCAAAGAGGCGAAGGACTGGGGCGTTAACATCCTCTACAACGACAGCTCCAAGGTGCCGCAGATGACCTTCTCCGAGGGGAATTTCATCGACTACCGCCACTTCGATAAAGCCGGTATTGAGCCGTCGTATGAATTCGGATTTGGGCTTTCGTATACTACTTTCGAGTACTCCGCCATCGGCGTCCGCAAACTCCAGGACGACGAGTACAAACCTACTACCGGGAAGACGAACGCGGCGCAGACGTTTGGGACGGTGGATAAATCGCCATCTGCGAATAAGATGCCAAAGGGGTTCAAGGCTGTGAAGGCATACGTGTACCCCTATCTCGACTCCACGACTGGCAACTCCGAGGGCGGCAACGGCGATGCGCCGAAGGGCAGCCAGGACGGGTCGAAGCAGCGCAAACTCCCCGCCGGCGGTGCACCAGGTGGTAACAGCGGGTTATGGGATGAGATGTACGAAGTCAGCGCTACTATTACCAACACCGGCAAGCTCGACGGAACGGAGGTTGTGCAACTTGTAAGTTCCCCCCTTTTCCCCTACCCTTTCCCACCAGTGTTAGAGAACACCAGCTAACAAACCCCCAGTACGTCTCCCTAGGCGGCCCCAACGATCCCCCCGTCGTCCTGCGCGGCTTCAACGACCTCGCCATTCCCCGCGGCCGCTCCAAGGCTGTGAGGTTTAAGTTGACGAGGAGGGATATCAGTAACTGGGATGCGGGGAAGCAGGATTGGGTTATTAGTGATGCGCCGAAGACGGTGTATGTGGGAGCTTCGAGTCGGAAGTTGACGTTGAAGGCGGTGTTGGCTTAGGCTTTGGTTGTGATTGTGGTGTGGTGTGGTGTGTGGTGGGAGAGGAGGAGGAGGTGGGGAGGTTAATTGTTAATCAAAGTATGGTTATTGTTAATGCTGGTATTGTTAATTCTGGCAGTAAATATATATACAAATCAGTTTGAATCCGTGCGGATACTTGGCCCTTGCATGTCTACGTCGCTGTGCCTGGCTAGAGAGGGATACTGACATGTTTCATTCCTAGTCTCAGTAGAATAAATATACCCCTTGCATGATCACGTTCTGACTACACGATCGCATCTCTAGATAATACTGAACGCAACAACCTTGCATTCTCTCTCAGCTAGTGATTAAAGTACATCCTCACCATCTCCCCCAATTCCGGCCAGGCACATCTTACAAGTACAACCCCTCCGGCTCGCCCTCCGTCTTCGTCTTCAACACCCTCTCCCTCGCGGCCCTAAAATCCGCCATCTGCACCCTCATCCTACGCTCCCTCAGCGCCATAAGTCCCGCCTCCGAGCAAATCGCCTTAATATCCGCTCCCGAAAGATCATCCTTCTGCGTGATAAATTCCTCCAGATCAACATCCTCATTCAAGCTCATCTTGCTGGTATGCAGCGTGAAGATCTTGCGCTTGGTCTGCTGATCCGGGTTCTCGAAGAGGATCTTGCGGTCGATGCGGCCGGGGCGGATGAGTGCGGGGTCAAGGGTGTCGATCTTGTTGGTCGCCATGATCACCTTGACGTCGCCGCGGTCGTCGAAGCCGTCGAGCTGGTTCAGGAGTTCGAGCATCGTGCGTTGCACTTCGCGCTCGCCGCCGGAGGTGGATTCGTAGCGCTTGGTGCCGATGGCGTCGATTTCATCGATGAAGACGATGGAGGGGGCGTTCTCGGCGGCAACCTGGGGAGGGGGTCAGTATATGTGTGTGTGGGGGGGGTGGGGTGGAGTGGATGTATTTACCTGGAATAGTTGTCTAACGAGACGTGGTCCATCACCCAAGTACTTCTGGATCAACTCGCTGCCAACAATGCGCAAGAAGGTGGCGCTGGTTTGGTTGGCGACGGCCTTGGCGAGAAGCGTCTTTCCTGTACCGGGTGCTCCGTAGAGAATGACACCCTTCGGAGGCTTGATGCCCATCTCCTCGTAAAGCTCGGGGTGCATGAGAGGCAGCTCGACGGACTCTCTGACTTCCTGGATTTGCTGCTCCAGTCCACCAATATCCGCGTAAGACTCCGTTGGTGCCTTGTCCAGCTTCATGACCGTGACAAGCGGATCAGCATCATCGGTCAAAACACCAACGATGGACACCGACTTGTGGTGCAGCAGAACGCTTGCCCCAGGCTCGAGCAGATCCTTGTCGACGAACGACATGATGGAGACGTAGTATTCCGGGCCCGTTGTGCTGGAAACAATGGCATGGTCGTCATCGATCATCTCCTCCAGAGTTCCGACTCCCATCGGGCTACCTCTCATATCATCGACACGGCCACGCTCATCGGCATTACGATCCTCGGCATCCGGGTCGCCATTGGCGACTGGTGCACCGCCCTCCTTTGCCGTCTTTGCCCTGCGAAGGCGTTCCTGGTTCTCCACATATTCCTCCTCGAGCAACAGATGGTCGTGGATTCGCTGCATTCGCAGGTATCGTAATTTGCATCGTGACGTCGGGTAGACTTGTGGGAGCTTCGCAGACGCGTTGGGTCCTTGTGCCTTCTTCTTCTTGCGCCCAATGCGGGTCGTTGGACGTGGCGGTGGCTCGTACTTTGGCTTCTCCTTCTGGTTGAGGTCAGCGTTTGGAATAGTTGGAGATGAGGTCGAGATGGCTTACCTTCTTGTCCTTTGAGTCCTTATCATCACCGCCTCCGCCTGGGCCTCCAAGGCCAGACTGCTGGTTACCCTGAAGTGAAATAAAGTTAGTTGATTGAGCTTTTGGATTTGAGGTCGAAGGGGCAAACTAACCATAGTGTTGCTACAAGTTTACCCAGCTGTGGAGGAATTGTTTGAATAGGCTGATGAAATGCCTATACTATCCCTCTTCTATAAAAAGAGAGCTTGACCACAGTATTTGTGACGTTGTAGGTGGTCAGGTTGTGATGGTGATGGTGCAAGGTATTGTCGTGTTTGTAATGCGATGACAAGCTTCCAGCTGCCTCGCGATGGACAGCTCCGGAAGGCGACAGCGACACGCGAACGCCGTTCCAAAAACAGTCGGTCACGTGACTGTGCGTGCCAGCCTGACCCGAAATGTATCAGCCTCAGCCTTAACTGCACTCGGAACCTCACGTTGCTCACTGAGACCACTGCATAACATAACAAAGCAGCGATATAGAACCAATATAAACTCTTTGTCTCTGACTCGGCTCGAACTCATTTATAGCTCTATAGTAGATAGGGACCCCTTCTGTGAGTAACTTCTAGCTTGAACCTATTGACCCTCATTATTACCCCGCCAGAGCATCCCAGCTCGTTCCATTATTCCAACATTCGGAATACACCGAGCCTCTTTCAGCACTTGGTTATACCTAATAATCTACTCATTTACTAATACTTTGAGAGTAGAATCGTCGGCCGTCAAGTACGAACGATTATCGACTGAGTGTGAATCGTCACGAAGTGGGTCATTCACAATCACTTTTCGAACAGATCCGCACTTCATTTAACGGCCATACGTCAACCCCTTGGCTCACAAGGCCACCATACGAGTTACACATACACGAAATATTATACCTATTCCACCGAAATGGCTAGTAACCGCATACGCCGCATCGCAAAGGAGTTGGGCGATATCCAAAAAGATCAATCATCGACCATAGAGGCACACGCGGCGGGGTCCGGTGAGGATCTCACGCACCTGAAGGCAAGCTTCCCTGGGCCTCCGGATACCCCCTATGCTGGTGGTCAGTATGTGGTGGACATCAAGATTCCCATCGAGTACCCGTTTAGGCCGCCGGTCATGAAGTTTGAGACTCGTTTATGGCATCCGAACGTTAGCAGTCAAACTGTAAGTCGGGAGCCTCTTCTTCCTCCCAACCCGTAGCATACTAATCTACCGCAGGGAGCAATCTGTCTCGATACGCTAGGCTCCGCATGGTCTCCAGTTCTCACCATCAAGTCCGCCTTACTGTCTCTGCAATCCCTCCTGAGCACACCCGAGCCGAAAGACCCCCAAGACGCCGAAGTCGCAACGATGCTCATGAACAACCCCGAACAATTCGAAAGACAAGCAAGAGAGTGGGCTCAGAAGTACGCCGGTGCTCCAGTATCAAATAAGGCAACCGGGACATACCAATCACCGTCAAGCAAGCCAAAGGTTGCGAAGACCAGAGAGCAAGAACAAAGGGAACTGATGCTAAGGTAAGGGGTTACTGGATGGATATGATATGAGAAATATGCTAATAAAGCGAAGATACCAAGGCTACAACAAAGAGCTCATCGATCGCTTCGTCAACATGGGATTCGACCTTGACCGAGTGGTCGAGGCATTCAACTTCGTTGGCATTGATCGGATGGACGGACAAGACTATGAACTCGAGGAAGCATATATGGGAGATATCACTGCCCGCCTCCTTGGCGAGCCGTGAAGTGGAAGGTACTACAACATAACCTAAGAATAGTGTGCGAGTTGGGACGGGATCTAGCATTTACGTGGCTGCGCGGAGGGCTTGGTTTTGGGAGTGTCCTTGGAGTTCGGTTCGTTGCGCATTGACTGCCTGACTTTATGGAAACCGGCGCTGGGATATACACGGGGCATTATTTGGTGTTGTCCAATCCGGACGACGGGTCTTTTCCCTGATAAGGCCCGCATAGTATACAGTATTATGGCGGGCTGGGATCTTCCACTCCCGCCATAACATACATAGCAATATATAAGCTCTTCTCACGTTTAGAATACCAGAGGGCCCTATTATTTGCAATATGCACAGGCTAAGAACATGCACTGATGAAGAGAAAATTGCATGCTTCAATAACGTATATTCAGTAGCTGCCACCCTTCGAGATCTTAATTGTAATCATTTCAGACTCCATGCACCGGTATCAACCCGCAGTTGCCTTAACTCCAACCGCCATGAAAACACATATAACCAGTCCCATGCTAAAACCTCTCGTAATTCTAAACCGGTCATCGATTCGGCCGTGTTCGTTTTTCGCCGCAATTTTTGGTGCGTTTGCTGTGCCTCCTTCTGCACACGCCTCTGGTTGCGCCTGCCTCACTCATCCTTGGGTCTCCCCGGCTCATATATATCCAATGGGACTGGGGCCTCTCATTGGTGAACCGTATTGTCTTTCCATCCATTTAATATCTCCTTCCCAGGCTGCCAACCCCCGCCGCCTCGATGTGCTAGGAGCGCTCATAGAGCCTCATCAACATCCATACCATCCGCTGCAGCTCCCTCAGAAGCCTTCTTCTTCGATTTAGTCGTCACAGGCGCATCTATTAAACAATCAGTACTGTAGTCCACACCATGCAATCCAGTGAGTAAAACATACCCGTCATCGACACCTCACCGCGCTCAGCCAACTCCTTCTCCAACGCACGCTGCCTCGCATGATTCCTGGCCTGCTCAACCTTCCTCGCCTTCTTTCCCGACAGTGGCGCCAACGGGCCGCTCGTGGGGTGAATAACGCTGCTTAGAGCCATTCCACGCGGGTTCTTGGCGATTCCGGCGGTGGCGCGGCGCCTCTGGATCTTGTTCCTGTTGGACTTGCGGCGGGACTTGTTGGGGACATTGCAGTTGGCGACGGAAGGCATGTTGGCGGTTTTGTTTGGTGTGAATTGTTTCGTGGGAGGGAGTTTTGAGGTTTGCGTAGGGTTGGGAATTTTTATGATATCTGCGGTGGATGAATTATTTTCAGATCTGTTATCGGGAAGGCTAACCTTATCTATCCAGATGCGGGAGCCACCCCGCTTGAGTTTTGACCAATGAGAATAGATGCTCTGGCTCAGTCGCCCGATATCAAATGTTCTAGAAATACATTTAGAAGACAGTAAATTGTAATGCAGGTGTATTTTTTCAGCTATTACAATGAATATTTGTCAAAGGTTTCTTTTTAAAGTGGTGATTCATGAAGAATTGGAGTGTTTTTAACCCTTTTTCAAATAACACATTAATCACAGATAATAAAGGTTTTAAGAACCCCGAATCCCAGTCATATGAGCAGCGCAATAGATTATTCTCTAAATATATATGCAGCTCAGCTCAATAAAAATATACATAATTAACCTATGCATCCATACATTGAAATAGGATGCACGCTGTGTAGGCCCCAATAGTTACTAATCGCAAGGGCGGCTGGAGACGCTACCAGTGATTGCCATTTCAAAGATGAGAAATGCATACCAGTTGTGCAAGCAGCACTTGGTAATACCACTAATGTAGCAATTATCCATAGAGTTATAATTCCAAGAGCTATAATTCCAATTATAATCACAACCAGCCTAGTATTTTAGGTGCATATCTACCAATTGCCATAGGTTAATGCCATCCCCAGAAACGGCACCGCTATTACCTTGACGTATATTTATGAGAGTTAAAAGCGAGACGCTACCCTAAGATTAGGAGGAAGTCGAGCAGCAGTTGATAGTGAGGCAAGGGCGGCAAGCGGGAGAAGTTTGGAAAAATGCATCCTTGTATTGGTAGACAACGTTTTTCTTTTCTTTTCTTTTCTTTTCGAAAGTAGATGAAAGTATGGTTGCTGTAGACGAGAGAATATTCATAGGGATATGACCGTCCTATTTATGCTCTTCAATTCTACGCTGGTACCACCCCGGACTACTCTCTGCGAGTGAATTGAGAAGCTCGAGACAACCAATTATTTTTGCCTTCGTATTCCTCAGCCCTGTTTCCTCAACTGCTCTTTTATTTCAGCTATTGTTTCATTCCAGATGCGGTTTTATTCCAGCAACTTTTTTATAAGAAGAAGATCTGCCGAATCCATTTCCGGGTCATCGTTGTCTCACTGTTAACTCTCACCGACAGCGTGTCACGACCAGACGAGCAAATCATTGTGGGTTTGGGAATAGCCACTTTACTTTTTGTAAGAAGATGTAAGATACGACCCTTTCCGGAGACCCTTCTTCAAAATGCTTCACAGATCTGAGTCAAGATCACCAAGTTCGCCAATGAATGTAAAAATATCAGAAGTGATGCGAGGGAGACGGTAAGAGAAGCATATGGGCCGGCGGATCAAGGCCAATCAATAACTTGCAATATGATGAAACTCCTCAACGATGACAAGTTGTCATATGACCCCAGAAATTAGAGACTGTGAGGCCCTAGGAGCTGCTGAATTTAGAGTTTATAAGCTGCCATACCTTGGCAGCATAAACGGCGCGGGTGATGGCATGTAGGGGTTAGTTAACCATGTGGGAAATCGACGACGGCGTCACTGCCGTGTCACCGGTATCACAATACCATACCATTGGGCATAGGTGTGGCTAACATGGCAATGGCCTTCAAACGAGACGAGCGCCTTCATTAGGTTGACTGACTCCAAAGTTTGAGCAATATATATATTACACTTCTCAGTATCCTATGCTATCCTCGAACAAAAGTATACAAACACGCTATCGTCATGCAGCCAAGCATGCTACCGGATCCCCAGTCCAACCTTACATACTGAGAATGATGCCCCTGTTAGATCATAGGACCTCAAATTGTCCTTCCCATATATCGTATATATGCCACCCCACCCCATGCTAGTTAACCCTCACCCCTCATATATGTTCCCATTTTCTCGGAAAATAAAACGGTATTGGTGCTAAAAAATGACGAACACCGAAATTTCTGCAAGCTACACGCCTGCAGGTTCAGAATACCAAAAATAGGTCGCCTATGGTTTCTGGGGTCAGTGGCCCCATATGTAGTTTCACCAGCGACGCAGCGGCTACTTGGCGTGATCAGTCGTATTTTTCCCCAGGCATTTTCTTGGAAAATGCGCAGACCTCCTTCATGCAGTCGACCGAGTAGACGTATGCCATAAAGTACGGGGTCGGCTTCGACAGCATCATGCCATCCAGGCTGGCCTTCACGCGCTCCACGAACGTGGTCGCGACGCCTTGACCACCGCCGTACTTTGGCGCATAGCTAGTCTCCAGATCCTCGACGAAGTAGATGCCACCCGGCTTGACCGAATCGAAGAGGATATCGATAGAGGTCTTCTGTTGCACCATAGTGTGCCCGCCGTCATCGATGATGACGTCGAAACCACCTCCGGTCTCGTTCAGGAATTTCTTGAGGAACGGCACGTCCGCCTGGTCGCCGGTGAAGATGGTAGCGCCGGTGGTGTTGGCGGCCCACTTCTCAGCGCACGCCGCGTCGTACTCGATGTAGTAGAGGTCGACGTTGGGGAAGAACTCGAGCCAGGTATGGTACGAGGCGCCGGGACCGTAGGACATGTCGCAGCCGAGGCCGATCTCGAGCATCTTCAGCGGCTGGTCGCGGAGCGGCTCCAGGTACTTCTCGTACATGTGCTGGTAGTGGTGCGCGGTGACCTTGTCGGTGCCGTACTTCTTCCCGATCTCGCGGAAGGAGGGCCTCTTGGTATCGACTTTCGGGGCTTCAACTTTGGGGGGGGGTTCGACCTTGGGGGCTGCAACCTTGGTGTCTTCTACCTTGGGGGTTCCGATCTTGGGGGGTTCAACTTTCGGCGGCGTGTTCGGCGCGGGTTTCTCTGGGGAACTGTTGACATGTTAGCAAGGCTGCCTCAATGCTTCCATCAAATATGGGCGCTTCAATTCGGGAAACTCACGTCTTCCCGTTTACTTTATCTATAATATCATCGTAATTGTACGAGACATGGTAAACAGACATGAAAAACAAGAAGGCAACGACACCAATGATCACATTGAACACGACCCGGTTGGATCTCGCAAAGGTCGCCATCGTTGGGTAAGGCTGGCGTATATCCGCGTGAAGGCGAGTAAGCTGGCTGCTGCTGTCCTGTCAAGTGTGAGTTGAATCACGGGCTTGAGCTCTGAATATCACAGAGGAGGTAATTGACTCAGTATCGCAATTCAGTGACTCTTCAGCTCTGCAACTCAGTAGCTCCGTAACGACAGCTGGCAGTTGGGATGATGGAGATTGATCCTTTCACACGTGTTGGTAAGATCTCCTTCCTCTCTCAAGTTTCCCCGCATGCAGTAAGTAGACTTAGCTGTACGGAGTACTCGTATGTTCATACAGTAATTATCAGCCCCTTGATGGTCATACAAGGTACCGAGTATCGTATGGTTGCAATGTACTTTATCGGACCAACGACAGTATAGTGATCTTCCTTCCCAACCTTCCCAGAAGCTTTCCCCAACCGCGGTACGTCATGGACATACGAGAACTAGTAAGGATAGTATGCCAATCTCGTATAAAAGGGCTAAATGAAACTGAGAGGGCTGTCGATGGATGTCGATGTCCCTGTCGATTTTAATATACGCAGTGGAGTCTGGTGTGTTGGCTAGATGCAAGTACTCTAACACTGCCACTAACATCGGCGGCACGGAGTACATACAAAAACCTATTCCTGGACCGTTCTTGCCGCAACGGGATATCGCTCGTGTAAAATCAATAATCCAGACCTCTGAGATCAGTAAGATCCGCCACGGAAGGATTGTGAAACACAGATAGCGCGATTCGATAGGACCCCGATCAACGGGAGCCTAGGGAAACCAAGAGATCCCAAGCCCATGTACTGGATTGTACTCTATTGTATGTACAACTCGATTGTTCAGCCCCAGATGTACTCCAACAGCTGCCCCCAACAGTCAAACAACTAACAAGAGACCCCGTATATATTCGAGGAGGAATGGATTGACAGTCAGCTGACTTCCATACACGTACGTCGCACCTATGTCGCGGCTGTGTTGAGGTTGATCGAGTCGTTGTTGGTTTTTGCACGTATTGACTGTTCGTGTAGAGTGCTGGCGCCATAACTGCAACCCGAGCGGACTCACCGGATATCAATCGTTGTTGCCAAGCAGAGCGAGGAGGACTACTGCTAGAGCCCGAGCCGAGATCTGGGGACTAGGTCAATCAATCAATCAATCATGGATCTCTACCGGACCACTTTCGCGGTCTTGGTGGTAGGCAGCGTGGGCCTGGCGTACTCGCAATATCGACGTGACAAAGAGGCGTTAAAGGATGCCAAGGCTGGGTCTGTCGAGCTCAACAATGCCGCAACAGCGTTCAAATGGAAATTCATCCCAGTCTATTTGCTTGTAATGGGCTCGGACTGGCTTCAGGCAATTAGACCCCTCCTAGAAAGCTAAATATTGCGGCTGTACTGACGCGAAAGCAGGGACCGTATGTCTACACGCTCTATAAAGATGAGTATGGACTCGCAGAGCCGACAGTTGCTATGCTATTTGCTGCCGGATTTGTTGCTGCAGCTGTTAGTGCGACATTTGTTGGGTCTCTCGCCGATAGGTATGGCAGGCGTATGGCATGTATGGCATTTTGCGTCACATATGCACTTTCCTGCTTGACGAAGCTCTCGAGCGAGATTGTCACGTTACTCATCGGGAGGTTGCTCGGCGGTGTTGCAACGACCCTGATGTATAGCGTCTTTGAGTCTTGGATGGTCACGGAGTATTTTGCTCGAAGCTTGGATAGGAGCAACATGACTTTGGATAGCATGTTTGGCCTTATGACGACGCTGAATGGCGTAGTTGCAATTCTGTCCGGTGTTGTGGGAGAGAGTGTTGTCGCTATGACGGGCACCAAGACGAGCCCATTCATGGCTGCCATTGTGCTCTTGATGACTGCAATGGTAATAATAAAAAGGGGATGGGTAAGTTGACACTCTCAATACAGACGAATGGACGGCTAACGTTGGTCCTCAGAATGAGAACTACGGAGACAGGACAGAGGAGTCAAAGGGCACTTCTGATGAGTCTAGTTTAAGAGCTATACTCAAAGGTTTGTCTTGAATCGCGTAAATTGGTTCGTACGTATGCTAACACTACCGCAGATAAACGAATCCTCATATTGGGCTTCGTATGTTGCGTCTTCGAGGGCTCCATGTACCTCTTCGTCTTTTTCTGGTCTGCTGCGCTCAAATCAGCCCACGCCTACTCTAACCCATCCACAAAAGAGCAATCTGCGATCCCATTCGGGCTCATCTTTGCCACCTTTATGGCTTCTATGATGCTTGGCTCTATTGCCTTCAGCCGTGGATCCTCCGAAGCGGCTGCCAGCAAGTCTATTGCCATGCTAGGGCCTGCTCATTTCCTCACAGTTGCCATTGCTGTCTCAACGGCCTCGCTACTTATTTCAGTTCTGATAAAGAGCGAGACACTGACATTCTGGTGCTTCTGTTTATTCGAGGGCTGCATCGGAATCTATTACCCTTGTATGGGAGCACTACGGGGCCGCATAGTTGGCGATGGAGTGCGAGCAAAGGTCTACGGATTTTTGAGAATCCCACTCAACTTCTTCGTAGTTGTACTTCTTTGCTTGACTAAAGAAGGTACGTGCTATCCCTTCAGTCTGTTATATATGACGTGCTAATATGATTCTCTAGGCGATGCGCATCGTGATAGAGTATTCACATTCTGTGGAGGCTTGCTATTGGCTGGGACTGTTTTATCAGCCTGCTACTTGGGGGACACGACGGAGGGCACTAAGGATCCAGAAGATGGTGAATCAGAGGAGTTTATGGATGGGTCACGGATAGACTCTCCAGCGTGAATGAACTCAAGGACGGAAAATTAGCGATGTATTTTTATCAATAAGTGCCAAAATGGCACACAGTGGTACAATTATGGAATAACAAGCGAATGCAACACCAAGAAACCTTATATAACGTGCCATATTATCGATTGATTTGAGTATGTTAATTATATATTGGGACGGGAAGGAAAAGTGACACCCCTGGGTGTTGTGGCTGATAGTCGGATATTTGTTGTTCCTCTGCCGCCTAACTCTGGGCGCCGACGTGGAGGGGCTCAGCCACGAAAAGTGACTTCGTCGTCATCCAACGGAGGGAATTCAAACCAAGGCCTAACACCACATGCTGCTCTGTTAAACGCTCTCAACCACATAAACAAATACGCCTCTAACGCATGAAAGACATATAACAAGAACCTCACAACCTTAGATCACAGCGTTAAGTAACATCCGCCAATATGTCGTGGGCAGGTATGTTTTGGTACCTGAGAAGGTTGGCATACAGAGGGCGATTCTGACCATGACGGGTATAGGATTCAAGAAGAATGTCAATCGGGCGACCACCCAGGTCATGATGAAGACTGGTACTTACGAAGCACACCCAGTACTATGATGTATACTTACATGGACAGGTCACGTCGAGAAAACAAACGACCGCGATTATGAAGTGGAAGAGAGGTGGGTGGTCTGAACAGGCAGCTATCGTGGCAGCTATGCTGACATTATTCCAAGACGATACCGCACAATGGAAGCCGCATCACTGCGATTGCAAAAGGAAGCAAAGGGATATTTAGACTCGCTACGAGGTATGGAAGCACAGTGGCATATACGAGCAGGACCAATGCTGATACTCTGATAGCTATGACGAGATCCCAGATGGCGATTGCGGAGACGATCGACGCATTCTACGGCGATTCAGGCGCAAACGATGGAGTGAGCAGAAGTTACAAGCAAGCAGTGGCAGATTTAGACGCGGAGACGATCAAAGCTTTAGACGGACCATATCGGTATGCTCTCTCGTTCGTTCCGGAGATCCCGTGCTAACATAAATAGAACTACTGTTCTCGAGCCGATTTCCAGGTTCTGCGCCTACTTCCCCGACATCAACGAATGTATGCCTCCACCCAACACCCCGCACTGATCCCACCCCCCCCTCTAACACCCCCCAGGCATCAAGAAGCGCAACCACAAGCTCCTCGACTACGACGCGATGCGCGCCAAAGTCAAGAAGCTCGTCGAGAAGCCCGACAAAGACGCCTCGAAGCTCCCCCGCGCCGAAAAGGAAGCCGACATGGCCAAAGTCGCCTACGAGCAGCTCAACGAACAGCTCTTCACCGAGCTCCCCCAGCTCATCGACCTGCGCGTCCCCTACCTCGACCCCTCCTTCGAAGCCCTGGTCAAGATCCAGCTGCGCTTCTGCGCAGAGGCGTACTCGCGCATGGCGCAGGTACAGCAGTATCTTGATGCTGAGACGAGGGATCAGTATGCGGAGGGCCACTTGGATACGAGGGTTGAGCAGGTGTTGCAGGAGATTAGGGAGTTGAGTATTAGCGGGACTGTTTGAGCGGGTTGGGTGGGGGAGCGTGTATATGGATGGATGGGTTGGCGTTGGGGCGTGGGCGATGCTTTTATATACTTAAAATTGGACCTGGCGGAGAGCCGGTGTGGATGTAATCCCTGTTCGACTGACTTGTGGTTCGGGCCTCAGATATGGTGGTTTACTTATGTAACTGCTCCGGGGGTGAGAATCAATGAGATCTATTCTTTGGGTATCATCTTCGCTGTTGTCAACGTGACAGTACAGCAGCTATTCCTACATCCGCTCCCTCGCTATAATCATACAATGTGACAACATCCGCTCTCCATCCCACCAAGGTATCACAATCGTCCCCCCTCACTTCCTCTCCCCCTCAAGCAACCTCTCCAACTCCTCCAAAACCCCCCCCACACACCCCTCCAACGCCTCCCTCTCCCCCACCGTCATCTTCCTCAAAACATACTTCGCGACCTCCCCCCCCTCCCTCGCAACCGGCCTCCCAATCCCCACCCCAACCCTCGTATACCCCCCCCCCACCGCCTTCGCCAGACTCCTCAACCCATTATGTCCCTTCGTCCCCCTATCTCCCCCCCTGACACTCACAACCCCCAACGCGCTCTCAAGCTCATCATGCAGCACCACCAGCTCCGCGCCGGGGTACTCGCGCTGGAACGCTCGGAAGGCCGTTGCGACGGCGGGGCCGGAGACGTTCATCATGCTTGGGGAGTGCCAGAGGGTTATGGGGTGGGTGGGGGAGTGCGCGAGGAGTCCGTTGGCGTGGGGTCGTGATTTCACCAAGGGTGGGGTGGAGAGGGGGATGGTGAGCGCGCGCAGGACGGTGTGTCCTGCTGAGTGGAGGGTGTTGAGGTAGGGTGCTGGGTTGCCGATTGAGGCGACGAGGAGGCGGGTCGGGGGTGGCATTTTTAGAGGGATGGTTAGAGGCAGGGCTTGCGCATCTGGTGGTTGTATTTTGGCGGGGTTGGGTTGTGGTTGGGGTGGTTGTTTTTGTTTGCGTTGTTTGGGGGGGTGTTGTGGTTGTGAGATTGGAGATGGTGGTGGCGAGGCTGGGATGGCGGAAGGCATTTTTTTGGCTAGGCGGCGCGAGGCTGAGAGTTGGTGGTTTGGGGAATTTGGCCTGCTTGGCTCTGGGGGTCGACAACTCTAGATGTCTTTGGGATAATAGTTTTGTTTTTGGATAGTATGATAGTTCTTTGACGGATTGTTAGAAATATAAAATACTTCTACTGGTTTTGTAATTCTTCTCGAGGCGCAGCTGCACCTGCGCCCGCCGCCGTCTGAGTCACTGGAACAAGTTTCTATCCTGACCGGCTTTGTCATCAAGTATTCTCACATTTACGTTTACCAACCAGCACGGAAAGAACAACACGCAAACTTGAATGCAAACGTCTCTATTCACAAAAACCACTCCCACTTTCCTATGGCGTTCAATCCCGCATTAAAATAGTATAAGTGAACCATTCCTTAGCAATCGCAATGCCCCCAACTCCGTGCCAAACTCAAACACATATATACTACAATTCCCCATTTTCCACTTCCCCTCTAAGAAACCCTGACCTCGCTGTTCTTCCCTAGAGTACTCGGGCTCTCGAGCCCACTCTCCCTCTCCCGGCCTCCCTCATCATCGCTGATCAGTCCGTCGAGCTCAAACTCCTCCGCCTCGCGGATCTGTCTGCTATCCGATGGCCTGTGTCTGCGCACGCCCTCGACGTCCTTGGGAGGCACTGATGGGCCCGCGTTGACAGCGTAGATGTGTAGAAGTACGTTGACGAGGAGGAACATGAGGAAGGCGAAGGAGTAGAGCACCAGGATGTACGAGACGTGGTCGATGCCTGCGCCGGAGAGGAGAGCCATCTGTTCCTCGGTAGCGCTCATGAATGTGAAACCAGAGGCCATAAGTAGCTATCCACTAGTTAGCCAGACCATTCTACAGTTATATCAGAGGAAAGGGGTAGCTTACGAAAGGTGGAATATATTGGAACGACCTCGGCTCGCCGCTGTCCGTCGACGCCTTATCATTCAGCACGAACATAACCTCGACCATCCGCGTCACACCCGCCGCCATGAGCGTGTATCCAAACGCAACATGCACCATGGTGCTAAGCATGTTATGCTGCGGATGCGCGCTCATACCCCATCCCGTCAAGAAGAGGACGAAGCCCGGCACGAAGTTGCGCTTGGGGCTACCATCACGGCCTCTGGCGAGCCAGATGCCTGCCAGACCCGCTGCCCACCAGATGACGCCCATGACAGTGTGCTGGATGTCGTTTTCGACCCATGCGCCGCCCCAGCGGTGCTCGGTGAACGTGTTGACGCAACCCCATGCCGCAATGACGGCGCTGTCGAAGAACTCCTGGCTGCGGCCTGAGCGGCGTAGCCATGCCTGACCGACGAGCAGCATGATCATCATGATGATACCGTAAGCGATGAATGCGGACCCCATGATGAAGTGAGCAAGGCACTGTCCCAGGTGGTCGTCGCGGCAGAATCCGAGCGCTGCGATGCCGCCAAACAGCATCTGCGTCCAGCTAGCGACGGGGATGGCCTTGCCGAGGATGTTGTGCCCGAGGAGGACACCGGGGCGCACCTTGCCGTTGATGCCCTTGGTGAGGTGGAGGCGGAGGTAGGCGCCCATCACGACCTGGGCGACGAGCATGAGCATGAGCCAGTTTGCGAATTTGGCGTGCACGTTGGGTGCGAATTGGCGGCCTTTGTGGGCGTGGCCGAGGAAGTAGCCTACGATTGCTATGGCGGTTCCGAGGACTTGGACGGGGACATGCCAGCGGTTGCGGACGATCTATGGAGAGGTGGCGCGTCAGCTTCTATTCCGACCTCCAGGAAGGGGCATCGGCAGTGGGGGAAAGGGATAACTTACACCAAGCACCATCCCTACTGGGAAGATAATCCCAAAGGCAACCATCTGTATGATAATATGTATCCAAAGAATCGCATCCTACAATCCGTCAGCACCATCCAACCTTATCAACCCCCCTTCAGCTCCCACTATCTCCGCGAGAACCCCAGGATCAACTAACCAACGGCTCTGCGCTGACGGCACTCCCATCTGGTATCTCCGCCTCATCGTGCTCATGTGCCATCGCCATCGTTGCAGTTGCCGTGAGTATAGCGCTCACAAGAACGCGTCGATTCATCGACATCGCCATATCGTACAGATAGAGCGTCGTGGCTCGGGGCCGGGGTGTGTTTTAGGTGAGCCGCAAGTTCCACTGGGTGCGCCTTGGTTGGTCGAGGTTCGTGCTGAGGGCCGGCAGAAGGAAATATCGGATCGAGAGGTTCAGTTGGACATCGCACAGAGAACGAGTGTTGGATTAAATAGTCCGTTGGCTGGAGACTTTATAAAATTGGTTCTTGGAATTACTGGGCCTTCGAGACTCGTGGGCTCCGGATATGACGGGGTGATGAATTGCGGGCTGCTGATTGGCTAGATTCACGTGACGGAGCCGTATGCGTACGCAATCTAGATGCCATGCGGGACTGAACATATGCAGTTCTAACATATCTCACAGGTTGAGATAGAAGACAGTTGGGTATTAAAAGTATATTATAACCAGATACAACGAGCGCTGTAATGTCGTCCGGTACTACTACCACCTAAATCTACCATCGCGCTTAATCAATACAACAAACCCCCTATTAAACCTTCTGCTCAGCCCCAACCATGCTCGCAGCTGCGCTCATGGACGCGCTCCCCTTAGAGCTACCAGCCTCAATATCCTGGATAACCACATCCGAAGTCTCGCGCCTCAGCTCAACATAATCATACGCGAACTCGCCCAACTGCGCATCATCCATGCCGTTGTTCTCATCCTCCTCGGACGCGCGCAGCGACAGCCCTGGGACAAGGTTCATCAGGAACAGAATGAGGCACGTGCCGCCGAAGGAGTAGGTGAAGCCTGCTACGGAATCGGCGAGCTGGTAGGCCAGCTGGATGTAGTGTTTGTTGAGCCAGCCACCGGGGATGACGGTAGCGCCATCGAGAGCTGCTATGTAATCACTGTTGGGTGTTAGTTGGGGCCTCAGTGTTCTCGTATGGGGGGAAGGACTTACGCAGCGAAGAGGCCGGTGAGAAGGTTTCCGACGAAGCCGCCGACGCCGTGGACAGCGAAGATGTCGAGCGCGTCGTCGACGTGGAGGAGGTACTTGATCTTCGTGGCAAAGTTGCAAGCGACGGCGCCGACAACGCCGAAGATGATGGCGGACCAGGCGGGGACGAATCCAGCAGCCGGAGTGATGGCGACGAGGCCAGCAATGGCACCGGAGCAGAATCCGACAGTGGACCACTTGCGGTCGAGCCTGTAATCCATGAGAGTCCATGCAACGCCACCAGTTGCAGCTGCGGTGTGTGTGACGAAGCATGCCATGACAGCGCGGATGTTGGAAGCAAGAGCTGAACCACCGTTGAATCCGAACCAGCCAACCCACAGGAAGACCGTGCCGAGGACGACGTGAGTAACGTTATGAGGACGGTATGGGAGTCCGGCAGTCGCGCTGTATCCAGAGCGCTTGCCGAGCATCACGGAGTAGGCGAGGGCAGCAGCGCCAGAGGAGATGTGGACGGGAGTTCCGCCGGCGAAATCGAGACCGCCCATGAGGAAGGACCAGCCTTTGGGGTTCCATGTCCAGCAGGCGATGGGGTCGTAGATTATAGTCGACCAGATGAAGATGAACACCAAACATGGCAGCATACGCCCTCGGTCGGCAGCAGCGCCGATGGCAAGTGCTGGACTATGCATTTTGTCAGCTTCACGTCCCATTTCCGCCATCCAGACCACCGGAAGAAACTCACGTAATAGCGGCAAACATGCCCTGATACACCGCAAACAAGATCTCTGGGATCTTCGGGCTGCCCGGCGACGGCGCAGCCAGCACATTGCGGAACCCGATATGGCTCAGGTTACCGATATAACTGCTGCCCGAACCGAAGGCGAGCGAGTAGCCCCAGAAGAACCACTGGAATCCTACGACTCCAACAGACATCATGGAAAGCCAGATTAAGGAGAGCGCAGACTTGCGGCGCGCGAGGCCGGAGTAGAAGAAGCCGACTCCGGGAATCATAAGGAGCACCAGCGCTGTGGATGTGGTGATCCAGGCAATGTCGCCGGACTGTGGGTGGTTAGAGGTGCGCTGCCAGGGGAGAGGAGGGTTGGATGCTCGCATACCTCATAGTACTGGTTGAGGTTAACCGTTAGGGAATCACCTCCGTCCGCAGCAGTGCCATCGTAGGGCTTGGCGTAGAGTGAGGACGCCATCGCGCGTGTTCTGAACTGAGGGTTGGCTCGATATATCACGAAGAAGGCTCGTCAGCAGCGAAGCAGAGCAGTTGCGTTGATATTATCCCCTTTCACAGGTAGGTCTTGAGCCGCGTTGTTTTGTCGTTGTCAATGAGTTCGGGATCGAGAAATGTGAGATTACAGGGTGTATCCTACCCTTATGTACTCTCTCCCACGAGGTGAGATAGTTCTTACCTCCCCTGCCGCCTTACCGTAAATCTCCAATCCTCCCTCCCTAACCCCCAAATTTGATATCAGCTTCGACCCACGCGAGACGTGACTGGGAGCGCCGTGAATAGGAGTGCGTATCCGCCCAATCATGATGGACCCAGAGCCGGGAATAGACGGACAGGCTTGAACTCCCGCGCCGCACAGCTTACAGGGAGGATCACAGTATGATACTGTGCACCCATCATACTGATCTCCCATATCGAGCCACAGAGCAGGGGGGCGACAAACAAGAGATAAGCTAAGCCACCAGATAGCAGGGGGGAGTGGATTGAGTAATGGAAAGCATCGACTATCTATGACCAGGATCCACCTCCACACTGGGGTTAGAGGAGCTAAAGAGCTTCAAACCCCGGTAAACCATGCGTATAATTTGTTGATAGATGAAGAATGCGCATTTTGAGAAGTGGAACTGGGTATACTGGGCATATTACCCTTCCTCCCAGTCACCGCCAGTCTCACTTCAACGACATCCTCATATGTATGTACAGTACAGTACTGAATCCGTGTCAAACATCAACACAATCGTACAACATCCACGTGGAAGCCTCTCAAACCCCAAATTTCTCTATGATATCAAACCCCATCCCTCCAGCCAATTACCCACCCCCATCGCCCATCCATATCAACCCTATCACCCCGACCCATTCTCGTGTGCCTCCCAACTGATAACGGAACCACCCCAAGTGGCCCGTGCGAGAGATAAGCATGATGCGGCTTGGCGCTAATGCCGGCGCCAAGCGACAGGGGTCACCACCCACCACCACATGGGTGTGATGTGATAAATGGGGAGTAGCTACAGTACGAAGAAGATAAAGAACTTTCTTTTTGCAGCTGTACGTACAGTATTCCATGGCGCGGGTTTCGGATACTGACGCTGGTGCCCGGCGATCTTGGTGCGAGTATGCGCCGCAACCACGTTTCGTGGCACGGAATTCGCATGACAGATCACCCCACGCCGATTCCTCGCCGATGCGGTGGTGGCGTGGGCTTCGCTTCCCCACGTCAGCTGCGTGGGTTGAGACTAGGACTCGTGTTTTTGGAATTGTACCTGCTTCGAGCTGAAGGCTGGGGGTTCGCGCGCATGAGATCCGCGGGAGCGCCCATGTCTCGCGTTCGGCTGGGATCGGAACCTGACAGCCTCCACGGCGATTCCTTCAATCTCGCTAGGGCTCTCTCCTGATTCGACCTCTCGTATACTCTACTGTCCATATATCTCTCATTGCATAAACATCGCCCTCACTCCTTCGCCAAAAACGCCTCCACAACGCCTCTCTTCCTCGCCTCACTCGCCCTCCTCTCCTTCTCCCCCACGTCCTCTGGACCCCTAATCATCACCGGCGCCCACACTTCCGCAATACGCCTCTCAATCGCCCTCCTCGCCGCCAGCGACGGGTCATCCGTTAATGTCGTGCGTCGGGCACGCCCATATCCCATCGACTGCCTGAAATCGAAGCGGCTGGGCTTCGCCTCCGTGACCGGGGAGCTAGGCGGGGGCGCACGCATCGAGACGACCTTGCCGAGGCGAACGACGAGGTGAACGAGGGCGATGCTGTGTGGCGGCGAATCAGCGAGGGGGACCATAGTCAGAATCCGAGTTTCATCAGGGGTAGGGGCGCGCTTGCGTGCCGCCAGGTCGTCATCGATAGTTTTCCAGAAGGCGGCTGGGATGATGCCATCCGTAAGGCTTGCCACGAAGAGCTGCAGGACCTCAGCAGTGGTTTCGAGCTTCTCGACTTCGCGAATGCCAGGGGGAAAGGAGGCGTTTAGGGGAGTGTTGGTGTCGAGGGCTTCGAGGAGGTTGGCGCGGGTTTGGGAGCGGCTGTGCGAGGTGGTGGTGGGTTCGAATGGCCAGGCGTCTGGGACGGGGGTTTCGGAGGCGCCGGTCATTTCGCGCTCGGCGATGGCGCGCTCGAGGAGGGGCTCGAAGGTGTCGGTGAGTTTTGTGAGTTCTCTTGGTACGGCCTCGGTGAGAGTACTTGAATCTACTGTCGAGAGCGTATTTTGTTCTGCGGTATCTTTATGCCCTGGCGTACGAAGAGCGCGTGCCCCGCCCCCTTCGGGTATGCGGATCAGCTCGTCGATTGTGCGACCGAAGCACGATTGTAGCCAGGTGCCTCTGACGGGAATGAAGTAGTCCCTCCCATCCGTGACGCGTAGTATGAGCACCTCATCCAGCTGTAGCTCACCCATATTCAAAGCCCTGACCTGTGCGAAATCCTGCACATAGATCTCCAGCGTGACCATAATAGTGTCTCCAGGCTCAAGCGTAACCTCCGATTCGAGCCTCTTAACCGCGCCATCATCATCATAAGAGTCGAAAGCAGGCCTCAACCAGCTCGGCGCTACTTGATCTGGCTGACCTGGTCTAGATGGTTTGCTTATAAACGCGAACGTGGCCGGGACCTGCCCTGTATTTGCGATCGTCAAGGACCGTTCTTTGCTGTATAGATACTTGACATCTCCAAAATTAACACCGTCGGCGGCATCTGCTGTTGTCTGGGAACCTGGCGCCTCGTCTATGAAATCAGAATGCTCCACTAGAATTGTCACGCCAGGCCTATGCTCGTTCTCTGCCCTGTCTAGCTCTCTGGCTACCTCCTGGTGAACTCTTGATTTCAGCTCTGGGACCACAGCATCGTAGCTTATGGTAAACACAGCATCTAGAGGCTTGTGGTCTGAAGAAGTAACCCTCTGGTGTGACGTATAAATTTCAAGGTTCAGCTTGTCGGCGTGTTCGTCCTTCACAGTAACATCCTCCCCATTGTCCTCTCCTTCATCGTATTCGTCGTAATCACCGTATGTATCGACTCCATCGCTAGCGGGGTCATAATCAAAGATTACTTCTTCATCCTGTGCGGCTTGTTCAATACCACGAGACTTCATTTCCTCGTCCTTCACCCGCGCAGCCTCTTCATCCCGTACTCTCCCATCATATTCAGACTTATCGCGACGTGTTCGGAACAGAATTCGATCGCACCAGCTGGGCGGTCGCATCTTCTCGCCGGAATCGAAGACGCCAAAGGTGCCCACGTCGTATTTGTAAGTTGGGATAAATGTGATTGGCCCTTCCCGCCAGCCGTCATGGAAGGCCTTCTTTTGCCGCTGAACTCTTCGCAGTTGGTCGTGGGGTAGTAGAGAGTCTAACGTGGCTTGTAGAGAGGTAGGATCTGAATGGGGGTCCTGCAAGAAGTCATCCGGGTCTGGAAGATCCATCGAAGAGGACCTGCTGCTCGTATTTGGGTTTTCGGCCTGTAGGTCTATGGGCTCGTCATCGTCGCTCTCGACGTGTCGTATCAATATCGGTTCCTCCGACTTCGCTATTTCACTTTCGAGATAATTCCTCGAGCTTGATCCAGGCGCGTATTCGCCTCTCGCGTGAAGCATGAGCAATCGCCGGATGTCATCGCCTGGCAACCCGTCCAGCCTGAAGTTCAGATCTCCGAACCAAAACGCGAAGTCCTCGTCTCCAATAACCTCCTGGATGTCGCTAGTCTCTCCAGCTACACTGACAGGATCAAATTTGGTGCGAGTCGTAATCTGATTGTAGTCCCAGCATCTCCGTTCATAGTGTGCCTTCTCTGTGCCCGATGCCAGATGAGAGTTTATAAATGCCAGTCGCGTCGTCTCTCCCAACACTATCCTGGTGCAGACCGCGCCTTTATTGCCTAGATACCCCATTATGCCTGTGCCAACACTGACAGAAGACACCGAGGTAACCGTAGGCGCGATAGCTGGGGAAGCATAAATGAGAAGTAGTAGCCCCGACATCTGCGTGTCGGCGATAAGCTCATATCCATCGGGAACTGCCTCTTCCAGTGCTCGCTTCCACTTATTCAGTGGTTCGGGGTCGACATAGACACGGCCTATATATTCCTTCGCAGATGCCAGCGTGACAATCTCCTGTAGCCCCAGCACATAGAGACCTACATGCTCCCCACCAAGCACGATTCCCTCCTCGCCAAGCGGCGTTTCTGGTATGCTCTTCGGATCTCCAGTATCGCCTTTAGATTGTACTTTAACATTTTTTCCGTCCGGGTCTGATATCTTGAGCCCCGCGAGCTTCGTATCAACCCCCTTCCCATCCACAAACCAGCTCCTGATATCGTTATGAACTCCCGGACAGGCGGCAACATTCCAAGTCCCGACCTTGATTTTCATCGAATGCGACCGTGTATATTCCGCACGACGCTCGTAGACAGCTCGCGACAAGGAGTGCGGCGTGGACTCGAGCTCCTCGGCGTCCGGGTCCAGTTCGGAGACCTCGACGAAACTCGACGACTCGCGGCTTATCGACGGGGACAACATCGTGTGCGGTTTCCCTATCAGCTAGGCGATGCAGTGTAGTATGCGGATGAATTATATAGTGAGCTCAAACAAACCGTCCCGAGAATATCAGAATACCGAATCCCAAAAGCTCCCAACCAGCGGCCGCATCAATTATGTGCCGCGCGCGTTCCTGGACTCGAGACCGGTAATGACGTAGCGTGGCATTGATCAAGGCGCAGCTGGGTTGATCCACAGCATCTGAAAAGCACTCCTTTTTTCGCGTTGACAGCGAAACTTATGGGGCGTCAGAGGGAGATCATTCAGCTTCCGATAATGAAGCTCACTGAGTGGTCGAGGCCGCTTCGAGTTGTGGGCAGCCTGGCGGGGTTGTGGCATCCCGCGCTCCCGTACGTTACCCCACGAATCTGGTGGTTAGCGCAAGGCTGAGGCACGTGAATCTATGGATGGACTGCGCGCGCGACTTGCATGAGCTCCGTCGCAACGTACCTACAACACAATATTGAATAATCAACAGCACGATCTACGAATACCCTAAAGGCTAAGCTACATTGTCGAGAGCGATATAAGACAAACATACTAGCAACCTCCAAAACACCCCAACCGGCACCGCAAAAACCCTCAACGCGCACTACCCTCGCAGCCTCACGAACTCACCCCCAACCTCCCACTCACCACCAACAACCAATTCACTTCCAAACACACACCCACCATGCCCGCGCCCAACCGCCCCAAACAGCACGCACGCCGTCAAAACCCCCCCAACCCCCACCAAGCATCCGACAACGACTCCGACATGCCCCCCCACCTCCCCCCTCCCACGCGCACCAACACCGACCTCAACCTCTCCGTCCTACGCCGCTACTTCCCCAGCACGCGCACCATCCTCTCCATCGCCGCCAACGCAGTCGTCTACACCTTCTCCGCCTCAACCGGGCAATGGGAGAAGAGCGGGATCGAGGGTGCGCTGTTTGTGTGCGAGACGGAGGAGGGGTTTGTGGTTGTGGTGCTGAATAGACATGGGTTGGAGAATTTGGTGTTGGATGTTAGGGAGGTGAGGGATGTGGAGGTTACGAGTGAGTTTTTGATTTTGAGGGTGCCGGGGGAGGGGGAGGGGGAGAAGGTCATGGGGTTGTGGATTCATGGGGATAGGGATGATACGAGGGAGAAGAATGCGGGGACGATTTTGCAGTGTTGGGAGAAGGTTAGGGGGGTGGGTGTGGAGTGAGAGGGGGTGGTGGGAAGGATATGTAAAGTAGGCGCAGAAAATGAGGCTGCTCTCGTGCTGGCGGCCGTCTCTCGGGATGCACGGCGGACCATCCGCAGCCACGGGGTGTGTTGGGATGGGGTATGAAACTTTTGGGCGACGACACGCCGTCCTCGATGGAAAAGAAGTATTTCGCGAATTTGTGCGCCACGGAATACGTCAGACTTCGAGGTTGAATCGAGTTATCCAAGGACGGAGCCAAGCCATATCTCGAACAACTGCATACACAACAATAATACGGCATGGCGAAGAATAAGACACAACACACCGGAGATCTGGAAGTAGGCACATACAAATCTACAAATTTCCGCATCCATAATAGAATGCATACCTATAAAAAACGTAACCGCTAACCTGAGCCTATCTATCACATCATATTTTCATCCCTCATCTCCCACTCTACTCCTTCTTAATAAGCTTATCAAAGAACGGTCCCACAACCGTAGCACTCTTCTTAGGGAACCTCTTCTGTCCACCCTCATAATCCACAAACGTAACACCGAACCTCGTCTCGTACCCCTCAGCCCACTCAAAGTTATCCATCAAACTCCACGCCATGTACGCGCGCACATCCACTCCATCCTCCTCAACCGCCTGCGCCATCGCCGCGATATAGCTGCGGAAATACTCAGCGCGGAACTCGTCATCGAGGATGCCCTCAATCGGCAGGTCATTCTCCCCCTTAAGCGACGTCCCGTTCTCGGTGACGTAGATCTTAGGGTTACCATAACGCTTGCTCAACCACACGAGCAGGTTGCGGAATCCCGGCGGGTTAGGACGAAGCCAGAACGACTGTGTCTCCGGGCCGATATTCTCGCCATTCTTGGACTCGAAGAGCGTCTCGAGGTTGCCGAGGAAGTCGTCGTCAGCGGCGGGGGTGCTCTTGTGCTTGATGTAGTTGGCGGTGTAGTGGTTCATGCCGTAGAAGTCGTTTGAACCCTTGACGAGGGCGGCTTCCTCGGGGGTGAAGGTGGGGAGGCGGTCGCCGAGCTGCTTGACCATCGACTCGGGGTAGGTGCCGAAGTAGATGGGGTCCGCGAACCAGGAGATGGAGAACTCGATCTTGCGGTCGCAGGCCTCGACGTCTTCTGGGTCCTCGGGGTCCCATGGGTAGACGGCGTCACCTGGGTGGGTGGATTAGCTTGGTTGGCAGATGGGGGGCTGGAAAGGGGGAGCTTACCATTGAGAGTGATACCGATCTCGCCGCCGTTAGTGGGCTTAAACTCCTCACGGTAGATCTTGACCGAGTGCGCGTGCGCAATCAGGATGTTGTGTCCGACAGTCCATCCCTCCCTGCTCGAGTCGCCCTCAGCGCTCTTGGTGCGGTCGCTAGTGCGTCCAGGGGCGAACAGACCGGTGCTGTATCCGAGGATGCTGGAGCACCACGGCTCGTTGAAGGTGATCCAGTGCTTGCACTTGGGCATAGCCTTGAAGAGGACGCGGGAGTAGTTGGCGAAGTCGGCGACGAACTCCTCCTTGTTCAGCATGCCGAGGTAGCGCTTGTGAAGCTCATCGGGGAGATCCCAGTGGAAAAGAGTGATCATGGGGATGATGCCGGCATCGAGGAGGTCGTCGACGAGCTTGACGTAGTAGTCCAAACCCTTTTGGTTGATGGGGTCGTTGCGGCCACCGAGTGGGATCACGCGCGACCAGGAGACGGAAAAGCGGTAGGCCTTTGCGCCGGTCTTCTTCAGGAGCTCAATGTCCTCCGCAATGCGGTTGTAGGAGTCGCAGGCGACATCACCGGAGCAGCCGCCGGCGATCTTTCCAGGGATCTTGCAGAAGGAGTCCCAGATAGAAGGGCCACGGCCATCAGTGTCTGGAGCACCCTCAATTTGGTAGCTAGGCGATTAATTAGTATCAATGGAAAATGGCTATGCTACTAAGCTGGACAGGAGCAGTGACTGGAAACGTACGATGCAGTAGCAAAGCCCCAAATGAAATCCTTGGGCAGAACGGCCTTGGTGGGGTCTGGGGTCACCATGGCGAAGTGAATGGGGGATTAATTCTCTTGGTTCGGTAGGTTCTCTGTATGAATCGCGGATACAAGCAGCGATCACAGTAATAGATAAGTTTGAGAGGGAAGAAACTGCGTGAACCCCGCACCAAGCTGGGCAAGGGAATCGCTCTGTTATATACAAATAGCCAAGGGTCAGCACGGAGGAAGGAAAGCTAGGCCGTGTCAGGTACCAGGGAGGAGTCTCATAGTAATTGAGCCGCCATCGCCGGTGTTTTGGGCGTTGCCAATGCCTCAACTCTATCACTCGGACCGTCACGACCGAAAAATGAGGGGCACGATGATGGCGGGGTAACTCCGGGGGATCAACTCTTCCGGCGCTGCGGCCCTGAACCCCGCTCTGTTGGCGACTGGACGGGCCACATAGGCGATCTCTCACTTTTTTTCCCTCGCGCTGTATGGTACTATACATTCATTATGTTGGCTTTTCTGGAATCGTTGGGATGACGTCTGATATTGACAATAAATCGGAGGCTGTTCAACTCCGCTGCGCAGCATGTAGATACTATATTTTCATATTATGCTGTGGAGTCCAGAATACCAACATAACGTCTAGAAGTGGAGATGGCTTCGAGTACCTGCCTGAAAACCCACCATTTCTCATCCGTGGTAATATAGCCTGTACTTTGTATATTCTACATTGGAGCGTTACGAGCGTATATTATTAGTAGTATGCGTTGGCGACACACAGGATGGAACCGTTCTGCTTCTTCCAACCAAACACACACACCTTCCTGATGTTGCCCGCTTCCCAAATAGATAATCCGGGAGCCTTACGGATATACTCTCTTTTCCCCAAACTTCACGTCCCGAGTCACCCCCGAAGATTCCCCGAACATTAAGCTGCCCCATCGGACGGCCACTATACACATCCCAACGAAGTGGAAATCCCATCTATTCGACTATAATTCTCCATCTGCCCGCTCCCCCATCACCTGTCACCAAACGCCATCCCATAACACACTACAGCACAGCCATGGACCCCACGCCCGCCCCCGGCTAAACGCACCGCACCACAACGCAACACCAGCGCCCTGCCCACCTCCCCAAGACCCCCAAGACAGGACGTGCGGAAACGCGGCTATCGCAGATCACCAGTCCCCATCAGCCCTCACGATGCCCCATATCCGCATGATCATCCTCTAGTTTCCGCTTCCCGCCCGCGGCCACCTCCCCCGCGCTGGAATCGGCCTCCGCCTCCTCTCCGCCCTCCGTCCACTCTACTACCTCCCACTCAACCCTCCTCCCATCCTTCTCCTCGAGCCCCCGCCGGACCTTCACCCGACCCAACGCACTCCCCTCGATCATCGCCTCGAACCATGGGAGGCCTTCGCCTACTCGCGGCGCTGCACGAGTTGCCACGGGCTCCTCGGACGGTACGCTCAGTCGCTTCTCTGCCTCCTCTTGTGGCAGTAGACCGAGTTCGCCTAGGTCGTGGAGGTCACCTCCGTCCAGCGACCCGAGGGCGAGACTGATATATTCTCCCTCTCCCTTGGGCGCCTCGCTCCACATCGCGAGGTGTGAGCCGCAGAAGCCGCAGAAGTGGCGGAGTGAGTTAGAAGAGGGCGCGTAGGCGCGGCGGATAGCGGGGTGCGTTTCGTCAGGGAAGAAGGCGTGGGTTGTGGAGTGGTACCAGGCGAGGGGTACTCTTAGGTGGGCTGCGAGGGGAGAGGTGCCTAGATGGTTCGAGGTTAGCGGGTGCTTGGGATGGTTTGCGAGATGGGGGTTTGATGGAGAGAATGGACTAATTTGGAGGGTTAGGGAAAGAAGCTTACGGAAGGAATTGTTGCCATCGAAAATCACTTGGGCCGTGTCGGAGGCCTTGGGGGGCATCTCGATGATGAAGGTGTTACGGCCGCAGCTGCAGCCGCCATGGAGCGACCTCTCGAGACTCATGGTGAGAGTTGTGGACTGAAGCGACAGTGCTGATGATTATGAGTTTGTCGAGGAGGTATACTAATAAGATATATGGCGCCTTTGCGCCGAGATATCGCAGTAAGAGTCTGACAGCGGAAAAGAGTTGGAGAAAGCCTGTTAAGAAGCCCGGGAGGCCAGAATGAGACCGCTCATGGAAAGTGTCGATTGCCCCTCCGTCATTGGTCTGTGCACGTCACCCCGCGTTGTTGCACATTACACCACGCATTACACGCAGTTTGTATGGTAAAGTATGAGTATGGAGATTTTGTTTGCTGCGTACAACTTCATGATTTGATAACTAATAAACCAATAGTCCAATACTACAAGTATATACTGCGAGGATTATCATCTTCCACATAAAATTTCTTGTGCAATTACGCTAAGTTATGCTCAGTCATGGTAATTAGGAACTAAGTACTGCCGATACCCGAATACGGAGAATATGAGAAGAACCCGCGGGAAGGGTGTCACGTGTGTCACGTGCTGAAGGGTGAGAAGACCAACCAATGGACCCTCGGCTTTCTCGCTTTATTCCCCAGACCCCCGCCACATCGAATCCACAACCAATCAAAGTTTCGTGATTATACAACTTTCTCTCTGAAATCCAGACAGTTGCCGATGTCCGCCCTGGGCATATTTTGTCAACTTTGTGGATAATACTCATAAAACACACGACCTCCTGTGCCGCACCCCCCTCCTAGCCCTGACACTCCGATTTCGACTCAACACCCTCCCCCCCGCAATACCTCTCCTCTACAAAACTTCTCCTCTTTCCCAACCATAAAGTCAATTCTGGCTGCTCAATTCCAAACTTGACAAACTCAAAAACAAACTCGCAAACCCCCACCTCCAACCGCCACTATGGACACCGTTCTTCGGCAATCCAAGACCATGTGTCCCTTCTTGAAGAAGACGTCTCCAGCGACTCTCCGCTCCCTCTCTGCCACCAGCGGCCCAACTCGCAGCTACCATGCGTCCCCAGGTGGCGGCTCCATGTCCAACCTGCAGACCATTGCTCGCCGCTGCCCTGTCATGGGATCAGCTATGGCCGTCCAGAGCGCGAAGACCGGCGGTAACGTCGCTTTTGGCGCCATTGCAGCCCTCAAGGGCATCCGCGGCTTCTCCGGAAAGGCCAGCACTGGCAAGGCCAAACTTCATACGAGCAGCGCTCATGAAGCCAGGCCAATGGAGGGCATCCTGATGGGTGAAAAGCGTGAGTCAACTACCAGGCACATATTTCTATAACGGTTACTGACATACCCCAGTCCCCCAGATCAAGCCAGCCAAGCCATTCAAGGAGGCTGCCACCGTACCAGAGAATCTGGTGAAGAAGGATGGCAAGTTCGACTACGATGCCTTCTACACGAACGAACTCGAGAAGAAGCACAAGGACAAATCTTACCGCCATTTCAACAACATCAACCGACTAGCCAAGGAGTTCCCGCGTGCGCACACCGCAAACCCAGAGGAGCGCGTCACGGTCTGGTGCTCCAACGATTACCTAGGCATGGGCAGAAATTCGAATGTTCTTAAGGCAATGCACGAGACCCTTGACGTATACGGTGCCGGTGCCGGCGGAACACGGAATATCTCAGGTCATAACCAGCATGCCGTGGCGCTCGAGAAGACCTTGGCGACGTTGCATGCGAAGGAGGCAGCGCTGGCATTCACTTCGTGCTATGTTGCCAACGACGCAACCATGGCCACGTTGGGCAGTCGCCTGCCAGGCTGTGTCTGGCTCTCCGACAGCTTGAACCACAACTCCATGATCGTGGGTATCCAGCACTCTGGCGCGAAGAAGATGGTGTTCAAGCACAATGATCTCGCGGACCTTGAGGCTAAGCTTGCATCCCTCCCACTCTCTACCCCCAAGATCATCGCTTTCGAGTCTGTCTACAGCATGTGCGGCTCCGTCGCTCCGATCGCGGAGATCTGCGACTTGGCCGACAAGTACGGCGCCATCACCTTCCTCGATGAGGTCCACGCAGTGGGTATGTACGGACCACACGGTGCTGGCGTGGCAGAGCACCTCGATTATGAGGCTCACGTGAACGGTCGCCCCAGCGGCACCATCATGGACCGTATCGACATCATCACCGGCACCCTCGGCAAGGCCTACGGCTGCGTAGGTGGTTACATCGCCGGTTCAGCCTCCATGGTCGACGCCGTGCGCTCCCTCGCCGCCGGTTTCATCTTCACCACCACCCTCCCCCCGGCCACGATGGCAGGCGCACGCGCTGCCATTGAGTACCAGATGTCCACCCAAAGCGACCGTCGCCTCCAGCAGCTGCACACTCGCGCCGTGAAGGACGAGCTCGCGGCTCGCAGCATCCCTGTCATGGACAACCCATCCCACATCATCCCCGTGCTCGTCGGTACCGCCGAGCTAGCGAAGGCCGCAAGCGACTTGTTGCTCGAGAAGCACGGAATCTACGTGCAGAGCATTAACTACCCCACCGTCCCTGTTGGACAGGAGAGACTCCGCATTACGCCCACCCCAGGTCACACGAAGGAGTACCGTGAGCACCTTGTCGGCGCGCTCGAGAGCGTGTGGACCGAGCTCGGCATTAAGCGCACCAGTGACTGGGCTGCCGAAGGCGGCTTCCTGGGCGTCGGAGCCGATGAGGCACCCGTCGAGCCGCTTTGGTCCGATAAGCAGCTAGGAGTTGAGGCTGCCAAGGGGACCAACGGGAAAGTGGGGGTCATCCAGGCTCTGCTTGAACGCGAGGAGGCCCAGGCACAGACCGCGTCTGTCTAGCCGTCTATCGCTATCTACTCACCGAAGTAGCAGGCAGCGTTACGGCTGCGAGTCTGGGGGCTCAGCGGACCCGAAACCACGATCTTTTTGAGCTGGGTGGGGAGTGGAGATGAGAGCATATCCTGATTATATATGCCCGATATTATTTTGATTAGTGATGGGGATAGTGAGACGGCGGTTGGATTGAATGCCAGCTCCCAATTTCGATTCTTGCACATGCCATCTAACGCTTTAATGTGACGTAAATTGTGCTCTTGTTAGTAATACTCCAGTGCATGAATTATCGTGATGTGTGGAGATCCCCTACGAACCCCTTTCTATAGGTCCCGACAAAAAAATCCCGTTCCTGCGATCTTAGACATGTCTATCTCCCCTGTTCCCGGAAGCACTCGCATCCTCGCGCATCTTCATCCCATCTCTGCAACTCTGTAGCTCTGTCCGGATCATGCCGACTCTGCATCCCGGATTCTGAGACGCGGATCCACGCGCCACTGTCGCATGGACCAGTAGTTTGGGATTCCGCCAGCCATGCATCCCCCAATTTTGAAACACCGCGCAACCCGGAGGTCGTTCGAGGGCTGAACGGGGGGCATGGAAAAGGTCGCCTACTACATCCCGGCATTATCGTCGTCTGCGATCCGAGCGTTGTTGGATCTGAGACTTTTGATTGCGCTGTGTTGTCGTCACACCTGCGACTCTGCCAACAGTGACACGGTCCCGGCGCCGCGAGTTGCCTAGATCGGTGACGGAACGACGGTATCACTTTTATGGGAGGCTCGATATGGGAATTTTCACATTGGTGGATTGACATATCGTGCGTGTCGGGTTTGAGGAAAGCTTTACCTTGGGCGAAATGTAAGGAGGTGTGGTCACCGGCTCAGTTCCAAGTTGTATATAGGCTCTCCCTTGCTCGTCTCACTATCAATTGAAGTCCATTTCCTCCTCCCCAGAACCAAGTCCTAAAACTCCAAATCCATTCACCCACCAAATTACCATTTCCAGCCCAGCTTCTCAGATATTAAAAAATCTGAGTTTTTGCGCTGAACTCGATGCCACCTCCCTACGGCACCAGTACCCAAGCGCGCCCCTTTCCGGCCTCGCCAAGTCTGCCGATCGCCAACTCAGCACCTCCGAAAACCAACGTCAACCGAACACCTTCAAAACCACCACCACGACACCACCCACGCCGCAACCCCCTCCAAACGCACTCCTCTCGCTATTCCCCCACCCGCCTCCTCACAAACCACCCCTCGCAACGGCATCACTGGCCCCTTCCCACCCCGGCCCCCCACCCCGCGCGCCCGCCGGACCATCCTCGAGTCCGCCGCCCATCCCAGCCGTGGACGAACCGGCGCCTCCTCCCGCCTCGTGGCCCATCTCCCACTCCTCCTCCTCCCCGACCTCCCCCTCCAATCCAATAACAACCGCAAACCCACGCCTCCCCGCGCCCTCCTCCCAGCCGCCCTACCCGACTCCCCCCGCCGCCGCGCGCCGTCGCTGGTCCCTCCGCAACGCATTCGCGCCTGCGCCCCTGCCGCAGCTACCGGATCCGCGCACGCAGCGGCTGAGGCTCGAAGCGCAGCGGGCTACGCGGCTGTGGAATCCGAGTAATAGCACGCCGCGCACGCGTCGGCCGACGACTACGACTACAGCGGTGCAAAGAGGAGCGCGCGCGAGAGCGGCGTCAGGAGGGAGTGTTGCGCAGCCAGCGATTCCGCTGCGGCATCCACAGCTGACGAAGGGAGAGATTGAAGGAGAGATTCAGGGGGCGGGGGATATTGAGTTTATTGGCGGCAAGGACAAGGGTGGTGCTGGGGATTATCCGCTGCTGAGTTTGAGGGAGCAGAGGTTTAGTCGGAATTCGAGCGGGCGTGCGAGTTTGCAGGTTGAGTATAGCGCGGCTAGCTCAGGGACGCAGAGTAACCGCGTTAGTCTGCCGAGGAGCGTGACGTCGATTGATATCCGGCGGAGTTTTAGCCTTGTGGCTGAAGATTTTACGGCAGGTGCTACTGTAGAGCACTACGACGATAAGGGAAAGGGAAAAGATATCGAAGGAAACAGTCGAGCATCTACTGAGCGGCGATTAACGGGCTACCGCAAACGAGGACAGTCAATTGCTTCGTTGCATCCACCCGTCGAGCTATCACCGACGTTTAAACAGGACATCGGACCACCTCTCACACACACCACAAGAAACTACACAACAATGGCCGACCTCGAAAGCGGACCACCTCTCACCCAATCCCAAAACCCCTACCACGACCACGACACCACCGACAACCTCGCGTCCTTAACTTCAACACACACCTCCATCCACGGCTCCGACCGCCCCATCACCCCCGGCGCCGACGACGCCTGGGGTCCCGCGCACCCATGCTTCCCGCATCTAAACCCCTACGTCCCCGCCGACTCCGTCGCCTACGCAAACACGCGCATCATCCGCATCCCACGGGACTGGATGATCGCCGGCGACCTGGCACCGACATTCAGCGCCACCTACCCCGAGCTACTCGGCGAAGCTGGGCTGGGGGAAGCGGAGTTCCGTCGCTGCGTGGAGTCGATCAATGCGCGGCTCATTGAGGCGTTCAATCCGTTTGGTGTGAGGAATCTGGTGGATGCGGTGATGGGGCTTTGTACGGGGTGGTTTTGGGATGATGCGGGGTTGACCTATACGAAGAGGTGTTTGGCGGCGGTGGAAAAGGCGATTGAGGGGTTTAATAGGGAGTTGGACATGGGGAGCTCGCAAGCGAGGTTTATTTCCCTGAAGAAGAGCGCGTATATGAGCGTAAGTTAACTTTCCCCCCTCCCAAGTCCTGTCATGTGATTCTAGGTCGGTGGCTGACAGGTCTGTAGCTTGATGTCCAGATCCCGACACCTCAGATCGGGTTCATCGAGTCAGAGATGGGCGAGGATGACGATGGAGTCTCAGATGCAGGTACGGAGCGACCAATTGGTGAGAGAGCAGAGACCCGAGAAGGCGAGGTGCTGTAGTAGTTGCCTGGTGGAAGAGAAACCAAAAGTGGCAGCTGTGGACAGTTTACTGGATATACCCCCCATTTCCTTTAACACAACTCCGGATGGGCATTCGCATATTCGGAATTCTCCTTATTCTTTTTTGTTTGTTGTTTCCCTGCCAGCGCGGCGTCTGGGTTTCGGGGATATTACTCTACCAGGAGGCCGCGTTTTGAGACTGTGGCTTTCTGTGGGATTGGATGGGGATGGATTGGTTATGTGGGTTTAGAGAAGCGGTTTTTTTTTCGCTTTGTAATGAGTAGTAATTAATATTTCGGTTTTACGATTGGGACTGTCCGTTTGCGTGCGTATATGTTGCCGTTGTAAGTTCAACATGCCCTCCTCTACTGTCTAATGCACAAGCGTCATACAGAAACACCTATAGTCTGAATTTGTTCTGAATTTATAAAGGCCTTCTTAAAGTTAACTGGCTGTATTTAACTAAACAATGCAGATCCATTTCAGATTGGCCTTTGTTTATGGCTGGAGGAACATTGGCCCCCAATTTCTCAGCCTTGCCATGCATGTCTCACCCTTGTAGTCACATATCACATTGGACCCCGTTCATACCACCCCTCTTTACCTTCTTCTTTGTTTGTATACCAAACCGTTCCTTTCAGCACAGTACAAAAGATAACCATCTCGATGGACGCGGATACCTTATTCCCGGACATCTACAGAAACATGTTCAAGAGAACAATAGACGACCTCGACCTAAACCGCTTCCTCGACAGTGACAGTGACAGTGGAGGAGGCCCTGTTCCCCCTCAGCGGAAACGCAAACGAGCTCCACCAAAACTTCCCCAGCCTTTGTACAAAGCAGTCGTCAAAGATCTCGCCGAGTCTGGTACGATCAGAGTCAGCTCGTCAACTGCAGACATTGATAATACGATCCTTGAGAGAATCAAAAAATGTCTCGATCGCGCCAATCACCCTGGCACACCTGAGGCCGAAGCCAAAGTTGCGCTTCATCGAGCCTCACGCTTGATGGGGCAGTACAATGTCACCCAAGCGGAAGTACTTGCCCATGAACCACCTTCTGCCCAGAGGAATTACGCTGGACAAAGCAACGTCGAGATTGTCCGAGTCGACGGCGACAAATCCAAGTCTGTGAAGCATCAGAACTATGTCAATACCCTTCTGAGCGCCATAACACTCTTTTTTGACTGCAAATCTTACTCGACTACCTACAACCATTTTCTGAAGCTCACATTCTATGGCATTGCGCAGAACACGGTCACTGCTGCTCTGTCGTTTGAGATGGTATATAACTTGATTGCCGAGTGGGCAAGACCTCACAGGGGTACTGGCCCAAGAAATAGCTACACCATTGGTGCCAGTGATGGACTATACAAAATGGCAAAGAAGAGAAAGGCAGATGAACTGGCTGAAGCCAAGAAGGCTGAGAAGGAGGCAACAGAGGCTAAAATCCGGCAAGAGGAACTCGAGCGCCAGGCTCAATTGGATCGTCTCGCACCTCATGTGGACGATGAGCAAGTGGAGGATGAGCCAGTGGACCTCTGTTCTCCGGAGGCAGCAGCGCCTGCCTATGAACCTAGTGAGGCCAGCAGTGATGAGGATATGACTGATTATGAAGATAGTGTCAAAGACGAGCCCCTGTCTGACTCGGAGCTGCCTGGCGGAAGCCCTGGCGCAAATGAACACTCGCCAATTGTGCTAGACGAAGATAGCGGCGATGACTGTGCAGAGCCAGACTTCAAAGTGGAGGTTGGAACGATGGATGACATCTGGGGAGATTTGGATGAAGAAATCAACAGCTTCATCGGACCGGGCACGGCGGCACCGCCAGCACCCAATACTGAAGTACCATCTCACACATCAGCGCCTGGAAAAAATGCCGGCGCATCAGCTGATGTGGATGAGGAGCCAGAGTCGAAATGGGCTTCGCAAATGCAGCTCGATATTTTCCGTGCAACGGCCACCAAGATTGCGGAAGAGTATCTCACTGAGAAAGGTGTTAAGCTCAAGAATGGGAGGAAGAGAAGCAATGTGATACGCGACCACAAGGCGTATAAGCAAGGACAGAAGGATGGCAAAAAGATTGACGTCCACAGGAAGGCTATAAAAGAATGAGTGTTTTCTGGTGGATGGACCGGGTCTGGACGTACTTGGCGGTCATACGAGACTCGAGTTGCACCGGCACAGAGGAAAAGTCGATGGATACATAGCGTTAAATTGCAATATACCAATCAAGGTGCTTTATGATACAGACACGGATAGTTGCATGGCAGAGATTGCAAAGGGATATTCAACAAACGGAGAAGATGGCAATTCAGGAGACAGAAAGACAATATTTATATGCCATGGGAGGATAATAATAGGTCTTAGAATTCGTGCTTTGCGCAGATAAACGGCCATTATAAAATGAACCAACATGCACAGGTTTACCTTCTTACCAGTTAAGGCCTACGTGGCTGAGATATTAATCCCACCACTCCCGAGCCCCCACCAATAAAATTAAATGTTCTTCTGAAGATTTTCTACCAAAGGCAGCGTGCAAAAGGCAGTGCAGCCCATAGGTGGGCCCAGCCGCAATAAACGCGTCTCACCCAAGTATACGTCTATGTATCATTTTATAAGCAAATTAAGCCGTTTTTAACTATAAAATAGTCCAGATGGATAAATAGTAATGGAAAATTTGGGGACAGTTTAGAAACATGGCCCAGGGCCCTGAACAACACTCGCAAGGAAATGATAAGCACTGATCACTGCCAACAGCCACCTCGTACCCGCTCTCCGAGTTCGGTATCGCCGTACGCAGTGATACGGAGTACGGGTAATATGCCGCACAACCCCGTTCTCTACCGTTGCACCCTTGTCATCCACGACTGCTTATGTACATATTATATGGACCGCTACTATTTTGGTACAAGGTTGATGACGCTCGCTTCTGCAGGCGCAGCTTAGCCCTCCAGCTGACCCAGCCACTACCCTCCAACTTCAACCGTCATCTATAAAGACGACTTCTCCCATCTTTAACATCCATATTATTATTCACAGTTCAATTAACTATCAATATGCCTGCCCCAGAAGTCAACCAGCCAAAGGCCCAGACGATGGATGTTCCATCTGCTCAGGAAATCCAGGAACAGCCTGTAGGTGACTCCTTGGCCACTCCGCTCTTCGTCTCATCAATACACAACTAACCCGGGCCGCAGAAACCTGTTGAGAAGATGACCGTCGAGGAGCCTGTTAGCATGCGCGGTGGAGGAACAGGAGGACTCTGCTGCGGCCTGTGAGTGCCCTCTAACCCAGCTCTTCGTATATACCCCGCGAAACTGAGGACTCTCTACTGACATTTCGACTCATAGTTGCGCCGGGTTTGCTTGCTTTGAGTGCCTCGAATGCTGCTGCTAGGCGCATTGATTATGTGCGGATGAGACGGGATGGATACCCCTGTGATATACCCGGGGTGAAAGCTTGAGTGTTCGTCTATTCTTTGGCGGGTTGGTCTTGGTGACGGGTTACGACTGGGAGGGTTGGTGGTGTTTCAGATTTACGCGCACGAGCGACGATGCTATTTAATGATGATATCTTGAATCTATTACCTCTTGTTGAACCAGCCGCATGCGCTGAGTGAGATTTAATGATCGTATGTGGACACTCATCCGTCCGGCTTTCGTCATCTGAAAACATAAGCAATATTCATTACACAAACCTGTGGGACGGCGGTGAAGCCGTATCTCTCCATCTTGGGAAGGTGTGCTGCGGGTGAGCTGTGTCAAATTCTCGGATAGGTCTTGACGGCAGAGAACAACGTAAGCCGCTGCGCCATGTTTCAGCGCCCAGTCTTGCTTGTTGAGGCCATGACCGTAGTTCACAGTTGCAACTGAATATTTGTAAGTGAGTGGTTATAGAGCAACTACTATGGACTCTTCGTGGTAATAAGTTCAAGTCCTTTTACCGTCTATCTCGTGCGACAATATGTTACTCAATACGAGTTGTTGAATCAAACCTATAAGGCTGAGATCTCTAATCTTGGCAAAGGGTCCAAAGTGGAGTACAACGGAATAAAGTAGCGCCGTACAAGGCTACCCTACTCCTGATTAGTCAAGCACGTTATTTTGCCCAGAATTGATAATCCGCGTCGATGATTGGCTGTCACGGCTAACCACCGATACCGCGCTCATCCCCTCTGATTTTCTGGCCGCCACAGAGCTCGAAGTTTCTTGGATTGCAAGACAAATCATGAATATCAGAGCAACCCAAATGAGGGTGAATATGCAGTCGCTGGGGTCGATGCGCCCGCGAGCGCTGCCCGTCGTCGCCGGCCGACTTTTCCACGGTAGCATTGTCTACAGGAGGAATAATGCCTCCCTCTCGTCTCTGGACAAGGCGCAGACGCTCACCGAGAAGATTGTTCAGCGCTATTCCCTCGGCCTGCCAAAAGACAAGGTTGTGAAGTCTGGAGGTATGAATTGCCCCTTCTATTTTGCAGACTCGGGCGTTTGGGCGAATACTAACTCTTATGTTTAGACTTTGTGACTCTCTCACCTCACAAGTGCATGACCCATGAGTAAGACTTCAATTCCTCCCATATTTTATCCTTTCAAGAGAATGCTAACTATCCCGCCCAGCAACTCTTGGCCCGTTGCATCGAAGTTCATGTCCATTGGCGCTACTAAGGTCAACGATCCTAGCCAAATGGTGTTCACCCTCGACCACGACGTCCAGAACAAGAGCGAGACGAATCTAAAGAAATACCAGCAGATCGAGACCTTCGCCGAGCAACAGGGGATAAGATTTTTCGGCGCCGGTAAGGGCATCGGGCATCAAATAATGATCGAAGAGGGATACGCATGGCCTGGCACAGTTACCGTTGCTTCGGACAGCCATAGTAACATGTATGGTGGCGTTGGATGCCTCGGAACGCCCATTGTCAGAACCGACGCGGCGAGCATATGGGCAACTGGCCGAACGTGGTGGCAGGTACCCCCTGTAGCTAAGTGCCACTTCACTGGTGTCCTACCAGTAGGTGTCACTGGAAAAGATGTCATTGTTGCGCTCTGTGGTCTATTTAACAGCGACGAGGTCCTCAACCACGCCATCGAATTTACTGGATCCGAGGAGACGATGCGTAGCTTGCCGGTCGATGACCGTCTTGCCATTGCCAATATGACAACGGAGTGGGGCGCATTATCTGGTCTTTTCCCAATCGACTCTGTGCTTCTGTCATGGCTACGATACAAGGCAACCACCGCGGCAATGTATGAATCAGGCACAGGAAGCAAGGACCGTTTCTCCCATGCCATCATCGAGAACCTCACCACTAGCCCAATAAGAGCAGACCGAGGCGCTACATACGCAAAGTCGCTCTTCCTCGACCTGTCTACTCTTTCTCCCTACGTTTCCGGACCCAATAGCGTCAAGATTGCAACCCCACTGCGGGATCTCGAAGCACAGAAGATCAACATCCAGAAGGCGTATCTCGTCTCCTGCACCAACTCAAGAGCCTCGGATCTTGCGGCTGCGGCCAAAGTCTTCACGGAAGCCGCCAAGACCGGCGCGTCCCCCAAGGTCGCACCGAACGTTGAATTATACATCGCAGCGGCGTCACTCGCCGAGCAGCATACAGCTGAAGAAGCGGGTGATTGGGGCGTCCTTCTCGAGGCTGGTGCCAAGCCGTTGCCATCTGGATGCGGACCATGCATCGGTCTTGGTACAGGTCTCCTCGAGGCAGGCGAAGTCGGCATCAGCGCAAGCAACCGCAACTTCAAGGGCAGAATGGGTAGCCCAGACGCTAAGGCGTACCTCGCCAGCCCTGAAGTCGTTGCTGCTAGCGCATTAAGCGGATATATCAGCGGCCCCGGATTCTACGAGGCACCAGAAGGTGTGACTAAGGTGGTCCTTGGCGAAGGCACTGGCAACGTCGAAGCCGACAAGGCGACCAGCATCGAAGAGGCGCTTGCGAAGCTGATCTCCGAAGCCGATTCGCTCGTCGACAACGCGCAGTCCAGCCTCTTTGGAGAGGCCGAGGAGGCCACCACCGAAAAGGAGGGTGCAGGACTGACCGAGATCGTTGCGGGATTCCCAGAGAAGGTGAGAGGCGAGATCGTCTTCTGCGACGCCGACAACCTGAACACCGACGCCATCTACCCCGGAAAATACACCTACCAGGACGGCGTCTCCATCGAGAAGATGGCCGAGGTGTGCATGGAGAACTACGACAAGGAATTCGGCAGCGTCATCCGCGAGGGTGACATTCTCGTCTCCGGCTTCAACTTCGGTTGCGGCAGCTCCCGCGAGCAGGCCGCGACCGCGATCCTCGCGAGCAAGATCCCGCTCGTCGTCTCCGGCAGCTTCGGCAACATCTTCTCCCGCAACAGCATCAACAACGCGCTCCTCGGACTCGAGGTGCCGCGTCTGGTCGAGGGACTGAGGAAGCAGTTCAGCGGCGCGGATAAGGCGCTCACGCGCAGGACGGGATGGACGTTTGAGTGGGATGTCAGGAGGAGCGAGATCACGGTGCAGGAGGGTGAGGGGGGTGCGAAGTGGACGCAGGCTGTTGGACAGATGCCGCCGAATGTGCAGGAGATTATTGCGAGGGGTGGACTGGAGAAGTGGGTGAAGGCTGAGATTGGACTGTGAGATGGGGATTAGATTGGGTTAGATGTTTGCATTGTACAGCGGGCGCGGATAGATTGGGTCGCGATTGGGGTGTGCGGTGGGAGCGGTGAGGTCGAAAAGTTTGAATACATGGTCACCATTTCCGCCTTGTTGGAACTGGTACGCCAGTTCGACGGGTTTGTACAGTACAGTGCTATTTTCAGGCGATAGAAGAATTGAGACTATATAAGTACCGCAGGATCAACATGACGTGAAATATAACTTGCATACATTCAAAAGAAGCCGTTCATGTTTATTTACATCCGAGGATCCTCGTAGATGCGATAGAACTAGGAAATATTACTGTACGGCACAGTCAGCCTCGTACAGCCGTCCCTTATGTATTGTGCACCTCCAATTGTTCCTGAAAACAGCCTTGTCGGGGCGATCAGCACCACAGTGGAGATCGCAGATTCCACTGAACCCCCTGAGGCTTAACAACGTGGATTCGGGTGAGCAGTGTCCACTTAGCCGTCGATGGAAGGGGTAACGATTATCACGAGCAAGTCATGCTGCTTACAGAAAAACCGGAGTGCGGAGTGCGGAGAACAGCGCTCAAATTTGTTCGTATCCAGTAAATAATGCGAAAATGGTATTTAACATGTGCTGTGACGTGGGTATGGTGGGTTTGCCGAGGCTTTGCATTACCCCAGAGCCCGCTTTTAGATTGCGGGGGATGGGGAATTCCCCACGTCCGGACTTCACCCGGGGATCGTGGGGGAATATTGGGGTAGGAGAAGAATAAATCCGTTGTTTATATACAACCATTGTCCATATTATAGAAAAGGTGGATCCAAATACTACTTGCACTAATCCAACAGGCCATGGATTAATATTGATTATTGTACACGGCTCCCACGGCAACCAGCCTGTTCTAGCCAGCATCCCGCCGCGTGGCGCCCACTCCGCCTTCCATGTGTGGAAGCTTACAATGCAACTCCACGCACTATTGCATCCGGCGAATCTACTATGGCCGAACTTCGCGCTCCCAACCCCACCAACCACTCACAGCAGTGGGATGCGCTGGACATAGCCTTCCCCATCCCTGCCTGCAAACCAATTATCTGCTCGTGGTCTTGGTTTTCAGTCGGATAGATCTTACCGGAGACCCTCTAACGCACCTGCTTGGTCACACTATGGCTACCTATTGGCACATGTCTCGTGAGCTTCTAGCTCAGCGACCATCTAATTTGCTCTATGCGTGGTACTCATGCTTTCCCCTGCCACGCCAGGCCTGAAGCGGGTTCTATCGCATTCGCTGTACGCGGAGAATTGATGACGGCACCACCGAGGCCTTGGGACTAACTACGAGGCTATAATATAAGGATGTGCTGTGGACCTGCTGCGGCTGCCCGCCGGTCGCACGCACCTCGAGATCAGATTCCTGCAACGCCGTCTTGATCGTTATAGTAGAAATGGTTCGTGTTTCTGCTCTCTTTGGCGCTGTTGCGCTTGCTACGGCGGCGACGGCGGCTGCGGTGCAGGCAAAGGTGACTGTCACAAAGACAAGCTGTCCTACGCCGTTGCCAACGGTGGATCTGGGGTACGGGTTGTGGAGTGCCTCGATTAATGTGAGTTGTTTCTTTCCATTGACAGCTGCACGGGGTTCCCTTGGCATAGTGTTATAGACATGAGACAGTTGCCGCCTCAGGGTTTAAGTGCCATGGGTTATGCATAGCTTCAAAGATTTGCGGTAGCTGACTGTTGCCATAGGACACTGGAAAGCACCCATACTACACATTTGGCAACATCAGATACGCTGCCCCTCCAGTTGGAGATCTGCGCTTCAGAGCCCCTGTTCCGCCGACAGGCAGGAATAAGACAGTCAACAATGGGGCCGGCAATCCCATTTGCCCTCAAGCCAACCCAGGTACTTAGATGAACCGCCCTCACTAACATGTTGCTAACGATTATAGCATGGCTCTTGACTGCGCAGGCATTCTTGACGGGAACGCCCATTGAGAACCTAACCAGACCAGGCTCGGGCTCGGGCTCCGGCGGCGGCTTCAGTTTGGCTGATATCCCAAAGCCAGGCCCGGGGACGACTGAGGACTGCCTGTTTTTGGATGTCTATACGCCAAAGTCGATTTATGAGGCTCCGAAGAAAAACCCCAAGAAAGGTGGTGGTAGGTGTATTTCATTCCCAATAACGCTCCTTGCTAATGAATAGTAGCCCCAGTACTTGTCTGGATCTACGGCGGCGGATACACTGCAGGTTCAAAGACGGGAAGCGGCAATCCCGCCACTCTCCTTGACAGCGCCAGAGATGGTGATGAGAAGGGAATCATCTTTGTAGCTCTGAACTACCGATTAGGCATGTTCGGATGGCTGTCCGGACCCACGTACCAGGCGAGCGGCACTGCCAACATCGGTCTGCACGATCAGCGTTTGGCGCTCGAGTGGGTGCAAACGAACATCCACCTCTTCGGCGGTGACCCGAACCGTGTCACAGTCATCGGTGAAAGCGCTGGCGGTGGATCTATCATGCACCAGATCACTGCCTACGGTGGGCTGAAGGGCAAGGTCCCATTCCAACAGGCCATCGCGCAGAGCCCCGGGTGGGTTCCAAGTCCGAGCAACTACCAGAACGAGGCCGTCTTTGAGAAGACCCTCAGCTTCGCATCTCTTATCGCCCAGAAGCAGGTCGCCACGGTCGATGATCTTCGCAACCTGACGGCCGAGCAGCTGTACTACACCAACTACGCCGTGACTGGTCTTTCAAACTACGGTACATTCACCTACGGCCCAACCGTCGACGGAGACTTCGCCCCCAAGCTCCCCGCCGAGCTGCTCCTCCACGGTCAATTCGACAAGAGCCTCAAAGTCATGCTGGGCCACAACTCCGAAGAGGGCTTCCTCTTCGCCTCCCCCTTCGTCACCAACGATACCACCCTCAAGGAGTACCTCCAAGGCTCCGTCCCCGCCATCCTCCCCTCCGCCCTCGACACCATCGTCACAGACCTCTACCCCCCCAACTTTGACGGCTCCCTCCCCTACACCACCCAGCTCTCCCGCACTTCCGTCCTCGTCTCCGAATCAGTCTTCACGTGCAACACGCGCGCCCTCGACCTCGCCTACGGCAACAACACGTACAGCTACTACTTCAGCGTCCCCCCCGGACTACACGGCGAGGACGTAGCGTACACCTTTTTCAACGGGGACACGACGACGCCGAACCAGGGGTTGCCGGTTGATAGGACGGTTGCGGAGGCGTTGCAGGATTATATTACGAGTTTTACGATGAATGGGAATCCAAATGAGGAGGGCGTGCCGTTCTTCCCGCTCTATGGGGGGAATTCGAGTACCCAGGTTATTAATATTGGGAAGTTGGGGACGCAGATTACGGATACGACCGCGAATGCGAGGTGTGCGTGGTGGCAGAAGGCGTTATATTATTGAGTAATGAGTAAATAATGATCGGAGGTGGTATGGGGAGGGGTGGGCGGAACTAATACAGAATACTTGGTAGTATATAAAATATATGAGTTTATCGACAGTTTCTCGCCCATGTTCATTGGAGCAGTGGCTCTTTTTCTAGATCGACCAGACGCCTCCATTGATATTAGTTGGCATAGCTTCAAGTGCTCTAGATAATTTCGCCTCAGCGGTGGGTGCTGGAGGTTGGAACAAGACAGCCCATAGCTGATAGAATGCCACCCGGAGGTTAGGCTGTGAAGGTTTCAGTAAAAGCTGCTCTTCATGTACTTGTAATGTGAATAGACACTGACCACTGTGTCTATTGCTAGAAGAAGCTGGTCATATGTGACGATTTTCTCGCTGCCATCCCCTGTTAGGCTGTTAACTAACGCCTCAGTCAACTCTTTGTCTGCCGGACTAGCATCCACACAATCGCCCAAGTGGTAAACCAAGCCCCATTTCTCTTCGCTCAATCTCATTCGCAGCAACAAATCCATCAAGATCGATACATCTTCCCGCCTCAATTCTCTTTGCGTCAAGATAGGCTCCCTAGCAAACAGGTTCGGCGCCACAACCTCAAGCTGTTCTGGCGACGGAGCCGCGTGCATAAATTGAGGCACAACCACGATCAAAACATCCATAGCATCACTCAACGCAGAATTAATGTCATTTTGCTCCTTTAACAGCTGAGTTGTAGTCTCTGGGACCTCAATGCTTCGAAACATTCGTTCAAAACTAGCTCTGCGGAAGAATGCCGCATCGTTGCGCCAGAACCAGTCAAGTTCCCGCCTACCGAGGAGGTCGTCGCATTGGAAGGCTGTGAGCAAGACGGCGCGTTGGAAGGCGTCAAAATCGAACTGTCCGTGTTGGGAGTCCCGGCGAAATGGATGATGGGCGTAGAAATGGAAACTTCTCCAAAGAAGCTGGAGCGCGGCGGAAGAGATTGCAGCTTCGGAATGGGTGCTTCTCACATGCCTTGTGAAGCTTTCTTCATTCCAGTCTGATATCACATAAGTAGTTACTTTACCAGATGAGAAGACAAAACTTGCATTTCTGCTGGGATAAGCCCTCGATGCAGTGCTTGTAAAATATAGTTCTCAAGTATTCTCGCTCCTTGAGCCCGCTCAGTTGCGGCGAAAGTACTTTGCTAAGGTCTTGAATAACTGAGTCTATTCCGAGTCAGATACATCGTGCAATCGACTAGATATCCGCAATTATTCACCTACCGCATGTAGCGTCATCGAGATATTTCTTCACCTTTCGATTCTGTGGTCCTAGGGCAACACCATTCGCAATATCATTCACGATGCCAACTAATGCTGCTAACATTGTATTAATTGTAGTATAAATAAGAAGCAGTAAGTTTTATTAAAGTAGACGCTGACCCTGATGAGCGAGGGAAGCTGAAGTGATTTAGGTAAGGCAGAAGAGAGCGGCTCCATGAGTTGAAATAGGCTAGTCGCTAGAAGTTAATCAGCGGGTCCATAGAGTCAGCATGCATATTGAACTTCAGGCGGAAGCATTTCTCAGTCCAACTGCACTCAACTTGGCCGGCTTTACTACCACGAGCATGCATTTCGCAAATATTCTTCTTGGGTGTCTAGGACATTAGATGTATGCAGACAGTAACTAAAATCTAGTGTGTCCCATTCTCATAAACCCAAAAAAAAACGATCATTGGCCTTTAATTAAGTAGGAGGTTGCAAAATGAAGGGTTGCATAAGCGGGGCAGGCAAGTTGGGTCCTCTTAAGAACATTTAGGACTACATAAAAGGTCTCCAAATGCTTGGTTGATATCTTCCCTTAGAAGGCGCAATAGCTAGCTCAGTAAAGATGTAGAAAGATGAAATGGATTTGGCAAAGTCAGCGTTATCTTTATAGTAAGTTAAATTAATCATCGGGTAGTTCAACCCTTTGAATGAAATATTAGGGTAATAGGAGCTATAGTAGCCCCCTCCATCACATCTTCCGTCGCGGCAGAACCTACAACCCAAAAGGATAGGTCTCCTCCAACCCCGCTGGCGTCTTCAACTGCCTCTTCTCCAACGGCTTCACCGCTTCCGTTCTATCAAACCATAACCACGCGTCAAACTGCTTCCCCAGCGCCGCCCTACTATAATGGCTCTGCCTCTCCGTCTCCGGCTTATAAATAACCCCAATAAACCGCTCCAGCTTCTGCTCCTCCAACGCCCTCTTCAGCCGCTCATCATGCAAACCCGCCTCGCGGATATTAAGCACAAAACTCGCCATCCCCGTATTATGCGCAACTCTTTCCCAGCTATCCTCGCGCGAAGCTACAACGTTCATAGTCTGCATATCCCCATCCCAAGAGTGCGCCGCCGCCACAGTCCCATCATGGCTTCCGCATCCCAAAATTGCCACCCCCGGGCCCCATTTCTCCCTACACAACTGTCCTAGATTCAACTCCCCCCTCTTCGACATATCCGTATATCTCGCATCCCCAAGATGGCTATTATGCGCCCACACCACCACCCCGCCCCTCCTAAACTTCGTTAAGCGATTCAGCGTATCGAACATATGCCGATCCCTCAGATTCCAGCTCTTGTCATCGGCATAGAACATCGACCTATAATACCTCTCCGCGTCAACAACGAGCCGAGCATTCTGCTCCGCGCTGTGGAATTCCTCGCCATCCCCCCTCGCAGCCGCGTACTCGAGGCGCCGCTTCAGAAGGTCCATGAGGACCGATGAGATGTTCTCCTCACACGACTTGAAGGCGGGGGACATCATAGACGCAATCCCGTATTCCGACGGGTCATCCACCCAGGGGTCAAGGCACGCGTACCGCCGCCTAGCCGTCTCGGCCAGCACAGGATCCACGGAGTCGAGGTACTTGGTCACTGCGTTCAGCGAGCTGCCCATGCTGTAGAGATCAAGCCCGAAGACTCCCGCACGATCGGGGCTGAGTTGCGATGTATTGTAGTCTCGCAACCAGTGCGTGAAATCTTGTACTTCTTTATTACGCCACATCCACGTTGGAAACCGCTCAAACGGCGCATCTGGGGGTTCATGTTCCTTCAACTCCGTCTTCGGCCCAGGACGCTCGCGGATATAGCGATCAATGCATTCTGCGTCCGGCCAGTCGGCTTCTAGAGCGACGGTTGTGAAGCCGTGGTGCTCGATTAGGCGTTTGGTGATTTCAGCGCGAGCGTGGTAGAACTCGGAGGACCCGTGGGAGGAGTCCCCGAGCAGTACGAGGTGGTGGCGGGAGAGGAAGTCGAAGTGGGATGCGAATGATTTGTCTGTTATGGGAGGGAGGGAGGTCGCGGTGGCGCGAATGATTTCTGAGAGGCCGGGTCGCATGGTGGGATTGTAATTGTATGGGGGTGTGAGTAATGGAAGGGGAAAGGGGACTAAGTAAGAGTAACTTTGGGAGATGAGATAAAGGTATGCGATTTGGACGGACAATGTGAAGTGAAAGAGGAGAGAATGAGACGAATTTACAGAACTTACAGTCGAGCTCTATGGAGTGGGCAATGAACTGGTATATTTTGTGTGAAATGGACTAAAGAAATCACTTATAGAGTGCATCATCGTACTTAATGGCGCGGTCATATAAGCACAAATGTCGTCGCATTTAGCAACTTGTAGCACGCTATATATCTCACAGCCTCGCACACCAAAGTAGCTCCCTTCGTGATTCTGAATGGCCGCCAAGAACCATCCACGTCTCTTCTCGAATTGCAACTCCTCCGTTTTGGTCGAATGAGATTTGAAATTCAATGGGGTATAGTTAAACACCAAACGCTACACAAGCTCGCCCTGCCAAGTCCAATTATGGTAGTTGGAAAGTACGCGTCATAGACTCTATCCGCGTAGTTCATAAGATTGGGCAATCCCTTGACTATTTCATTTGTCTTTTAAGTAGTGCCCGGATGGCGAGATCCAGTGCCCGCCTAGGCGGGGAGAGGTGCGCATTCAGGTCGTCGATGGCTTATAATTTGATCAACATCCGCGCAATCAACATAGAGTCGCTGACCGGGGTTGATAGTCCGTCCTCTTCTTCAATACGTACATAGGAGAGCCTCCCCTTCGGAGACTCTGCTGAGGCCCCCATGTGTACAGAATAAGGTAGGTAGGAGAAGCTCAGGCGGGCTTCGAGTTTGGCAACGAAAGGGGACCAAGTATGGGCTCCAGCGTTGTAGCCTTGATATAAGGCTAGGCTTGGCACTTTCTAAGCCAAGACTTAGTGTAGATTAGAAACGATATTTACGAGTGTTATAAAGTTATATGTCTACTTTAAGATAATTTTATAGTTTTATAATTATACCCGCACATCATTAAGGATTCGGGGGATTGGGGCCATTGTCACCAAAGGCACTGGCGCATTTGATGTGTCGTGCGTTTTGTGCACGCCCCCGTAGGCGAACCGCTCCACTATGTGAGGCCGCGTGTTTTCCTCTCACCAACTTGTCTCCTCCTACTGTCCCTGAACCTCCTACGGACTGAGACGTGGTTCTCTGAACCGACATCTGCTATCATGCAGTTCGGCAGTGCCATAGGCACAGCATGTCTTACGTTCGTTCTGACCAACATCGACGACGCGTTCGTGCTCGTGACCTTCTTCGCCGAGTCCTCAACCTCCAGGAATCTCACTCCCCTTAAGATCACTCTTGGACAATATCTCGGTTTCACCGTCATTGTAGTTATCAGTCTAATCGGTTTTGCTGTTGCGGTGGCACTCCCGTCCGAACCTATTGGCTTTTTGGGCCTTTTACCCATTCTCCTTGGTGTATGGAAATTCTATGACCTGATCTTTCCCCAAAATGACGATGCGGAGGAGGAAGAATCGGAATCTCAGCGCATCGCCAATGCCAAATCAGTCTTCAAGGTTGCCCTCATTACGATCATGAATGGGGGCGATAATATCGGCACCTATATACCTCTCTTCTCCCAAGCGAAGGGCGCGGAGGTCGCCGTCTACGTCGTGGTCTACTACATTCTACTCGGCATCTGGTGTCTTATGGCCTTTCTTATTATGAAGCAGAGGCATATCCTACGGCTGGCCGAAAAATATGCTTCATTCATAATACCGTTCCTCTATGTCGGCCTCGGTATCTACATCGTCGTGAAGTCAAACTGCTACCCTTGGTCGGTCAAGGAGATCGATGATGATTTACTCAGTCACCCTGGCAAGATAGTTATGGGCGTTGTCACTGCGTTGTTGCTGTCGTCTATCATGGGAATGATGGTGTGGTTTAAGGTGCGGAAAATGAGGAAATCGACGAGGAACGAGGAAATCTCCCTCACCGAAAACACTCTTGCTGTTACAAAAGACGAAAATGGCGGCCCTCTAGATACCTCTAAGAATGGCAAAAATGCTGATTCTGCTGATTCTGCTGATACGACTGTCAATGGGCAGCCTGGGAAGGATTGTGAAGAGACTGAGATGAGGTCATTGGAGGAAGGAACGCATGCAGAGCAGTTACAGCCTGACAGCAAGGTTCAGCCTTTGGCTACACCGGGAGATGGCGTGATACAGGCGGCAAGCTAAAATATCGAAGATACAGAAGATTTTTGGTAGCATATACAGTGCATGTGCTTGTTGGCAGTTTCCCATCCCTGTTCTCCTTCGTTGTGAATGGTGTGGACTCAAATTAGAAGTTGGGCTGCCTGTTGGACAACGAGCTCAGCTGGTGGTTTGGCGATAACCTATATACTAATCGTAGTTCTTATGAATCCCTAAAGCTCCAAAATCCAATGATAGCCAGATGGCATCGTCGTCGGATTGTTTGCCGTAATAGATGCTGAGCCAGACCTGATTTGCTCTAGATGCTTCCTTCAGGAGCATTAGAGCACCGCCGTCTGCGTCGACAGGACTGATATTCTGCAGGATAATGCGATTCAGTTTAGGGGCAACAATCGACTTTCTCTTAACCAACTCCAGTACCTCCTGCTGGGCGAAGGCCAACATCACTTCATTTTCGAGTCTACCAATAAGCAGATACTCGAGACATCGGGGAACAAGCTTCCACAGTTCTAGATCCCATTGGCCAGTTCCTGTTGCCGTTCCAACTAGAAACTCCGCCGGGAGAACGAGGTGGGTGAGGACAGTAAAGTCCACAAGAGATCCTAGCCTAGAATTTCTCGCGGAGTTCGACTCGATGGCTAAAGGACTGCCCCCTGTAAGACGCAGCTGCCTCAATGATCCTGTCAAGCACAACAGACCTTCCATCATCAACTGTGGGTCAAACTTGCTGGTAGTGGCCTTATCGTGTCCATGCACGTATGAGAAATTCTCCAGGCGTACGCTTGCCCGGAGAATACACCCAACTACTCTTGCCTCACAAACACATTGTTCCATGATGAGAGTCTTTAGGCCTGACAGGAAGTCGAGCCTAATCTGGGTAAGTTGTACGAAGCCATTGAGGTGTAGTGACTCGACTGATGGCGTCTGTATTAACAGAAGTAGCTCTAACTTTACCCCATCGCTGGGGTGTCCCCATTCCGGCTTGAATGTAAACCTTCCGTGCCGAAGGTGAGGGAGCAACGGTGCCATGCTCTTTGGGCCCTGTTCCTCTAACAAAGCCCGCGGCTTTGTTCGTATGGCTCCGTCTCGCATTGCTTGTTGGCTGTGTCTGACAACTCTAAAGAACCACTCGATATAGTTTTCTTCCCCGTCGCTTGGGAGAACACCGTTCCGTCTCTTACAGCGTATTTTTCTCAAGCTCGGGCACAAAAAAATAATAATTGTAATTATAGCATACCAATTCCCTTCCCACGTTTGCTCCCACCACCTTCTGTAAATCTGCCACCTGTCAATCGGCGGTGTTGCGCTAAAGCCATAATGTTGCTTAAAATAACCAATCTCTACGATTTCTGTTACCACCTTTGGTATCAGTATCTTGTCCTCATAGATGAAGGAGTAGCCAAGGAACTCGCAGCTTCTAGGCGAAATATCCAGCTCCTGGACAAACCCTCCTAATGCCCGGTCACGTAGTAGTGATCGTAGAATCAATGGAACCAGACGACGGTTCGATAAATTATCATCGCGACAACAAAGTCTCCGGTATAGAATTGGGGTCGCGAGGCTACGTAAGTATCGCGACGAAAGGCACAATGTAGCGAGATCACTTTCACTCTGCCCGATGTGGCTGATGATGTCAAGGATAATCTCGCCAGGGAGGCCATGTAGCAACATATTTTCTAAAATCTGCTGGTGAGAGATGAGACATTGAGGATAAGAAACCGCAGGTGGCAGATGGAAAGAGACTGGGTATCTATGCGCGCGCATGACTTCACTGCCATGCGTTGGGTTGCAAGGAATATATCATGGATGACAGCCACCTATGCATAACCCCCCAGTCTTTCTGAGCCGCGCGAAACTTTGAACAAAAATACACACAAACTCAAAAGCCTCATCACGGTGTTTATGACAGGAGCTGCGCCAAAATTAGATTTGTCAGACCCTTCGAGATATGCGCCTTTACTCGAGCTATTTCCGGTAACACCAATAGATTTGTTCTCCTGAATGTCCTCATTGTTTTATTGTTGTCATCCACAGTTACTTGGGGCGCAGCTCCGATTATAGAATTGACAAAGAAGGCAGGAACGTTATGTTCGCTATTGCCTTTGTTGCCGCATCTCCTCTCTTTCACTTTATTTGGGCCTATTGTTGGAGACATGGAAACAAAAGAACCACTACTTCAAAGGAACCAAAGTTTCTCAATACCGCGCTATGGGGGTTAAAGACTCATAATCCCATTTACTCTCAGAGGTTCTCCAGAGTTATACCTCTTGCTGAGAAGAAAATGGGTTTCTTCCTTTATTTCCTTCCCAGACAATGCTCTCGCCGTGTCTTTGTCCCTCCTGCGTATAATATTCATGTGAACAAACCGATTTTTCAAATGCTAAATCTCGTTCTTATTTGCAATCATCATCAATATTCAGGACAACATCCATCTCTTTTTCCGGGGTGATAAAGTGCCTTTATCTTCACCATTCTATTTGACCATCCGATGGACATCATCATCAGGATTCTCCGTGGCGATAGTAGAAAAGCCGCAGTCTTTTTGACAGATATTCTCCATGACTTCGAGCGCCACTATGCAGCACAGCCACTTCCTCAGACCAGCACCTCGGCGCTTGCTGATGCCATCTCGTTCAGTGACCGGACCAACACCCGGTTCACCCAGTTTCTAAATAGCTCACAGCCACCCCAACCGCGTCTCCATAGGCTCATGTACCTCGGCGCGCTTTCCACTTCTAATTCATTCATCGAGGTATTTAAAAACGAGAGAGATGGTTTATGGAGGGCCTTACTAATAGAGCTAGATAAGCACATGGCTGTCATCAATTTCTTTGCCCGCTCGCGCCAGCTCCCATGGAAAGAAACTCTCATAACCTATTTCGACGAAATTAGTGATACAGGCCCGGATTCAGCACCATTTCGCAGCGGTGTCTGGCCTCCTGACGTCCCCGCCCATCCCTTAGGCCTAGACGACGATATATTCGAAGGTGAGCATCCCCATACCTTCTACTTTTGTTTAAACGGCGGAACAGATCGAAACTTGGTCATGAGTGGCTCCCGTATAGACAAACCTATGGAAAACATCAAAGAGTCCGTCTTCGACCGGAGATACTGGCCCAAAACCGCGCCTCATTCGTGGCCAGCCAATCGAACATACCTCGACCATCCGCAGAATGTCCGCAACGCGACAGTCGGCATCCTTGCTAACCAAGCAGATGATTTTTTGATCTGCGGCGATTGTGATAATACTTTTGTTGACACCACCACTGACGATACAGGTTGCACGTGCGTCTCATGGCATGTTGAGTATCCGTGTGTTCAGGTGCGCGAGTACCCCCCTTATCCCAGCGCTCCTAGCCTGCTTAACAAGGGCGTTATGGCTATGCAAGCATTCGCAAAAGACGAAATTATCGGGGAGTACGTCGGTCTGTTATTGCCGCCAGGCAGAGCTGATCCATCAATAAGAAAGAACGTCTTTGCAGATGACGTCTATACAATAGACCTCAACGCAGCAGTGATTGTCACCGTGAAAGGTGAGGAGACGTCGATGCCTGGCAACAAGATAGCTGATGTTTCGGCGGGGTGGAAAGGGAACTGGACGCGGTTTATTAACACGTCGCCACGGAAGGGAAACTGGAATATCGAGTTCGAACAGAGACTAGTTGCTGACAAGATCAGGATTCTGGTGCGCACGATTCGGGATATTGCATTTGGAGAGGAGCTGATAGCGTCGTATGGGACCGGTTATATGAGGACTCTTTTCGGGGATAACTTAGGGCTTCCTGATATGAATTAGGGTAGGGACTGACTGGAAACAGCTGGCTGTTTTGACCGACTTGTATAATAAGATAGATTGTATTGGTGTTTTGGCAATCTTGTATACTTTAATAACTCATATTTTGTATATTTTACCTGTAAATAACGCCGCATTCTATTTCGAGTTATTCCGAGATTCTCATATTTACAACACAAATCGTGACCCGACAGGGGCAGGCATGGAGATCTACCACCAGCGCTAGCGTTTATAGTAATGCATCAGCAAATCACATTATACGAGCTACAGATTTACAGTCCAAATTATTCCATTCCATTTTACGTAGCCATACCTTCACTTATCTACGCGAGTGCCTCCTACAACAAATCCAGTAAATGTATAGACCCGTCCCCATTCCAGAAGTATCACGCATTCATATCATACAAATAACGCCCATCTACTTCCAATTTCAACGATCCACGTCTCCCTCCCGTTCCTCCGCATCATCTTCCCCATCATGCATCTCATCCGCGTCTTCCATGGGTACATCGCCTGCATCGCGGTCGCCACTCAGGCCAGGCGCGTCAGTCTCGCCGACCTCCATGTCACGGCCCATGCTAACACCCTCCTCAGGCTCCGCCACATCCTCATCTTCATCATCACTTTCCACCATCCGACGTCTCGTGGTGCGTTTGGCAGGCGCACGCTCCACCTCTTCATCCTCATCGTCGTCATGTTTCGGCGGGCTGCTAACAGGGCTAGACACATCCCGGCCTCTGTCACTTCCGAATCCGTCATCATCACCTCCTCCGCCACCCTCGCCCTCATCGCTCGAATCCACCACCACCTCCGCAGACTTGAACTTCGAATTTACCTTCTCCTTCTTCGCCAACCTGCGCTTCTTCTTCGGCTTCTCCTCATCCCCATCAGCATCCCTCCTCCTCGGGCGACGTTCCTTCTTCGGCGTCCCCGTCTCGCTCTCCTCCCCACTCTCATCCCCCTCCTTCTTCTTCCTCTTCCCCCCCGCCTTACCCACCTTCCTCTTCCTCTTCACCCTCTCCCCTGTCTCACTATCAACCGTCATCTCCGCCTCCTCCCTCGCCTCCGCCTCTCTCGCCCTCGACTCCGCCAACGCACGATCATGCTCCGCGATCTTCGCGCGCTCCTCGGCGATCACACGCTTGCGCTCCCGCTGCTCCTCTTCGGCCTTCAACCGCGCCTCCTCGCGCTCCTTCAGCTCGCGCTGGCGCACCTCCATCGCTTCGCGCACCTTCTCCTTGTTCTTCTCCTCGTACTCGCGCTGCGACTGGATGCTACGCTCGAGCTGCTTGCGCATGGTGTTACGGGCCATGTTTGCACGTCCCTCGACTAGTGCCTTGGGGTACGGTGTCTGTGGGTGTTGTGCGATTTCCTCCAGGGATACGATGGCGTCTTCGAGGCCGGCGGCTGCGGCTTCGACTTCGGCGAGGGTGCGCGCGGACTCGGCTGTGGTGTAGATGGTCTGCGCGAGCTGGATCTGCACGAAAGCCACATTGAACTTGAAATGGATCTGTTCCGGTGCGGTTTCAAGAGCCTGTAACGTGTTAGCTCTATCCGCGACATCGATAGGGGCGGCAACATACCTTCTGTGCATACTCCAATGCATTCTTGTAGCTCTTTAGGTCCTTCTCCGCTCTCCCCCTAGCCAGCCACGTCCTACCCAAACAGGCCAGAATCTGCGCGTCGCTACCGCTGTTCTTGCTCAGCGCAGCCTCGTAGTGCTCAATAGCCTTGCTGTACTGTCTCAACTCCGCAAACAGGTGTCCGAGATTGATATATACGTTGGGGTCCTTGACAGTCTCGCGCACCTGCATGAAAATAGACAGGGCACCCTTAAAGTCTTTCTTGTCCTCAATCATAGCGATAGCAATTCCTTGGGCTGCGAACGCGCTCTTAGGGTCAAGCTGCAGCGCCTTCTCAAAGAACTCAGCAGCCTTAGAGTACATGCTGCTGCGCTTGGCCTTCTCAGAGTCTGAGTTACGTGGCATCTCGCGTGCGGTCTGGAGGTACAAGTTCCCCATGCCGATGAGTGCGTATCTGTCATGCTTGTCGTGGTGCTGAAGGGTGTGCTTGTAGTGGCGCAGTTCAGGGTCTTCATGGATATGCGAAGCGGATGCGCGTTTGCGAGAGTGGACGCGGCCAAGATACCAACCGTAGAGTGCTCGAACTTCGAGGTCGTTGCTAGCATCCTGGTAGAGCTTGCCAATTGCCCTCGGGCCTTCATCGGTAGGACTCTCCTTCAGTGCAATATATGCCAGTCTTGTGCGTGCATCAGTGTAATCAGCGTGTCTGCCCAACAAGCCCTCGTAGACTGTCTTAGCTTCATCAAACATCCCACTAGCCTCATAAGTCCTGCCAAGATTAAAGCTGATGCTAGTAACCAGAGCATCAGTGTCCATAGCTTCCTCCTTTTCTCCCGCCTTAACGCAAGCACTGAGCGCAGCCTGGAAGAAATCACGGGACAAGTCAAATTTCTCGGCCTGATAGTGGAAGCAGCCCATGTTGTTCAAGAGCTGCGGAGGCAAGTTCTCGCGGATCTTAAGTTTCATGGCTTCTTCGGCCTCGGTATCCTTCGACTTATCCTCATTCAAAGCCTGAGCTTGAGCTTGTGCCTGTGCCAGTTCTATCTGCTCGATTTGCTGGAGACATAACAGACTCTTTTCCGGGTTATCGACCTCATACAGACGCGCAAGATTGAGCAGCACAGATGCATCAGGAATTAAGTTCTTCTTCGGGTCCTTCCATGCAGCACGGACAGACTCGAGGAGACTGACAGCCTTCTTGAATTCCTGCGTCTTGTCCTCATTCGAAGCGCCGTATTGGTTCGCGAAGACCTCCTCAGAGTAGATCGTACCGAGCAAGCTCATGGCTTCGACATTCTTCGAGTGCTGGACAATCTTCTCCAGCCTGAATTTCGCCTCACCAAAGTCGCTCTTCAGCACCGAGATCTGAGCTGATCCAAACTTTGCTGGAACATATCCACGGTCTGCACCGCCTCGTGCCTCATCAGAACGTCTGTAGTAATCCGCCGCCCGGTCAACATTATCTTCATAGTGCTCCTTGCGCGCCAGCAAATACCACCCATCACTGGCAATGGCATTAACATCCGTATATTGAATAGCCTTGTGTGCCAAAGCATCCGTATTCGCAAGCGATTTCCTCGACAAAAAGTACCCAGCAAAAGTAGAGCAAGTAAGCGGCAGGTCCTTGTCTAGCTTGAACGCCTTCTGCGTATACACCGTCATGGCCTTCTTGTACGTCTCAATAAAGTCCTTGCTATTCGTCGGCACATGTCCGCTAGCATCCAGGTGATACAGGCCCAGCAGGATATTCGCAATCTTCGAATTCTCGTTGACCTCCAGGGCCCTCTCCCACGCCACCTTCGCGTCATCCTTGTGCCCCAGCATCCACAAACACGCTCCAATACCGATACGTGGATCCGGATCCGTCAGCTCCGGCATCCGCGACAGAGCCAACTGGTATCCCTCAAGCGCCTCGGCATACTTGCCCAGCGAGAACTGCACCCTGCATTTCCCAAGCACAGCAAGCATATTTCGGCCCTGCGAAACGCGAATCGCGTCATCAAAGCTCTTGAGCGCATGGCGCAGGATATCCAATTTCTCCGGATCGATCGTCCCCGCCGCCGGCGCCTTCGACGGCGGCTGCAGCGACGCGCGAAGGAGGTATAGAACACCGCGCGCCATGAACAGCGGGGGAAAGCTGGGGTTGATTCGCGTCGCGTCGTTGAGCGCCGTGGTGCTCAGCTGCAAGTAAAACTCCTTTGTCTTTGCCTCCGAAACCATTTGGCCCTCCGGCGCAACGCGAGGCGCCTCGCGGCTCTTCCACAGATACAACCAGCAGAGACAAGTGAGCATGCTCAGTTTCTCCTTCGGGCCACCGGTGACGGCCGCGAGGCCCTTGCCGATCATCTCGATGGCGGTGTCTATTTTCTTTTGCTTGGCGTAGGCGAGTGAGACGGTCATCCAGAAGTTGCGGCTCACGCGCTCGTTTTCGAGGAGGGTGCATAGCTCGGTCGGGTCGTCGAGGAGGTCTTCCAGGTCGACTTCGACGGCTTGTTGGTCGTCTTCGTCCATGCCCTGGACGGGAATGTCGAGAGATGAGGGGACATCGGAGAAGCGGAGGACGGAGCGTGTGGCGATGGAGTCGGGGAGGTCTCTGGGCCCAATCGTGCTGAGGCCGTTGGTCGAGCCATTGGCGAATGCTGTTCTGGACGCCATGATGAAAGCTTAATGTCGTATGCAAGTCGCTTGGGTGTATATAAGAGTGCCTTTGAAGCTGGCGATAGCTTCAAGTTCGAAAGGCCAAGCCTGGCTTCGCGACTTGACTCGAGACGTGTAGAGCCTCGAGGAGCTTGGTGAACCCTTCAACACAGGGCAACCATAACAGGGTGAAGCGCTGGTGGCAAATGAATATCTGTTGGCAAATGGCAAAATATGAAGAAGGCGATTGATCGTCTGAAATGGGGTTGTTGGGAGGGTTGGTGCGCAAGACCAATGCGCGAGGTGAGGTTATTGTGATCCAAAATTATTGAGGGCACCACCAGAATGGACTGGCAGGGGTCGATGCGGCTGGATTGCTGAACCATCGATTTTCGGATTTCTCCGCGCCGGAACCACGCTAGCCCCGATCCGTGAGGACAACCACCAGCATCGTCTATCAACGAAAAACAAACACAAGGCATCTAACAAAGGTCAGCATGAGATCACTTCCAGATAGAACATAAATGTACATACCACAGTAATTCAGGGCATGATTTTTGGAACCACGCGTAGATTATTTACGATGCCTATTCTCACAGCAATGACTGTGATGTTAGCAAACAGAGCAGTTTTACATCATGCATCTGAATTATGCACTATCTAATAAAGTACAAATCTAGCCTTCCTTCTCCAAGGTAGATGCTATCTTCCCCAGCTGTACTTATCAGCTCGCCCGCCACCCAAATTCCCAAGCCCAAACTCCACTATCAAAACACCAGCCATAAAAAAACACACAACCCGACCCCCATGATTCTCCCATCCGCCAAAAAAACACCACTCCTCCCCGGTCCTAGGAACCATTATAGCAGAGTAGCCAGTCAGGCTTTTTAATCCTCGTCGTCGCTCTGCGCCG